CCCGAGATGGATCTTTATTCCGTTGATGCTCTATTAAAGGTGAGACGAAATTTGTTTTTTTTTAAGCATATGGTTACTGTAATATTAGTGTGCATCTGACAAATGAAAGTCTTGTGGATTTATGCTGTAGCTTGATGAGGACAGAGTTATCACTGGATGTGATAATGGAATACTTAGGTAACAATACAAAAAAAAACTCTTCTTCCATGGGAGAAGGCTCTTTACTGTTTATCTCCGCTTTATTCAGTGAAAAATTTTATTTATATTTTGCTCCAGTCTCGTTGGAATACTGCCCAACAAAATCATACAGCCAATTGGGTCTCACGAGTTTCCTATCGAAGATCTCGGTATGTTACAGTTCACATTTTTTTTTTCTGACAACATTTTGAAGTTCGTTGTTAACTATTATACTTTGTCTAAAACAGATTTCTAACGTCAAATCTCTCTTGTAGCTCTCTCGCATGATAAAAGGTTTCTCGGTAGCACAGCTCATGACAGTATGTTGAAGGTATCATCTCTTCTCTCTAAAGCAAGCTCTCACTATAAAGAGTTACAGAAATGGATCCCTGATTTACTCATTTGTGTTCTTGGTAATGAAGTTGTGGGACCTAGAAGAAATTCTAGAAGGTTCAAATGGAAACGCATCGGGAGCTGCAGGAGATAGTGACAGCGACAACGATGAGATGGACTTGGACAATGATCCTCCCAGTCGTTCCAAAGGTAAAGAGAAACCTGCAAAACTTTCTGAAACATTTCTTTGGGATAATAACCTACAATATGATCTCATCTCGAGTTTTTTTTTCTTATGCTTGTACAGGTACCAAGAGGAAAACAAAAAGTAAATCAACTCCTGTGGACGATAGAGCTAGTTTCTTCGCAGACTTGTAGTTAGATTTTGTGTCAGAGTTGTATGGCAAGTATGTCAATTTCATACTTGAGAGTTGTCTACTTATATTCAGACAGTTTTGTTAATTGACCTTATCTTTTCTCGATGCACTCTTTACCATCACAATATTTTTTGTTCATCACCAATTGAACATGTGACACTTTGTCATGTGTTTCTTTATCCCATTCAGATCATATACAATTATACAAGATTCAATTGAAGAATATATGACAGTAAAAGTTTATTTTCTTTCGTAAGAACAAAACAAAACTCATTCTGTATACATTTTGAGAGCTAATGGGTAAGCGATCTTGTGTTCTAGAGCATACGTATACAACTTTTTCAATACAACGGAATACAAATATGATATATCAAACTAATAAAAGGAACGATCAATTTGATAAACAGAACCAACTTTCTACTGAAAACTATATTCAAGTGATGCCTTTTCTGACTTGTTTAAGCTATTGCCGATTTGATTGTCTCTGTTTCTGTAGGACGCCACCATGACTTCTGAATTGAAAGCAAGCCTTCATTGTCTTTAGAAAGTGTAAATTTTACCTTCCATTTCATGGATTTCACCATTTTCTCAACTTCCCCTATTGATTCCATGTCGTCTCTTATGATGAAAGTTCCCTCAGGCCTAAGGATCCGATCAATTTCAGCCATTACCGACTCCAAATTGCACCTGTAATGCAAAAGAAGTAAAGGGTTTAATTCATCAGATCAGATCATGAAGCTCTGCATTTGAGAATAGAGAACAAGTGATGGTATCTACCTCTTCCTCAAGGTAGAGAAAAGATGATCTGCATGGAGAAGATCGTAAGTTCTGGGATAAGTGTTGAATGATTCACACCAGTCATGATAGATTCCAAATAAACCACGTTCATATATGATTGGAAGTGTATCTGGTGCGTCCACAGGTACCACGTTCATCACCCATAACTTCAGGTCCTTCAATGCAGCAGCAAATCCTCCATAGACTGCTTTCATGTCCATCACATTTCTCACGTTAGACCAATCGATTCCCATGCCATTAAGGTATGACTCTGAGACAATAGTCTTCCACTTCTCTTGGTCCGCTGCGAAATCCTCTGGTGCAGGCTTTCCATAAACACCTTCCTGTGAATCTAACCACTCAGGAGCAGTCTCAAGCCTTTCTGGCCACATGTTGGGCCACACTGCTCCTCGCTTCGATGAATCTTCTGTCACTTTATGCATACATGCCTCAAGTGGAACATTCCTAAACCGTAAAGTTAACATATGAGCATCAGACTGCATTGGTTTACTATTAAATTGACGAAGGGTTTAAAGCCACATTACCAGGCTGCATTTTGATCATCGGAATCCTTGCAGAGAGGTGGATCATTTTGAGGTCTTTTGTTGTAACATTTATTTGAAGTTGGCTTTTGGTATATGGCAGCACCAACCTCATTCAATTTGTCTTTCTTGATTGTCACCAGCTTCCAGCACATTGCCTTTGTGAGCTCCGACATTGCTACATCACAAAGAAGGCATCTCCAAAGTTAGGAATCAATTATTAAAGCCTATATTGAGGTCAAGGAGCAAACAAAGAAGAAGAAACGAAAATGTCCCTACCTTTCCATATACCAGAATCTTCCTCGTTCTTTCTATAGACTGGAGTCGCTGACCAGACAAAGAAACCACCCGGCCTCAAAGCACGATTCAATTCCAAAAGAAGTTTACCACCTTCATTTTAAACAACAACTAAATAAGGTCATCCTATGGAATAAAAGCATGGCAAAAGAATACAATGGGACACACTTTTACCTTCAATATGCCAAGGGACTCTACAACGAGCACAATGGATAAGGTCAAAAACAGAACCGGGAAAGGGTAATCTTTTGGTTCCCATAACATTTAACATTGCAGGAATGCCACGTTCCAGCGCGAATTGCACTTGCGCCTCGTGCTCATCCTTGGGGGCAAATGACAAAGCAAGCACGTCTCTTTCGAAAAGGTAACCCCCGAAGCTAGCAACTCCACACCCAACATCCAATATAACACGGGTTCTGTTTCCCCACGCAATAGGAGGATGTGACTGCAACAATATAATTACTTCAATACTTGGCATGCCTACTAATAAGAAAATAAAGTAGCCATTATAAGAAACTGTACCTGTTGGATGAAATCAATGTAATGAAGAGCACCGTTCTTAAACTGAGTTCCACCACCAGGGAACGTGAGGTATTCACCACTCATTTTCACCCAATTCTGATGTCCCTTGATCTCTGCAAGCTTGGTGTGGGGAACATTGTTGTACCAGATCTGCAATGACACAACATAAGAATAGATGTCACGACAGAACATTTAAAGGAGCAAAAGCAGCGGAGTTTCACGGTTTGAATCCTCTAAGAAAATTATACAAAGTTCACCTTTTCCCTGCTCTTTGGCCACTTGATGGATCGCTTATACCCATCAGGAAGAGACACAAGGCAACGTGGAGATTCCTCGGGACAATGGCGCTCGCGGTGCTCATAATGCATTGTAGTATGAAGCTTCTTAATAGCTTGCAAGTTGTCAAGGCAAGGGATGTAGTCTGGACCAGCAGTCACATTGCACGTTTTCCATCCATAGCTGCTTTGATCCTTATATATCGAGGACTGTTGAGCTTTCTTCTCGTTCTGCGACTCAACCAATTGGGTTGACCAAGCTCCATCTCCGGTCGTGGTCGTCTCTTTTGTGATTTCAGCCTGGTCACCAGCTGGAAAGACGTCCTTGTTACTCTTCTCAGTGCTTTCTTCAGCTTCGTTAGCATTCTCTTCCGGTTTTTCTTCAGGCTTCTCTTCGGTTACATTACCATCCTCAGATTTGTTTTCTTCCGTGCTCTCTTCCAGCTGCGTTTTCTCTTTCTCTTTTCCTTCGTCGCTTTCAGATTCAGCTTCTTTCACAGTCTTCTCTTTCTCACCATTGCTGTCATCAGACTCCTTTCTTTCCTCGACTGCCTCGGTTTTCTCGCCAGAGCTCTCATTGAACTCGTTTCCCTCGGTAGATTTCTCAGGATCAGTCTTCACTTCGTTGTTCTCAGTCAAAGCCTCGTTCTTTTCATCAGAAAAGTTCTTTGGTTCTTGGTCGCCTTCTTCTTTGCTTACTTCATTCTTAGTAGCAGGCTCCACGTCTTTCCCAGTATCACTTGAGGAATAGACGGCAGAATCAGCCGGGGCAGACCACGAAGACATGAACATCCATGCCCCAACTAAACAGAGGGAAACTACCAGAACAATGGTAATGGTTAAGCCATAGCTCGATGATTTCTTCCCGTCTACGCGGGAATACTTCCCCATCGCCATGTTCCTCGAGTCAATGCAGCAACCTTACTCACATTCACCTGAAAACCAATTAACAAGAAGAAACGACCATGGCTCAACAAACTAGTAGAACGCAACTAATAAAAAAAAAACTGACTCAGCATTCTCTTTATTCCTACCAATGCGATTGATATCAAAGTTCATCAAACAATTTCAGGCACAAACTGACTAAATTCATTCATACTCATTAATTTTTTATGTTCATTAGATGACAATATGATTCTGCAGATATGAAAACAGAGCAAGAAACACATAATCACAGATCTGATTACCAAACTCAACCGAATTAGCTCTGCTACTCAGATCTTACTACACAATGAATAAAAAGTAAAATTTAAAAGTGGATCCCAGTTAAATAAAGCCAAAATTTCAGGACAAAACATCGGCTAATAAGTAAAAACAAGGAACTTGAAAATGCTAACAATTCGAACCAGACATCAAAGCCATACCCAGACAGAAGCAATGAGATCTAGAGAGAGGGTTTGCTGAAAAAGTAACGAACTAGATTGAGAAGCAAAGATTACCAGAAGATATGGGATGCGTCAAAGATCTTCAAAGATTGCAACTTGGTGAATAAAGGAGTAATATTTTCCGAATTGGAGCTAGTTGGGTTAATTCAACTACCAGAATCCAGTGAGCGAGCTAGTGGGTTACGGCCTTAAAACGCCAAAATCTCGTTGTCAAAAGAACGACTTTAAATATTAATAATTAAAAAAATCGTATTTTTCGAAGATTATTTATTCTCCATGCCGCGTCGATCACCGACACAGATCTCTGAACAGTGAACACTCTCCAGTCTGAAAGGTCTCTTATACGTCGCCGTTTTACAGTTAATCCAATGAAAAGAACCTGAAGTTGAACTACCTGAGCTTCTTGCCCCCATTGAGAACTATGAATCCATGTACACGTTCAGATATCATCATTTTGTTTCCCTGTGTATTCATGGAATTCAAAAGTTGCGGACGAAAGAGAATATATATATATATATATATATATATAGAAGAACTATGTTCAGATCTTATGAATCTATAATTCATTGACATGAACAGAAGACATTTTTTGTTCTTGTTCGTATATTGCTAAAAAGGGTCGCATTATTATCTAGCAAAGACATAAATGGTTGTGTACAGAGAAGAATCAACTGGCTTCTGCTGTCCACTGTTTGTTGAATTTATCCTTCTCCTGTTCTTCATCATCACCCAAAAATATATGAGTCAGAGAAAATTAGAATTTATGGAATACACTTTATGAATCACAATAGCAAGAAAATTAGGATCTGGCACTACAGAAAGTGTTACGAATACTAGAAGAAAAAATAACTAATCCTTGGATAAAAAAAACATCGAGGTAGCTATTGAGTTAAGCAAACGAAGTTTTAGAGAATAGAATCCTACAGTGGTAGCTATCGACAGTAGCCAAGTGAGTGTCGTTTTTAGATGGCTTGGAATTTGTCATTGGACTTCTAACCAATTTCAAACACTTCAAAGGAAGAACACACATGACAGAGAAATAGTAGGAATATATTCTTGAACAAGGCTTTGGATTTGGATAGAGAAAAACTGATTGTAACTCTAAGCTAAGGAGCACTATAAGTTAAGAGCCATCCACTATCGAAAATTCTTGCTCAAGTCCATAAACCCTCTTGCGTAGCTAGCTTACTAGGATGTTCGGATGCTCGGCGTCTTAAGTGATGCAGTTTTAGTGTAATTAAAAGAAACACTGCATCTAACCAGATTCTTAAAGTAAGACCAACCTGTATTTATCTTTCAGATCCTGCCATCACATCAAACAAACCGCAGCAACTCAACCACGAGGTTCGAACAACTGGTGGACCAGACGGCAAAAGACTCTGCATAGATGTCCAGAAGATTCAGGATTTTGAAAAGAAATGAGCACAAGTACAGGATAAAAGAAGAAAAACGAAATGGTACCTTTTCTTCAGAACATTCTGGCACTTCAGATTCTTTCACTCTCTTGATTTCTTTGCTTGTTTCCGCAGAAGATCCTGGACTGTTACCCTCCTTTGCTTCTGTTAGTCTAGGCCTCTCTTCCTTTTCATCATACTTTTGTTTGACAGAAACCGAGTCTGTCGAGCTCTCAACTTGCTCATTTTTGTCAGAAACCACAGCCTTTGAGACAGAAGAATCCACAGGCTTGACATAATCAACAGCAGGAGCAATTTCCAAATTTGAAGAAGTACCACCAGATTCTTGAGAAGCTGCTTTTCTGGAATTGTGAGTAACATTTTCAGGAAAGGAATTGGGTGATTTGTCCACACCATTCTGCTCGTGATCCGTTCCTCTTCCAACTGCAATAACGTCTTCCTGAGTAAAGTCTGCATCTTCTGTTTTCTCTTTAATAGTGTCCTTCCCCATACCAGATAACGGAGAAGGTGATGGATCTCTTGTCCAAGACTCTCCATTTCCTTGAGAACCAGGGGAACTCAAATTACCATCACTTTCTCCTTCATTTTGGCTTCCATGTTCCTCATTTCCTGCGTTGTTAAGTAAACTTAAAGAGATCAAAAATGAAGGATAAATTTTGATTTCAAAGTTTCGATAAAATATTGTTCAAGCCATGGATAGGAGTTCTTCTTCACTAGCTAAAAAACAGTCATAAATAGAAAGAAACATTACAACAACTGGGTCCATCATAGAGATAGCAAGGAAGACTAAAGTAAAGTCACAACCTTTGGAGCGGTAACTAAAGAAGATTGACTAAATCTCTATACACCACGATCGCCCTCAAAAACAGAATCCTACTAATTAGGCCCAAAGAATCAATCACTCTGCTTTGAATAATACCAAAAGCATCAGAGTCTAATCAAAAAGACAAAAGAAGAAACTTACCTAACAGCTTTAACACATTTGAGAGAGACTAAACATTAAAATCCGTGGACAAAGGACTTAAAACACCAAAATCCATATTTTGAGAAGGGCAATTATATGGATCCATCAACCACAAATACCAAAAAATAGTATGAATTGTGTAGAATTTCAAATAACCATTAAAGCCTTTGTTGCCCGTGCTGTCTCCAACAGCTTCTTGCTCCTTCTTCTTCTTCAAGGCCTTTCTCTTCTTCGCACCAGACGGCATGATCAGTGGACCAGCAGATGAAAGAAAAGGAGGGGTTGGTATTGGTTCGTTCACTCCAAAGGGTTCTAGAGCTTTACTTTGTCGTAGTGGGGTTTGGTTGTTTGTTTGTTTCTAGTGTGTGTGGAGTTGATTTGAGTTTGTGTTTCTCTCCTCTTTTGTCTCTATGTTTGGGGAAAATCAAATGTCACACAGTAACAGTCAAGGCAAGAGATAAGGCCCTCTAGTCTTTTATTATTTGTTATGGGATTACTAAAACGTCTCCATACGTCTCCCAAATCTAAAAATTTGTGTTCGGAATAGTTTCGAATTTTGAATCGATTATTTCGGTTTAGTCACAAGCGTGTTCTCATTGGGCTGGGCCAAAAAACTGTTCTGTTCTTATAAAGAAAATCATGCTCAGCCCATGACTTTCTCTACTTCACAAACTTTTCATGAGCAAGGAAAAAAAAAAAAGAATTGGGAGTAGACTTTTAGAGCGTAGACTAGTCCGGCCTAAGAAACCCCAAATCTCTGTTTCTTTCAGGTCTAAACACGCTTCCATCTGAGACCTATTTTTGTCTAATAGAATCGGCCGGGTTTATGACTGAGTCGAGGCCTAAAGATGCACACAGATTTGACATCTCTGCACGCTGATGCGATGTTTTGTATGAGGTCAACTTTAACGTGGCACGTATAGATGCGCTTTAAGTGACGTGGCATGATCTCTATCGTCCTTTTCGAATCATATGGACAAGCTTAAAAAAAACACCTTTTTTTTTCTTTAGAGAGATTACTGTATTTGTATTTCTTTGAGCAATGCAGAATCTATGTGAGATGAGATCTAAAGCCTAATCCAAGGCAAGTTACGGTAATATGCAATTAGTGTTTTGACTTTTGAGATTTGGCTTCTTGAAATAATCATAAGGCAGAAAAGAGTTGTGAGAAGACAAAGTCCCTTTTCCAAAATTGAGAATCATGGTGTACCACAAACTAAAGTGAGACTCTTTTAACATAGCAAAAACGTGTAACCCACCAGCGATATACAAAGGCCATGTTTACAAAAGACAAGCCAACATTCAGAGCGATACATACATTATTAGCCCCAGACCTTGTCTCTGTCTCTTTTCTTTTCAATGTTAAATTCTCTCTGCTTTAGCTAGAGACAGAGCAAGACAACCAGGAGATGAGGGGTGCTGAGTCGTTAGTAACCTTAAACCACAAGATTCTCCGGCCATGTAGGAAACTCCTGATCAGAATCACCAAGAGCTGTCCTCGGCGCCATAACCGGCATTTGAAACTCAAGAAAGCTTCCTCTTCTTCAAATTCTTCAGGGAACAAAGTCACCAAAGTAGTGGCTTTGTTCTTCCTCTCTTTCCACAAGAAGAAGCAGAAGAAAGAGAAGATGAAGCGGCTTAATGAACTCAGGAGCTTCTCGCACGCAGTCAGTGACCAGAAGAAGAAGAAGGTCCAAAACCAAGAATCAAGCAAGAAGAAAGTCTTCCCATCGAGACTCACAATGTCTTGGCTAGGTCAAGGAAAGGGTAACAGCAACACGCAGGAAGTCCCTCAAGATCACGACCCACGTAGAGACAGCACAAGTGCTTTCATTCCTTGAGATCCAATTTACCAATTTCTAACTCTCGATTATGTGGATATTTCTATGCTCTCTCAGTGCACAGTCCATCGAGACTCTACACTAATATTTACATTACGCCATACTCTCTAGCGCAGGATCAATCGTGTATTTGCATTGTGGTCATGAGAAAAAGTTAAACAAGATTGATGCATATCATTTTGTAAAGGAGTTAAGTTAATAATTAGAATCAAGAAACGACTGAAATTTTCAAGAATTCAAATAATATAAAAATACAGAAGAGAAGAAGATAGACATTGAATTTTATACATCTATCCTACAACAACAAGCACGGACCATTTGCTTCATTCCCTACCTAACCATAGGCATACCATCAACTCACCGAAACCAGCGAGAAGCTTGATACATCATGAGGTATTATTAACCGACCAGTTCTTGACATCGTCTCCATTGTATGATGATGACCTGAAGCATTAACAAAAACCAAAGAAAAACGAGAAATTTAAATGAAGAATTAAAAAAGCTTAGCTTAAGGCTTCCTTCTACCTTAAAGGAATAGACAAATAGCTTGAAGCTCTCTAAACAATTTACTCTGTAAGAAAAGACCAGACTTTAAGGTCTAAGACACTGTAAGGAAAGACCAGACTTTAAGGTCTAAGAGATTCTTGCCCACGATCCTAAAGAGCAACACTAAATTTAGAACACCACATAACAACTGAATTCAGAGGGACCCTGCTTGTAAAAATTCCCCAACAAAGCAACGAACTGGAATCGCAATCGACAATCTAAACTGCGAAGCAACAGACTTAAAATTCCAGAACTAATAAAATAATTGAAGCTCAGAACTCACATAGCAGCTAGGAGAATCTCTAGAGGAAAATGAAAAAAAAGAAATTAAAATCAGTCGAGCAAATCTTACTCCTGGGAGAAGATAAACCTGGAACGAAGTCGTAGCAGTTCAAAAGAAATGAAGAAGCCATGGCAGTATTAGCGGTAGGAAAAGGGTAAGTTTAACCCTAAGAGAGAGAATTAAGAGTGTATTTAAGTAAAGTAATGTTCTTTGGTGAGCCGCGTGCTTACAGTTCTGCACAGAGCACATAAACCAATGTTTGTGTGTGTGAGAGAGAGAGTGAGAGTGACTTTTGTTTTTCGGTTTCGACGGTTTCGAAGGTCTCCTTGGCGTTCTTGAGAAACAGACTTTTCCGCGCTTCAATTTGCTAAACGGATATGGATCATTAGTGGGCCAACGAATAGAGCTAAATTAGCTCTTAGTGGGCCAAAGAATGGAGCTAATTAGCTCTTAATGGGCCGATATAATCCAAATTTTCATTAAACACAAAATATGGAATACATTCCTCTCCTTGAAATCACCGGCAACGACTTTCTAACTCTCTCTCTCTTACAATCAATGACAACAAAACAGCTGTTTCTGTTCAACTTTTGTCCACATCTGCACAACAATAATCCAACTCAGATATATTCATCACACTTCCATAACTTCACAAAAGACACACTTGACAAACTTTGGATATTTCTTTCTCATAAATTAACACAAATAGTTTACTTCTATTTTTCCAATACAATTGAGGGAAAAATAAAACAGTTTTTTTAAAAAAGGGAAAAAATGGATCAATTTCTTTCTTTCTTTTTCACATTTTTCCCACCTTCTACTTAAACAAAAACAACACGGGAAAAGCTGGAAATTTTCCCCGTAAATTGCTAAAAATAATAATAATTGGGAGATGATGATGATGATAAAATGGGAAAACCGGTAGTAGTAGCAACGGTTCAAGCCTCCAAAAAACCGGTTAACCTAAGAACCGAATTCCTGACCCGGCTCAGATCTCTCCCCTTGAGAGTCCTTCCGCTACCTGTACAAACGGAAAACGCCACTTGTCCTCCTTGGATCCTCCGTCCGACGATAATATGCGGCGGAACGATCTCTCTTCCTTCGTCGGAATATTCCTCATCGGTGTACTCATCATCGTCTTCTTTCCCGACGTATCTCCGGAACATGTTCTCTGGGATATTCACCGGAAGCGAGCTCGACAACGACGCCTTCTCCGTTCTCTTGATTATCCGCCTCGTCTTCTTCCTCTCCTTGAAACCGAACATTAGATTCTCATTCTCTTCGTCTCTCTTGAGAACGGAGCTGAAATCGTCGGAGAATAAAACCTCGGATTCATCGAACTCCTCTGCCATTTACAGAGAGGAGTAATTCAGATCAGCTCAGGAGGTTAGTTATGAGACGAATACTCGGATGGAGATAGAGAAGAGAAACTTAATATCTGTAGGAAAATGGGATTTGGGTTTTTTATAACAGAGGAGGAAGAGAGAAGAAGACGAAGGAAACGTAGAGAGAGTTTCTTGAGAAGTTGTGTTTTGGGGTTTTGTGTGTATGTTAATGTTAATGAAATCGGATGATGTCATGATGATAATGGCATAGAGTGCGGACCCCGCTTTACTTTCCATTACATTTTGACACTTTTAACCACAATTTATATGAATTTTTCTTCTTTTTTAAAAAAAATAATGATATGGACATAATCTTATCTATACGTGTCTGTGTGATGCAGACTGAGACTGGGACTCCCGACTGGATCGTCCTTTTGGTCACCATCAAATTTAAGTCTCATCAGATTTCTTCGTCTTGCTTTAAAGTTTAAAGCTTTGTAACTGTTTGATAGCATTCTTTAAATCTTTGTTCAAGAAAGTCTCTTAAAAGATGTAAGATTTATTAGCTTTATACTTTAAGAACTGAATCAAGTGTTGTTAGTGGACTATTTGTTCCCTAATAATTGACTACTTGTCTCATTGATTTAAGCCAGGAATTGAAACTTATTATGAAATTATATAACCATTTATACTTAACTATCTATAAATATTTTTTATTGACAAAAAAATAAGTATTTTTATGAAACTCGGAAATTAATGAATTAGGTTTAAAATGATCATTATTACCAAAAACAATAATTATATGTCTATATACGTTGAACTTTTTTCCAGAGCATATAAAAACACTTTCACTCAAACAGTTTTAGGTAGAGCTGTATATGAGCATTCAATACTTTTATGAAACATCATAATCATGAAAATATCCCTACTATAAATATCATGATCATATATAATAAAATGGTTTCAAAAAATTCTTTGGAATTTTTTTTCCTTATCTTTTACATATTATTATCATATCTGATGGCATATTTTAGTTATGATTGTCAATAACCTAGCTAATTGTTACACGAGTATTTTTTTATTTATTAAAACAACAAGAATTAGTTAGAGGTTTACCACACACACAAAAAAGCTTTTTAAATTTTTTTCTGAGTCAGGTCACTTTTTAATTAAAGTATATTAGCATTTTTGTATGTATTTAACCGATAGAGAATATACCCATTTTATTTTGCTTAGACATAATCCTCATCTTTGGGTTAGAAGAAAGAACTATTAGTTTTTTTTTTTTTGCTTTTCACTTTGCAAAGTTTTAATACTTGTAATACAAAAATTATTTATCTTGGAAGCTTCGACAAAAAAAAATTATCTTCGAAGGTGTACTGTTTTTAAATTCGTTAGTTTATTTTGTTCCTCTTATTTTTATGGGAAACGTCATATTCTTTTAAAATACACTAATAACATAATTGTATATGTACATTGCAAATATGATGTCAAAACACGTGAAATTGTCATATTCCGTAACTTGTCTCTCATGACATTTCTCATGCATGGTTTACAAAACATGATATGTTTTTTGAAAGAAACAAAAATATCTTGGTATTCAATCTATAATCTATATGATTCGAAAAAATATTCAACGCCATGAAAACATATAAACTAAATACCATGAATCTTCTACACTATTAAAAATGTAGGAAAATAATTAATAAACTTTCGATGACTTGTCTAAATTTTGAAGTAAGATAAGGGGAATAATATATAGAGTCTCTAATATATATGGGAAGTTGGAAACAATACTTTAGGTGTGTTTTACTGGAAAAGGAATCTAGACGTCTGCGTGTACAGGCACACCAGGCTCCGTTGCTTTCGGCTCACGCGTACTGTTTTATATAATTGGTATTGTATATCGTATAATACTATTTCTACGTTATTGGTAATCTGGAATATATATATCCATTTATAAACATAGTAACAAATATGACTTTAAGAGGTAGATCTGACCGCAGTGGCCTTGTAACTAGTAGATCTGGAAGCGGTGGCTACGGTTCATCTTGGCTTCAATTGTTGATGGATTAGTCACTATCAGTCGTAGTTTAGAAAATTCCCCTTTCTTGTATTACAGATTAATTTCACTAATTATGAGAATCATATCCGTTAATTCAAGTTGGTGGCTCTGCCTCTGCTCTAGTAAGTATTCATTGGAATCGGACTCCAACTAAGAGAATAAGAGATTATTACAAGAATCCAAAGTTTGGTGAAATAGGTATTCTTCTTAGTTTTATGTGTAACTATAATTCAGTTTGTGTGTTTTATTTTAGTTTTTTTCGTTTTTTTTTTTTGCTCGGTTCATTCGACATCAAAGAAATATAAAACTCCTAATTAATCAACTGTTTAGGGTGGTAATTTTGGTAATTCTGTTGATATCAACAAAATAACAAAATAAAACCTCTTCCCATCTGGGTGAGTGCGTATGACTCATTAAAATTAGAATGATAGTCGTGATCATATCAGGTTAAAATAGTGTTGGACGTTTTTGGATTACTGCATGTGTTTAATCTATGGGACTTCAACATATAAATAAATCCACGAAGGCACGAACTGCATACACATAAATTACATTAATCTGCAATATTCGAATATTCGATGTGGTGATGTAGAGCCCTTTCCCATTATCTCAATCATTAAATAATGGGTATCAATCAAACAAATTGTAAAAAACGTAGCAGCGCCGGAAACAAACGTTTTTTTTTTTTTTTTTGTTAAAGACCGGAAACAAACGTTCTTTTAGAAAAAACTTTCATGCGATCTTGTACTAATTTCAATATTTAACTATGACACTATACTTACCTGTTTTCTCTTATCATTTTCTATCATCAATCGAATCATATAATGTACTCATCTGATCAAATATATAGAGTAAGAAAAAAAACAACAAACTAATTTCTTTTTCGGGGCAGATAGACTTGGGATCTGAAAACCGGCGGAGCCCCACATGGGTCCTACTTTCCAGATCTATCTTCTAGTGCGACTAGTATTTTTAAATTTGTGCGAATAGTGTTTTGGTGGAGTAATCATTTCAATATGCGATGATAAAATTAAACAGTAATACTATAAACCCTCATGTTGCAGATAAGCTTATAATCATAAGTCATGGCCCTCATGGATATATGGTCAAAATGTCTTCAACTTTATCGTTAGAACAAAAAAAAACATATTCTGAGATCAAAGCCCAAAAAAAAAAAAAATTAAAGGGCTTAAGACTGGGGTTTGACACGTTGAGTCACATAATGTTTGTTCTTCAAAACTAGGTCATCTGTCACATAATGTTTAATTGGTAATTTATATAATCCTACTAGTATAGAAGATGATGACTGATCTGATCAGTACTATAACTGTAATTAAATGTTTAAAACGAACTGAAATTTTTAATGGAACCGAAAAAATGCGATGACATCGCCTTACATATTGGTTTTCGTTCTGTTCGATTAAAATTCTAAAACCCATCGAGACAGTTGTAAATTTTGATTAGCTCCTTACGATAATACACCCACTCCATACGATAATACACCCATCTCTGGTTGTTCTTCTGTCTAAGATGCTGTAAGGGCTAAATTAATCCGCCCGTGAACCGTGATAATTAAATATGTCGCAAGGTTTAAAATGAGCGAGGGCCTGAAATATATTATTTTATATAGGGGAAAAAAATTATAAAATACATTAATATTTATGTGTGCATACGACCACATCCCGGCGTGTACGTATGCATATATATAACGTAGGAATACATAGATATTTGTTTATATATTAAAGGAGTGCATACACAGATATTTGTTTAGTTATATATATGTATATATCTGTGTTTATATGTATTGTGAAATAATGGTGTTGTGCTGGCTACGGAACGAACCACAAACTGGTTTATCCTGATTATACGTTGCTTACTGTTTTGGTTTAAATTTAACGCGCACGTAAATATCACATGGACATCTAGTTCAGTAAGACAGATTTACATATCTATTTTCGTAAGTAAATCATTGGCCAATAGTTGATGTTTTTGTTAGGGTTCTTGAACATTGTATTTAACTTTTAAGTCATGCATGCTTGGATAATCTAACAGGCAGCTTGCAAACATGGGAAATCAAGTTCATTCAAAAAAAAAAAAAAAAAAAAATTGATAATCAAGAATACGTACATATTTTAGTTTACTTCTTGTTTATATTCGTTTTAATGACTTTGAGTTCAATTTTCTTTATATACAGTTCTGCTTACAATTTTCCTTTACATTAATTAGAGTTTAACTGATATATGTCAACTGATACTGAATATAGTCGAGTACGTAGAAGAATAGCAAAAACAATTCAAATAAAAAAAAATTGAAATAATTGTAAATCAGTCAAAGTTATTTTTAATATTGAAATCTTTTCATTTTATATAGTTTTATTTTTTATTTTTTTGAAAAGTGATTCCACTATATATATATGTATGTTAATACTATAAATAAAAGAAATAGTGGAATCATGTTCTTGACATAAAAACGTAAAAATATTGTATATCATTCATCACCAAAATAATATTTTACAGTCGCGGTAAATTAAAAAGAAAAACTATTATCATTGATAATATTTGAAACTAGGTAGCAAGACTAATCAAATTTACAAAAAGCACACTCTAATGAGTTGCTATAATATGGCCCGAAAATAAACCCAACAAGAACTAAGGTATTTGTTAGGAGAGAGTCCAATATAACAGGCCCACGCAGTTTGAGAAGTTTACGACCACTGTCCGCCTGAACGATCGAGAAGGACAGCCTTGGAAAAACTAATACATACTGCAGATGATAACCAATTGAGCTTCTACACGATGCAAAAGAAACTTTTAACCATTCTCTCTTGTTATATATGATTCAAATGTAATGAATCTTTTTTAGCCACATAAGTTGAAATCCAACACTAACAAATATCTTAAGAAGTTGATACATTTCAGATGTTGATAGATATATCAAATCCAAAATATTCATATAAACTAATTAGTGTTTCTGATTGTTGAGTAGATGCAATTTTTTTCTTTATAGACAAAACCATGTAACATATCAATTACAGAGAAAAAAATCATATGCATAAGATCGTGGAAATAAAGATTAGTTAAGTTATTTTGATTGCGTGCTCTGCTGGTGAAAGATTTGATCTGTTATGTTGTCAGCGTTTCGCCAAGATTTGTTCAAACCAGCTACATTATATACATTTTTTTTTGTTTTGGTTTTATAATAAAAAGAAGAAGATAAAGAAGGACGGACTAGCCTTTCTGTAGTCATATCCCAAAACAATAATATATAAAATAAATCACGTTTTAAACCAATGTATATTAATTAATTTTTATAACTCATATATATGGGAATGGACTTTCTCGTTTCACATCGTGGACTTTTCAGATCTTTGAGTTTGATATCGCTTTAATTAGTTTGGTTTAGAAGAGCAAAATTAATGAGTTCGGTTTAGAATTTGTCCGGTATCCGTGTAATTTATATGGGTTTGTTGTTTATTGGTTAAATTAGGTTAATTTAGTTGGAGTGCAACCAGGAGCGGAATTATAAATGATAAAAACTGTTAAATAAATATTTATAAAGTAGAAATACGTTTAAAAATAGGAACATTAGTAAACAATTTGAAATTACACTATAACTTGAAAAAAATTGGAGGGAGTGGAGCAGCTAAAGTATGTAACTCCAATCAGAACGCATATTGTTTTTACCTTTGGTGCAATCCGGTTTAATTTGGTGTAACCAAACCAATCAAGAATGCCCACGATTATACAAATTTTAAATTTAAAGTTGACTTTATTTTCATTTTAAGACAATGTAAGCTCATTTTGATCGATGCAGAATAGAGAAAAAAACAAAAAAAAACAAAAAAAAAGAGAGAAAGATGGAGATGGCAAACACAAAATGGGTGGCTGCTGCGGCGAGCATATGGATACAAAGCTTTAGTGGAGCAAGCTACACCTTTGGAATCTATTCTTCACTTCTCAAATCATCTCAATCTTACGACCAATCTACGCTTGACACCGTCTCCGTCTACAAAGACATCGGAGCAAACGTAGGCATCCTCTCCGGCCTCTTCTACACGGCGGTTGCAAGCGGCAGAAGCGGTAATGGTCGCTTCTTTAGTGGGCCATGGGTTGTTATATTTGTTGGGCTTCTCCAATGGTTCGTTGGCTATGGTTTCATATGGATGGCTGCATCGGGAGTGATCGGACGGCCTCCCGTGGCTGTGATGTGTTTCTTCATGTTCTTAGCCGGTCATTGTCAGCCGTTCTTTAACACGGCGATTGTTGTCACCGCCGTTCGTAACTTCTCCGACTATGGTGGGACCGCCGTTGGTATAATGAAGGTAGGCCATTTATATATGTAGTTTAAGACTAGGTATAAAAGAAATATAATAGTATCAATTGGTTTATTATTTTTAATTCATGATAAAAGACCAAGTATAAGAGAAACCTGTAACTTTTATTTTTTAAGTATTGAGCTAGTAAATATACTAATATGATGATGTCAACGACCGACCTCTTTACCATATCTAGCATAATATAACTAGTGAAAGTCGGTTTTTGTAAAGAAAGTAGAGATATATGTGATTAATTAGAACAAAATCTTGATAAGTAATGTGGCACTCAAATACTTATGTTGCGGTTTTTAGGGTTATCTTGGGCTAAGTGGAGCAATTCTTGTTCAAATTTACCACATCTTCTGTGAAGGCGACCCAACGAATTACATTCTTATCTTGGCCGTTGTACCATCACTTCTCATATTGATGGCAATGCCATTCGTTAGAACGTACGACACAGTCATTGAAGGAGACAAGAAACACTTAAACGGTCTCTCAGCCATCTCTTTGATCATCGTCATCTATCTTTTGGTCGTCATATTGGTGGAAAATGTTATCGGGATGTCAAAGCCTATGGAGATATGCTTCTTTACTCTTTTGCTTCTCTTGTTGGCGTCTCCTCTCTTGGTCGCGGTTAGAGCACATCGTGAAGAGAAAGAGAGATTTTTGTCTTTGAATTTTCCGGTTACCCATAGAACCACATTGCTTGAGTCTCCTAAGCTCAATACTTCTCCCGGTAAGGTTTAGTATATTGGCAAATGGTATCTTTTGACTTTCGTCATGAAATGAATAATATCGCTTACATGTTAGTTTAGGTCTCTTACTTATGTAATACTTCTCCAAGTGAAATTCCTAACACATTTTAACCAACCCGACAGACTTTAATGTTGTCATGACCAACGACATGGATGTCATCGAAGCAATATGCACAACCAACTTCTGGCTTCTATTCTTGGCGATGATATGTGGAATGGGTTCCGGACTCGCAACGATAAACAACATCAGACAGATGGGCGAGTCACTTCGCTACTCAACGGTTCAGCTCAATTCTCTGGTCTCTTTCTGGAGCATATGGAACTTTCTAGGCCGGTTTGGGTCAGGTTACATCTCAGACGCCTTTTTACACAGTCATGGCTGGCCAAGACCGATTTTCATGGCCATAACTCTAGGCCTCATGGCTATAGGTCACATTGTCATGGCCACCGGTTTAGTAGGAAGCTTATATATCGGGTCATTGTTGGTCGGTTTAGCGTACGGCTCACAATGGGCACTCATGCCGACAATAACCTCTGAAATATTCGGGATACTTCACATGGCAACTATATTCTACACAATTTCGATAGCTAGTCCGGTTGGTTCGTACATTTTCTCAGTGAAGGTAATAGGCTACTTCTACGACAAGGTGGATTCTGAGGATGATCATTCTTGTTATGGGAATCATTGTTTTAGGACTTCGTTTATGATAATGGCGGTCATGGCTATGCTTGGATCTCTTATTGCTTTTGTGTTGTTCCTCCGCACAAAGAAGTTTTATGCAACGCTTGTGGCCAAGAGGATGTGGAAATAATTACTGAAGCTAGTGTCAGGATTGTGGCTCTCTATTTATTTTTATTTTATTTTATTTTTGGCATTTTTCCCTCATGTATATTCTTTTTCTTTTTTTTTTCATGTATATTCATATGTATTGTTTGTCGAATGTAGAAAGTGTGTGTGTTGTGAACTACTCTAAAGGAAATTGAGTCATATGATTATCAATATCAATTTTTTTACAACAAATCATAATATAATTAATGTACTCCCACCGTTTTTTTTTTTTACTGTTTTACTGAGTTGTTTAACTTGCAACATTTAATGTTCCAACAAAACAGAAATTCTTCTTACATGCGAATTAATTATCCAGTTAATTGTGTGTTTGCGTGTCTTAAAGCATACACAATCAATAGGCAGGCCTGACAGTAATACAACTCATCATACTTTGTCTGGTCAACTTGTTTAGAGTCAGCGTATCAACGCTAATAATACCCTTTAGTTCTCGCAAGAGCAAGCATATAAAAAGGCACTAACCTTTAATCAATTCTTTACTCAGTCTCGATGTTCACGATGTCCAAAGAGCAATTGAATACTTCTTCTCTTCATTCAAGTTCTGAGTTTTAACATCAACAGAGCTGAGACTTGCTTTTAATACAGTTGGGTAGTAAAAATCGAAACTTGCTTCAATTTATTCTCCACAAGAAGCAGAGAGAGAGGGAGAGATGGAGAGAGTAAACACGAAATGGGTAGCAGCAGCAGCGAGCATATGGATTCAAAGCTTTAGCGGAGCTACATACACATTTGCAATCTACTCTTCAATCCTCAAATCATCGCAATCTTATGACCAATCTACCCTCGATTTCGTTTCCGTCTTCAAAGACATCGGTGGCACTCTAGGCATCTTCTCCGGTGCCCTCTACACGGCCATGACTTCGAAGCCAGACGGTCGTGGTGGGCCTTGGGTTGTCGTTTTCGTCGGTTTGGTTCAGTGGTTTCTTGGATTCTTTTTCATGTGGGCTTCCGTTGTTGGGCTTATTGCGCCGCCGCCTGTGGCCGTGATGTGCTTGTTCGTGTTCTTGGCTGGTCACTCGCTGCCGTTTTTCAACACGGCCAATGTTGTCACCGCCGCTCGTAACTTCTCTCATTACGGTGGTACTGCCGTCGGAATTATGCAGGTAAGAAAATCGTGAACAAGATTTTGTTTAGTTTGGTTTAAGGAATCAATTAGGTGGAATCTGAAACTCATACATTTCTCAAATGAAAAATGAAGAATTGAAACTCATTTCACATATATACCAAATTTGAGCCATCTTGTGTGAGAGTTTCTTGAGTTAGTGTTAGATACGGATACTACTATTTCTCAAAAGATTTATGCTTTAGATGTTTTAAATTGTGATTTCATCTTTTGAATCCAGATTTGCTCGCATCCTAGATGGGTTATTTAGTCTGTTTCACTCGAGTCTTTTGTTGTATAATATTAATTGTTGGTTTACATATCCAAAAGCTAGCTCATTTTTTCTTTGTCTTCAGGGATTTCTAGGTCTAAGTGGAGCAATTCTGATACAATTGTACCACGCGATCTCTGGCGAAGGTAACCCTGCAACTTTCATTCTTCTCCTAGCCATAGTACCAACGCTTGTCATCTTCATGACTATGCCTTTTGTAAGAGTTTATGAAACGGTCACCACTAGTGACAAGAAACACTTGGATGGTCTCTCTGTCATCTCTTTGATCATCGCCGCTTATCTTATGTTCATTATAACGGTCCAAAACATCCTGGGTTTATCACGGTCCATGCAGATCTTCTCCTTCGTCCTTGTGCTTTTTTTGCTTGCCTCTCCTCTTTTGGTTGCTGTAAGAGCCCTACGTGAAGAAAAACAGACACTTTCGTCTCTGGATTGTCCTGTTCTCGACACATCCGCCTTACTCATCTCTCCTAGTCCAAATGTTTTTCCAGGTAAATATGCTCACACATGATATTCACATGAACCTCTAATCAGCACACTAAACACAAGGTTGTGCAGGTCTAGATCATGTGGTTACAGAAGACTCAAACATATTGGAGGCAATGAGCACAATGAACTTCTGGTTACTCTTCTTGGCGATGCTATGTGGGATGGGTTCTGGCTTCGCGACTGTAAACAACATGAGACAGATAGGCGAGTCTCTTCGCTACTCTACGGTTCAGCTTAATTCTCTGGTCTCTCTCTGGAGCATATGGAACTTTCTAGGCCGATTTGGAGCCGGTTATATCTCAGACACATTCTTACACAAACACAGCTGGCCAAGACCTGTCTTCATGGCCATAACTCTAGGCATTATGTCTATAGGCCACATTGTAGTGGCCTCTGGTTTACGGAATAGCCTCTATGTTGGTTCGGTTTTGATCGGTATGGCATACGGTTCGCAATGGTCGCTCATGCCGACAATCACATCAGAGATATTTGGGATCCGGCATATGGGAACGATTTACTTCACGATTTCCATTGCAGGTCCTATCGGATCGTATCTTCTATCTGTGAAAGTAATAGGTTACTTCTACGACAAGGTAGCTTATGACAATTCTTGCTTTGGAAGTCAATGTTTCAGGACATCATTTCTGATTATGGCGTCTGTGGCTCTCTTTGGCTCTTTGGTTGCTTCTGTATTGTTCTTCCGCACAAACAAGTTTTACAAAAGGCTTGTAGCCAAGAGGAACTTGAAGTGAACTTGCACATTATATATTGTTTTTATATATTTGTGAATTGAAGTTTGAAAATAAAAAGATACTATTGGCAAATCCAAACGCTACGATTGAATCAACTCATCCTGTTATGGTGGTTGAAAGATTCACCATAGAATTAGGAGACAAGTATTAAATGTCTTAAATAAAAAAAAAAACTAGAATTATAAATTAGTTTGATTCCCTTAACATATATCTGAGAAAATGGTAAATGAGCAAATACTTCCAACAAAATTCACAACCTTATTATTTGAAAGATAATTCATGTGAGAAAATTCTTAAACTTTTTCTAATCACATAATTTTGTTCATAGTATATGTTAACATCAATTACATGTTGAATTGTTCGAAAAAGGCACCGCCAACTTTTTTTAAATAAATTTGTTTTTAGCATAAATTCAGCTAGCAAAAAAAAACTAGGAGAGAGAGGTAAAAGTGTAACACATAAGTGATTTTTCTTTTTTTTTTTAAAAAAAAAACTATAATGTGTATGTATTGGGAAAGGTTACACATTATAGATTTTTTTTTTGTTTTTAAATGTGTAAATGAATTGGGAAAAAGTAGGGTAGAGAGGTTGAAATGTAAAACAAAAAAAAGTAGGAGAGAGAGGTAAATGAATTGGAAAAGTTTTGGAAAGTCCTCAGTCCATATGTCAACTAAAAAGAGTTTGGGAATATAATTTCTGCAGATTATCGATTAAGACAAGTTCATATAGCGTGCTGCAAAGAAAGTTATTCATTGTAGTACTAGTATATGTAGATTCAATTGGAACATATAAATTGTCGACTGAAAAAATTGTTTTTGTAATTATTTTTATAAATATAATTAAAATTTTTAGATGACAAAAAGATTTTAGGAAAAGTTACAACAGGTTAATATAATCATATTCTTATTAATCAATGCTTTGTAAACTACACTGTGTCGGTCAGCTTGACCGGTTTTGCTTAAACCTTAAACCCTAGATTGATTTTAGGGTTCTGTTTCATTATCGTCAAGACAAAATTTCTGCAGTCGCTAGTCTTATATTATTGTTTCTTGCAGCCACGTCTTGGAGTATGGGCAATGGAGTCTGACAACTTCCTATGAACAACATAACCAAACATAACTAGATGTACTTTAGTATATCTATTCTTTCAAAATATGTATATGCACAAATATTGTAAGCCAAACTAAGACAAACCAGAAACCAATATTTAGTCATCATGAGTAAGTGTTATTATATTTACTTTTAACATAACATAAACCTATGTACCTGCCACTAAAATTCCAAGAGCAACAACACAACCAATCAACGTTCAAAAGTCTATAATGTGCAAAAAAATTCGCAAGTTAAGGGAAAAAACAACAAAAAGATTGTTTGAATTAGCCTGCTCGAAAAAATTTTAAACAAAACCTTATTAATGCCTTGATTCCAATCTTTTTGAAGTTGAATTCATATGAGAAACAATGGTATGATATTTCTATTGTTTTTTTGATCGAGGCTGTGATGACAACTCAAAGTCTCATTCTAGTACCACTCTTTTCACAAGAAACTGTGATGACAACTCAAAGTCTCATTCTAGTACCACTCTTCTCACAAGACAAGACAATGAAATGTACTTTCTGGTGCAAAGAAGCTGGAGTGGCTTTGAGAGCAAGCAAGCAAGCGCACAATGTTCAAGACCAAAAGAAGATTCATTTTCAAGGCCAAATTTTTTTAGCTGCAAATAACATATGAGTTTTTCTTTTTGCATCTTCATTCCAACATCAGACCCCAATTGCAATTTCTCTTTTGAGCTGAAAATTGTTTGTTTATATATATTCACTAAACTTAAAAACTTAAGCTTTCATTAATTTACTTCAACACCAAAAGACTTCATTTAATACTTTTTGCAGTGCAAAAAAAAACAAACAACTAAACCTCTCCTATCAAACTTCATGAGCTCAATTGAACAGTCTGGCTCAGTCGAGTGAATCGCCATAAGATTGGGAGAACATAGTTCAAGTTTTTTTTTTTTGGCTACTATGATGCCAAATTGTCAATCAGAGTTGACTGATGTTGATAGTCTTAAATGTAAGATTATCCCGATTAGTTAAAATATAATTGTTTTTCCTTCTGGTACGGTTTAAATCAATCAATGTTTTGTAAATCAAGACCGTGTAGCCGGTTTGACCGGTTTTAGTTATACCTTAAACCCTGACTGATTTTAGGGTTCTCCTTATCGGTAAGACAAAAGTGCAGTCGCCTAGTCGTCATCGATCGTCAAGCGACCGAGCTCCACGAGGGTTTTCTCCATTGCAGTTTCAGGTTATAAACCCGGCGACAATTATTCGTTTCTCTCTTTGTTTGGATTCAATCCAAATTGCGAAGCTTAATTCTCTCTACTTATTTCGTTTATTGCGTATTTCATGTTCTGAGACTCTTCTTCAACCCTACAGCTTCCATTTGGACTCTTCTTCAATCTCTTTTTTGGGCTAAAAACTCTTCTTCAATCTCGCTGTGGGTTCATAGAATTTGGCTAAATTTAGTTTAAAAACACAATTATTTTATGTTCTGATGATGAAATTTAAGTGTGATGAATGTTACGAAAATTATTTTCAGTTCTGCTGTTTTCAGTAGATACAATCGCATCATATTGCACTAAAATTTCTGTCTTTTTATTGTTTCCCATCTATATAGAATCTCAGAAGCTCCATCTTACTCGTGAACAACTTCCTCCCAAACAAGCTTCTTCAATCTCAACGACAAAGTAAGTTTTCATTTAGGTTTTTGTCATTCTCGTTGTAAAGTAATCGATAACAAACCTAATGGTTCCCGTTCTATTGTAGAAATTTCACCTGGACTAGTCAAGGAAACGGAACCTATTTATGGAATCATTGTGTCTTGACATTGAAACCAGTATGTGCCTCACATCCTCAGAACCAGAGCTGCCTGTTTCTGAAGATTTTGGGGAGTTCATGCGCTCTCGCTTATCTCAGTCAAAACGACCAGACCATGAACAACTATGCGCTGCCATCGAAGAGCTATCTAAAATCCTAGCAGAAGACAATCTTAGTCGGACACCTGTGGCTTACTTCGCCGCAACATGCAGATCGCTAGACAGCATCTTGTCTGCAGATGCCGAACCACGTTTGGATGTTGTTCAGCCACATGTTGTCATCCTTTCCCTTGTGTTCCCTAAAGTCTCAGCAGGAGTACTGAAGAGGAATGGTTTGGCTTTGCGTCTTGTCCTCAACGTTCTGCGTCTTAGATCAGCCACACCTGAGTGCTTGATTTCGGCATTGAAGTGTCTTGTTCATCTCCTCACAACCGTTGAGTCCGTTATGGGGAACGAAGGCTCTGAATCTTACACAATCTTGCTGAATTTCGTAACTCATTCAGACGGAAAGGTAATTTACAAATTTACTGGTGTTGATGAATTGTGTCTGCATCAGACTTTAACGAACTTCTTCTTTTAATTCCAGGTAAGAAAGGTAGCAAACTCGTGTCTCCGTGATGTCCTGCAAAAATCCCATGGAACAAAGGCCTGGCAATCAGTCAGTGGAGCTATCGCAGAATTGTTCCAGAAATATTTAGACCTTGCCAAATCGGAAGAGGGTTCTAACGAAGGAGCCAGGGCAGCACAGCAAGTGATTTACATTCTCATCACCCTGAAAGAGTGCTTGGCCCTGATGTCGAAAAAGCACATGGCTACTCTGATCTTGGGCTTTAAGAACCTGCTGATTCTGCGCGATCCATTTGTTACAAGGCCGGTGATAGACTCTTTAAATGCAGTTTGTCTTAATCCAGCCTCTGAGGTTCCAGTTGAGGCGCTAATTGAAGTGTTATCTATTGCCGCTGAACCGTTCTCAGCGCATGAAACATCTGCTGATGCCATGACCTTCACTGCACGTTTACTGAAAGTTGGGTTGACGAGGGCTTTTTCCCTTAACAGAGATCTTTGTGTGGCCAAACTTCCTAAGGTGTTCAATGGTCTGATAGGTATGCTTTTGTAACTGCTCCTTCCTGCTTTTTTTTTTGGGTTTCAGAATTTCTTAAAGATACTGCTTTTCTTGTCAGTGAGGTTTATCCTTCTGTTTCCATGATCTTTATGCTTCTTTTTGGCAGATATGATTGCATCTGAACACGAGGAGGCAATCTTTGCAGCAACGGATTCATTGAAGAGTTTGATAGATTCATGCCTTGATGAAAGCTTGATCAGAGAAAGCGTCAACGAAATCCGGAATTCAAACTTGGATGGTAGGAAGTCTAGACCAACAGTCGTTGAAAAGCTGTGTGCAACAGTTGAAAGCTTGCTTGATTACAAGTACCATGCAGTCTGGGACATGGCTTTTCAAGTAGTTTCGGCGATGTTTGATAAATTAGGTAATTACTTTTTTCATTTTCTGACTTTTCATTTGTTTCTTCTTGTTGAAGGTTATTTCCATTCTGAGATACTGACTCTTGTATCTCAGGGCGTTATTTCGAAAAATTATTTGCTTAGTTGTTCATGTGGTAATCCTTTCACTCAATTTTCAGGTGAAGATTCTACATATTTTATGAGGAAGACCCTCAAGGACTTGTCAGATATGCAAGATTTACCTGATGAAGACTTTCCTTATAGAAAGCAGGTAACTTTGATGTTCTAGTCCTGGAGCCTAATGACCATCTCCTGGGGTTCTATATTACAGTAGAAATACTTGAGATAGTGATGTCACTTTTTGATCTGTTAACTTAGCTTCATCGTTGGACCTAAGTACTTCTAATCATAACAACAATATTCTTTACCGTTGCACGTCGGTGACAATATCAGAAATGGGGAGAAATGAAATGTTGTGAGCATATGCAACTATGTCATTGTCAATAGATATTTGGCTGTGTTGATTTCATTTCAAAGTCTCAAAATGCTTGATCTCTTGGCTACACTTCTTGTGTAAACCTTTTTTTGCTTGTGTATTGACTTAATGGTGGCTCTAATGCTGCCAGTAAAGAAATTCTATACGCGAAGTACCTATGCAGAACTTGTTATGTGAACGTTCTCTCATCTTAGTTAGAAATGAATGATTGAACGATAGTAGATGATGCAACATGTCAGTGTATTAGACCTTTCTTCTTTTAGTCATGACTTTTATTTACCTGACTATTTTGTTTAACTGATGTTATATTAATTCTCAGTTGCATGAGTGTGTTGGATCAGCCCTTGGTGCTATGGGACCTGAAACATTTTTAAGCATTGTGCGTTTGAACCTTGAGGTGAGTGATCTGTCTGAGGTAAACGTTTGGCTCTTCCCAATCCTGAAGCAGTACACAGTTGGAGGGCGGTTAAGTTTCTTTACAGAGACTATTTTTAGAATGGTCGAAACAATGAGCCAGAAAGCTCAACAGGTAATTTTTACCTTTACCCGCCGTTTGATATATTCTTATCTTTATTTTTCTCTAATGTTGCTAATTCTTTGTGATGGCAGCTCAAGCTACAAGGTCTTACCGGAGCATCCAGGAGTGTGGATTCTCTCGTATATTCATTATGGGCTTTGCTACCTTCTTTTTGTAATTATCCTGTGGATACCGTGGAGAGCTTTGCGGATCTGGGGCGAATATTGTGTGGAGCTCTTCAAACGCAGACTGAAACACGCGGAATTATATGCACCAGTTTGAATATTCTGGTTCAACAAAATAAGGAAGTTGTGGACGGTAAAGAAGTACTTGCCAATGATGCTAGTCCTGCTACGCTACGAGCCGTAGCTCGTTATGATTCACACCATGCGGCAGCTAATTTGAAAGTTCTGCAGTCGTGTGCTCCTAGATTATTGGATGTATTGTCAAGGATTTTTCATGAATCTGGCAATGATGATGGCGGTTCTCTTCAGGTAATTAACAACCTTGAAGGGCAGGGTATTTGACTCTCATTTAAATTTGGGATACATCATAGAAATTATAATCTCCTTTGGAATATAATATCACTTAATTAAAATCTCACCAGAACTTATTCTTGTTTATGTTGTCTTCTCATTTAATTGGTCTATGTCCCTCTCTGATTATATAAACTTAACGTAATTAGAGCTTATCACAGTAGTTGATAACTTTAGTTGTCTTTCTTTCAGTCTGCAATAGGCAACCTGGTTTCCATAGCGGAGAAAAAGACTGTTTCAAAGCTACTTTTCAATACACTGCGAGAGCTTCTAAAGGCTACGCAAACTGCCATTGCACAAGATGAAAGTTCTGCTAGTGGGATGGACGTCGATAATACCGCAGACAAAAATTCTTCTTCCAATCTTAGGTATTCACTCCCACTTGTAATTTTAGTTTATTAGTTTGCTACTGAGCCAAACTTGACCCTATAAATCTGCATTTCATTTCAGGGCAAGTTTGTTTGATCTGTTAGCTTCGCTTGTACCTGGTTTGGATAGTGAAAAACATCAAGAAGTAGATGCCGTATTCAGTTCTCTGAAGCCTGCGATGCAGGTTTGTAAAATTATCTATTGTGGTGAATGATATATTGTTCGGGCTGTGGCTGTGATTTATTCTCCTAATACATGAAGATGATTTTATGAATTGTGTGGAGGAGGGGTATATGCTGATGTGGATCTTAAACTGCAGGATCCCAAAGGCCAAATTCAAAAGAAAGCCTACAAAGTTCTTTCGATCATCTTGAAGGTATTGCTTTCCTTGCCGTAAAATTCCACTCTTTGAAGAGGTCAAGTATATTGATTCCTTTTTTGTAGCTGATTATGCTCGCTTAAGCGTCCTAAACTTCATCGCTAGTAATCCGTGATTATTTTTTGTTTGTACATGCTGCCTTTCGTTATGTTAAACATTAGATGTCTAACAGAAAGTTCTGTCCCCTATGCACTTATGCGACTTCTTTAGGCCCTTGAAAACCGTTAATTTTAGCTTTCATTTACAAATAAATCTTGACTTACGTCCTCGGTACAAATGTTTCTGTTGTCAGAGTTCTGATGGATTTGTTTCAAAGAACCTCGAGGAGTTGCTTGAGCTGATGCACAATATTTGCCATGTCTCGGCCAAGCGCCATAAACTTGATTGTTTATACTTCTTGCTAGCTCATGCGTCAAGGACTGTAAGAAGCTAAAGCTTTTTGTGTATTTTAGGGAAATACTTCCTCCTAGATTCTGATGGTTTTTTACCCGTACAGGACGATTTAAAGGAGAGAAAGGACATTGTTTCTTCATTTCTACCCGAAGTTATACTTGCTTTAAAGGAGGTACTAAGCATTGCTTGAACTGTTTTTTGTCAAACTATGATCGTGTAAGATTCATTTTTCAGGTCGCTGCTGTTTCTGCAGGTAAATAAAAAAACAAGAAGCAGAGCCTACGACGTGCTTGTTCAGATTGGGCACGCATATGCAGATGAGGAAAATGGTGGAGACAATGAGAAATTACATGGTTACTTCAATATGGTATGTTTAATATATTCCTAACAAGTCACTGTAACATTTTTTTCAGGATCTTGTTTTTCATTTTTGCATCAAGATGGATTGTTGACCTCTGCTATAACCGTCACAGGTGGTTGGTTGCTTGGCTGGAGAAAAACCTCAGATGATTAGTGCTGCTGTTAAGGGCGTAGCTCGTTTGACATATGAATTCTCCGATCTTATAGCTAGTGCTTACAATTTGCTTCCTTCAACATTTCTTCTCCTCCAGAGAAGAAATAAGGAAATTACAAAAGTTAGTCCTTATCTTCCCTTTCAAGAGGCCAAAACTTTATTTTGCTGCGAGTTATCCATTTGTCTAAGTTGTTTATCAATGAAATTCTTTGAATTGTTTTCATTCTCTGAAACTTACAACCAATCTATTTTGGAAAACAGGCAAATTTAGGTTTGTTGAAGGTGTTGGTGGCTAAATCTCCCGTTGAAGGACTACACGCGAACTTAAAGAGCATGGTTGAAGGCTTACTGAAGTGGCCGGAAGGAACCAAAAACCTTTTTAAAGCAAAGGTGCCTGCCGAAAATGGCATCTTTGGTCTCTAAAATATGAATATAACATTTTCGCAACTTTGCCTTCTCACACACACGCTGACGCACACACTTACACGTATTGCACTTTTGCTAGTAAATAAACTTTGTTGCTTAGGAGCAGCATGCATACTAGTTAATATATATTTATATTAGGACTTTTTTTTGCGGGTTCTTGTTCTTTTTTTAAGAGTCATGTTGGTATTATAGGTGAGGCTTCTGTTGGAGATGCTCATCAAGAAATGTGGCACGGAGGCTGTCAAGTCTGTGATGCCTGAGGAACATATGAAACTCCTGACAAACATTCGAAAGGTTTGTTAACAATTTTCAAAATTGTTTAGATTTCAGTATCGTGAATGTTCTGTATCTCATACATATTCTCTTGGTTCATCTCAGGTCAAGGAACGTAAAGAGAAAAAATATGCAGCTGGCTCTGAGATGAGTAGATCGCAGCACTCAAAAGAAACTTCATCAAAGTACATTTCCAAGTCAATTAACAGATGTTCTCATACAAGTTTCTACGTGGTCAGTTACTAATTGTTATTGACTTGTGTCTTCCAGGGCTAGCCGGTGGAATGATACCAAGATATTTTCTGATTTTGCGGATGAAGACGAGGACAGCGATGGAGACTACATGGATGGGCGGTCGCATGGCCGTAGCAAGGCTTCCTCTTTGTTGAAATCTAAAGCATCCGCTTTGAGGTTGGTTGTAATATACACATTTTGGCAATAATTGTGACTCGCTGTGCTTTTTTGGATATACCTACCTGATGGCGGTGACGTATTACAGATCCAAGAAAAATCAGAGGCAGAGCCATCTTGAAGTTGACGAGTCAGATGATGAACCACTTGACTTAATGGATCGATACAAAACAAGATCAGCTCTTCGATCAAGTGAGCTTCGCAAACGGAAAGCTGACTCGGATGAGGAAGCAGAGTTTGATGTGGAAGGACGGCTAATCATCCATGAAGGAGAGAGAGGTAAAAAGAAGGAAATCTCTGATGCAGATTCGGATGCCAAGAGCAGCAAAGGTAGCCGTTTCTCTGTAAACACATCGAGGAAGAACCAAAAGCGAATAAAGACATCAGAGTCTGGATACGCTTACACAGGCAAAGAGTATGCAAGCAAAAAGGCAAGTGGCGATCTTAAGAGGAAAGATAAGCTTGAACCATATGCGTATTGGCCACTTGATCGCAAGATGATGAGCCGTAGACCAGATCAGCGGGCAGTTGCAGTCAGAGGTATGTCTAGTGTGGTTAAGATGGCAAAGAGGATGGAAGGCAAGAGCGCTGCAGAAGCACTTGCCACCACTAAGTTCAAAAAATTCAAGAGGAGTGGTCAGAAGAAATCGTCTGGGAAGAAGAAGAAAAGCAAGTAAACAAGTGGCATAAGCTTCCCACCATGTTCAAGTTATCAGAATAGTTTATTTAATACACATTTTTTGACTGATGAAACTTGAAATACCATTTTGACCATTTTGTATTGTAATCAGATTTTTAAATTGGTTTTCAGAGTTAATACTGGATTGTTATCGTCATTGGATCCATCTCTACCAGACTGGTTAAAACTTAAAAAGCAAACTGTAGAGTAGTTAAGAGCTAAGTATCCTTGGATACTCCTTAACTATTTCAAATCTGATAACTATTTCAAATCTGATTATTTTGCATAACTGAACCCATCCGGTCCTTAATTCTTGCTGAAAACTACAAAAAAGTTAGCATGACAATCGAAAGGTCTCACAATTTTCTTCTATAGAAACAATTGGTAATTCATCATTTTGTAGTTTAAAACACTCGTCTTTACTACGGGTTTTGTAACATCTCTTAGCACTAGTTACACTACATTACCTTTTTAGGGGACTGAAACCTACTGGAGAATAAAATTATTCAGTAACTGCGAAATTCACATAGCATAGCAAATTCCCATCAATCCAAAATTTATACCAGTTCAAGAAGTTTGCATTTGTAAGTAAATTCCGCAGTGACCAAAACATTTTATTTGGGGGGGGGGGGGGCAAAACGTTTCTGAAAGTCATTATTTCTCAAGAAATAAACATTTCATAAAGTAATAAGTACATTTTCTACTGCATTTGAAAAATTTCACATGAATATATCTGACATGTATTATACAAGTAAAAATGACTTTAAGAAATGATATCTTTTTAGTTTTCATTTTCTTTATACATTTTCTTAATGCATTAAAAAAAATAACGTAAAGAGTATAAGTCGAGACGAAATGCCCAAATTTCCATCTTCTTCAGTAAACGCACGCCGCTCATTTTGAATCCACACACCGCTCATCTCTTTGTTCTGTTCTGGTTGGTGACCTCTCACTTCTGTGTTTTCTTTTTTAAAATATTTTTGTGTCTCGTATGTCAAAAACGGTAATCAATCTTTTCCACTTTTGATAAGTTTGCACACCGTTCAATAGATAGATTTTTTTTTAATGAAAATTGTAATCGAAAGGAAAGGCTAAGATACCATGCAAAAATCTAGAATCGCTCTGTATACAGTATATAGGACAAAGTCCTTGACAGAAAAGAAAAGAAAACTAAATACGAGTAAGGAAACCTTACCCTGTCTTATATATTTTTCTTAACGTATAGATAACCTTAAATATATTTTCAATAACCACTTTAATGTCTTACCAAACTAAATAAGAAGAAGATATGCATTACTTCAAGGGCCCCTTACTTCAATTGGTATCAAAAAGATCTCACCAAGGCACCAATAGTGAAGTGGGTTCATCTCTCTATATATGGAGGTTTCCCACTGGACTAGAGACACGTAGGCACATACGTCATCTCTGATCTCTATAACCTTACAAGAATATAAAAACACTAATCCCTACACATCAGTAGAGACACCGAACAAAACACACAAATCCCCATAAAGACAGGGATCACAAAGATTGTTACTTTACTCTCTCTCTCTCTCTCTAAATTCTATACGTTTTCTGCAGCAAAGGCAAAGGCAAAGCAATAATGAAGGAGGAGAGAGAGGATGTGTTGTCATGGCCTCTCATAGGAGAGACGGAGAAGAAGTGTATTATTACTGGTGGAATAAAGGTGGAAGTGAAGAAGCAGCTATGGCTTGCTTGCCCTCTAATCGCAGTGAGTCTTCTTCAGTTTTCCCTGCAAGTAATCTCAGTCATGTTCCTCGGACATCTTGGCTCTCTTCCCCTCTCCGCCGCCGCCGTTGCTACCTCCTTCGCCTCCGTTACCGGCTTCACCTTCCTCGTCAGTTTACTCTTTCCCTCTCCCTCTCTTTCCCTCGACATATATAGTATATATACACGTAATATTCCATATTTCTTTTAGAGCAAAGTTTGTTTTTATGAGACACCGAGAATTAGTTAACATGCCTTTAATGATATGATATTTATATTTAGCATTTTTTAAAAAAATACGGATAGTCGTTAATCGGGCGCGCTAATGAAACCTTAGGTGTTTGTAGACACCGATTAATATACCATTCTTTTATTTTTTATTTAACTAAGACAAGTCTTCTAAAAGTTAAAAAAATACACAGCCGCTTAACGGCTTAAGAGCAAGGTTAATATGAATTAATTTTTGCGGGTATAAAGTGTAAAACGGCTAAATCCAATTTTTAGAACATTAATATTCAAGTAATCAATCTGCTTAAGCAAGTAGTATGATAGTTAAAAAAAAAAAAAGAGGGGGGAGAGTCTGATCTTAAACAAGATTGGGTGATGATTAGTCTCTCCGTAAGTTTAAACCTAGTACAACGTATATCAAAATGATAAATAAAATAATAATAACTAATATAAACTATTCAGCTACGATGGAGACATGGAGTTACCTTGTCTGATTAACTGAATTTTTAAGTTGCATGTGCATATTTGATTCTTTTAAGCTACTTTCCAACAGCTACAAGCACAAACACATTTTGTCATTTTTAGGAGAAAAATAGAAACGCCAAAATAAACAATAAAAGTTGTTTTGTACAGTTGCTATTGATTATTTTGTAGATACCAAAGTATGGTTACGAAAACATCAAATACATACTCTATAATTTTGTTTCTTTCCTTTTTTTTTGGGTTATCCACACATGTCGTATTGAGCGGTGAATGATATCGACAGTCCAGAATTTAAAAATTGAACATGTCCACTTACTTGTAAAGCAAGAAATCTAATCATAAGAAAACTATTCACCTTTGAACAGATGGGAACAGCAAGTGCGTTGGACACAGTTTGTGGCCAATCATACGGAGCAAAAATGTACGGGATGTTAGGGATACAGATGCAAAGAGCAATGCTTGTTCTTACACTCTACTCTGTTCCTCTCTCCATCATTTGGGCCAACACAGAGCATTTCCTCGTCTTCTTCGGCCAAGACAAATCCATCGCATACCTATCTGGCTCCTACGCTAGATTCATGATCCCTAGCATCTTCGCCTACGGTCTTCTTCAATGTCTCAACAGGTTCTTGCAGGCGCAGAACAATGTGTTTCCTGTGGTGTTCTGTTCTGGAGTCATCACTTCTCTTCATGTGATCCTCTGTTGGGTCTTGGTGTTGAAATCTGGTTTAGGTTTTAAAGGAGCAGCTGTTGCGAATGCGATTTCGTATTGGCTTAATGTCATTCTCTTGTCGTGTTACGTCAAGTTTTCGCCTTCTTGCTCGAAGACCTGGACTGGTTTCTCTAAGGAGGCTCTACGTGATATCATTCCTTTTATGAAGCTAGCTATTCCTTCTGCACTTATGGTCTGGTAAGTCTAAAAAGAAAATGCCATAAGTAATTGTTTACTGGAGGTAACTTGGAAAACAAGGTTTGTAGAAAATAGATTTATTGATATAAATGTGTTGATACTTGATATGCTATCCAATGTGGTGATAAAATTACTCTAAATTCAAAACCAAGTTGAGATTTGATAAATATTGCTTTTCTTAATATTTTTAATTGCTCAGTTCCATTTATTTAGTATCCATTTTTAGTATCTTGATTTTTGGTGATGTTGTTTGAGCAGCTTAGAGATGTGGTCCTTTGAACTTTTGGTTCTCTCGTCCGGACTTCTTCCGAACCCGGTTTTAGAAACTTCTGTCCTATCAATATGGTAAGACTATATGTTTTCGTGACTTTTATCTCTTCGTCATATATAATTCAGAACAAATTTAATTAGTTCTTGGTTGTGATTAAATTTAGTAATAATTTTGTTTTGCAGCCTTAATACATCAGGAACAATCTGGATGATCCCATTTGGCCTCAGTGGCGCCGCAAGGTAAGTACACCAGTAAACCATATATAACCAAGGACCAAAAGACCTTTGTTCTTAATTAGTGTATGTGGATACTGCATCAAGATTCAATACTCAGATATATATGCAGTATCCAGAATCAGCATATAATTAAGCATGAAACTCAGTACTGTTAGATGTTCCTTTAATTTGGAATCTGCAGCACAAGGGTGTCAAATGAGCTAGGTGCAGGGAATCCGAAAGTGGCTAAGCTTGCGGTTCGTGTGGTCTTGAGCATTGCAATCGTAGAGAGTATGCTAGTTGGTTCGGTTTTGATACTGATAAGGAAGATATGGGGATTCGCTTACAGTAGTGACACGAAAGTAGTCACGTATGTAGCCTCCATGTTGCCGATTCTTGCCTTAGGCCACTGCCTAGACAGCTTCCAAAGCGTTCTTTCAGGTTTATATATACATACTCCTCGCGTTTCTTTGCTTACAAGTAAAGTTAAACCACCCTATAACCACCATTCCGGTTTTGAAACTCGGTTTAGACTGGTTATATGCTTTGTTTTCTTATTTTAGTTTATTGTTTCCGGTTAAAAGGGGTGGCTAGAGGATGTGGATGGCAGAAGATTGGAGCTTTCGTGAATCTTGGATCATATTACCTTGTCGGAGTTCCGTTCGGTTTGTTACTTGGTTTTCACTTTCACATCGGTGGTCGGGTAAATTAATTAGATTCTCTCTTCTCATCTCAAATTTTTTCAAATCAGTTGATTTCAAAATTCAAAGTTAACCATATACAATGTCAAAAAAAAATGTTTAAATTTGTGAAGGGGCTTTGGCTGGGAATCATATGTGCACTCGTCGTTCAAGGTGTATGTCTTTCCCTCATCACCTTTTTCACAAATTGGGAGGAAGAGGTAAACAATCTGTATTGTAATTTAAGTATATTGCGTCTCTATACAGATATATTTCGTAATTAATTAACATGCCGTGGGGGCTATGAGCCTATGACTGTGATAGTTATTGATTATGATATTAATGTTTCTTGGTTTTTATATATTTATATATAATCGATAGGTGAAGAAAGCTACAAGCAGAGTTGAGTCTTCTTCAGATGTGAAGGATTTTGCAGCCGACAATGGGTCTACTATTGTATGCTGAGAGCTATATATTTTCAAAAATCAGAATATGTATATTTTGATTATGAACCCTTATAATTAAGTTGGGGATAATTTCATTAAGAAGTGTTTATGATATTTCTGTTGCTTTTCAACTCTATATGGGGCCCATTTACCATGGATTGTCTGATAATTTGTTTTGTTCTATTTAGGGTTTACTTTCTCGGGCTTTTACAAAGTTGGCAGCTCTTTTTTTTTTCTTTTTCTTTCTCGCAATTATATTTGCAAACGACGTCGATTTCTTGTTCTTAGGGTTTTTCTGAATCATTGCAAGAAGTAAACATTTCTGAATTCTGACTTTGGCTTTAGACCAGCCACTTGTGACTTGTGTTGAAAAAAAAACATAAAAGTAATTAATGGTGAGGATAACTTGCAGCCGAATTCTCAAATTTTCAAAACCCTACTTTTGGTTGGGGACGCAAAGCTCAAACCATGGCTTCAACTCGCGAGCCCAGTCTCATAATCCCACTACAAAAATGATCACTTCGTCTCTTCGAGACGACGTCTTAACACGAAACACGTGGCAAAATCGAAGTTTTTTTCAATGCAGAAGAGTTTCTTCTTCCCATGCTCAGATGGCTAATGATCATCAATCTGTGACGATTGAGACATTTGATGCTTTGTGTGAAGAAGGGAAAATAATAGAAGCCGTCGAGATCTTAGAGGATAAGGGATGTGTTGTGGATTTGCCTAGGCTTCTAGGGCTAGCGAAACTATGTGGTGAAGCAGAGGCTTTGGAAGAAGCTAGGGTTGTTCATGCCCGAATCACCAATTCTCCTTCTTTAGATGTTAAATCATACATCACGATAATCAAAATGTATTTTGATTGTGGATCCACTGATGACGCATTGAACGTGTTCCACGAAATGCCCGACGAGAGAGATTCAGAGACTTGGTGTGTTATGATGAGGTGCTTAGCCAAGAACGGAGATGGTGAGCTCGCTATAGATATTTTTACACGCTTCAAAGAGGAAGGTAACAAACCAGACAAGGAGATATTCAAAGCCGTCTTCGCTGCGTGTGCTTCGCTAGGGGACGTTAACGAAGGGTTGCTTCATTTAGAAGCTATGTACAGAGACTATGGCATTGTGCCTTCAATGGATGACTACGTGAGCGTAACAGAGATGTTGGCAGCAAGTGGTCACTTGGATGAGGCATTGGAGTTTGTTGAAAGAATGAGTATTGAACCGAGCGTTCAAGTGTGGGAAACACTGATGAATCTCTGTTGGGTTCATGGGGATCTAGAGCTGGGAGATAGGTTAGCTGAGTTAGTGAAGAAACTAGATGCCTTAAGGTTGAAGCAAGAGTCAAATGCAGGTCTTGTAGCAAAGAAAGCATCAGACTCGGCCAAGGAGAAACTAAAGGAAATGGTGGAAATGCGACGAAATCCTCAGTGGACGATGAGAAGAGAGAGTAAGCATGAGTTTACATCAGGAGATACTTCACATCCAGAGAGTGATAGATTAATGGCTGCATTGAGGAGTTTGAAAGTGCATATGTTAGAGATGGGTTTTGTCCCTGCGACTTGGTTGCTTGATAAATTGGAAGACGAGGAGAAAGAGCAACAACTTCTTTTTAGAAGCAACAAGCTAGCCTTAGCTCGGGGCTTGCTTTACTCAAAGGCTCGTGCTCCCGTGACTGTTTTACAAAATTTGCGTATCTGTATTGATGGCCACAATACATGTAAGATGTTGTCACTGATAACCGGGAGAAAACTGATAACAAAAGCCTCAAAAAGATTTCACCATTGCGAAAACGGGGTCTGCTCCTGCCAAGATTATTGGTAAGCTCTTTATTCTTCAAAACCTATCCTCTCCAAAACCTTAATGGTGATATACTCAAGCCTGTTGGAGATTTTCTTCCTTGCTTCATTTATATGTTCTAAGAAAATATTGACTGAATGTTTCTTTCCCATATCACATTGGTATGTTATATCGGTTGGAAATAAGTCAATATTTAAATACAAGGATCAAAGAAACAAGAACTCCATGAAATATAATTGTCATTGTTCAGAAAAATAAAAAGCTTCAAAGAAAAATTGCAGGAGATATCTTATGCAAACGTAGAAGAAGATGAAACTAGGCTTCTATTGTAAGGAGATGGAGAAGATATAACAACAGACATGGCATAATCTGAAGGTAATGATGATGTACGTCCCTGTCTCCGATGGTGGCTTCAAGTGCAAGTCATCTCCGTACACATTAGGATCGGATCTTAGCGTTAAGGCTCTGACTATTCTTCCCTGCAAACCAGTCAATACAGAGCTAGAGTCGCCATTTTTGATCTATTAAAAATCTAGAAGTGAACAAGTAACTAAAGGTCACCGAACAATGCACTAGCGAGACATGTATGTATTCATAAACAAGAAGCAGATGGTTTTTCTCAGCACAGCATCCATAAAGTTTAAGAAGTCTCTGTTTCCTTGTCCCGATTTTAAAGAAAGCTGTTTTACAGCAATTAGCTAGCGTTCCATCTGATAGCCTTCCTTGTATTTGAAATTTCTTTCCCTCCCTCTCTCATTACCTTGTGTATGAGATTGGAGTTTTTGATGAATTCGACGCATGCATGAGATTGATCGTTATAATTAAGAATTGGAAGCATGATCATTGTTAAAATGTGGGTAAAGACCCTAAGTTATTTCCAACCTGCTTAGTGTAATGTGTTTTGTGTTAGGGTATATATGTTTAACAAAACCTTGTGTTACTTCTTGATGATATATAGATGTTTTAAATACTTAATTAGGTTATTGATAGTTTGCTCTTGATCATGTATAATTATTTGTTTGACCTTATGTAGATGTGTATTAAACAAAACAAAAGATCATTCACTATAAATAAATCAAAGGACTGTCATTCCTAGGTAGTCACAATACACACAAATGCAAAAAAGAAAAAACCTTTAATTACGTTTAAAAAAAAATAGTTAAGACAACGTTTCTCTTAAATTGTAAGAGAGTTACATTCACCTGAAAGACTTTTAGTGTTTTTGTTGACTAAAATGACGGCATCTTGATACATCTTGATATAGTTGACATGCTTGCAAGTGGGTGATATCCTGAGGTTTTTTTTTTTAAAAAAAAAAAATGTTTCAGATTAATATGATTGAAGAATTGTGATTATGTGAAGTGGTTTCTTGTAAATATATATGGTTGTAAATAGATTACTTGTTTTCTTGCAAGACTAGCAAGACTCCCATCCTGTGAAAATGAGATAATAATTTTTTTGTTTAGTCAACAAATATTATGCATTATATCTAAGAGGGAAAAGCTTTTTTTTTTTTTTTTCATAAGAGGGAAAAGCTTGCCAGAAATATATGCATATAAGAGGGGAAAGACGTGACTTACTAATTTAGAGATCATTTTTTCAATGTTCTGAAGACCAAGCTCAGTGTCTGTTTTCATCTCGTTTACCTCTATTCTCATCTCGTTTACCTGCATTGAAGCAAGATTCCATGTGAACAATAACATATTATAAGTATATCAAAGAAAGACATTGATAGAGATAATCACATTAACAAGAATCACGGTGTACTTAAAAAAGAAACTTCTGTGAAATCAGAATACCAACATACACGATCCCATATATAAGATTGACTGATTGAGCTATAGTTAAACCTAAACTAAAGTAACTCGTAACAAAACCCTAACCAGAAATCTTCTCATAATTAGCCATGCCACAGAGAGAGAGAGAGAAGAACGTATCAATATTTATTTATTCCTACTCTGAAGTCTAGGAAAGATTAAGGCATCAATTGTTCAATACGATCGAGAAAGTGAAAAGCAAGATAATATAATGGGTTTCTTACATCACTTGAGATCTCTTCGACCTTCCGCGTCACGGACTCTATCTTCTTAACAAGATATTCTTTCATTGACTGCGCATAAGCAAATAAACTAAGTCACAAACCTCAAGCAAACAAATTAATATCTAAGAATAAAGGAATGTTTCGAATAACCATGATTGCTTTATGCATCGCGGCGAACTGGACAGATAAATCGGGATACATTGTTTTCGCCGGAAGAGTTACGATCTAGAACGACGGGTAGAAGGTTAAAAGAAAGTTGGATATGACTATATGAGTTGATTTCGGAGCAGAATATATATTGATTTTGATTTGTACTCGTGAACAAGTTTAGGTCTCTAATATACATATATCAAAGTAGGGGAAAATTACTTTACGAAATAATGCGGTTTCCTGCTGTTCCATCGCTTCTCCTCTACGTCACAGCAGTTCTCACAGCTACAGTCTCAGGTTTGTTTTCTTTTTCTCTACACTCTTTTGTTTCTTTTTCTCTCTCACACCCTCATTCTCTCTAGTTCTCCGTTTCACTTTTTGTTTGGTGTTAGTTTTTTTTTCTAAGTGATAACAAGATGAACTTTAGAGAGAAAAAGCTTTAATGACTACATTTTGTTATATTGATCAATCGATGCTTTCTCCTTCTCTTTTACAACATTCTTACATTTTGTTATATTGATCAATCAATGCTTTCTCATTCTCTTTTACAACATTCTTATAGAGCTACACAACTCATTGCATTCATACCTAATGATCTCTAGACATACCAACTTCTACTAGTCCATACCTCTAACACTAGACTAGTTTTACAAACAACTTAAATATTACAACAACTCTAATTGCTCTAACTTAGACTTAATCATCTCGAGACATACACACACTCCTCCTCTTTTATTCGTTTGGGCTTGTACAAATTCGCAGGCCCACTTGACTAACATGAGAAGCCCAATTTCTTTCTTTGACTATTCTTTCCCTTTGACTTTCTTTTTCTTTTCTGATTCTTTCTTTCACGACACAAAACTTCTTCTTCATCCTTTCTTCTTTTTCCTTTCTTCTTCTCCAACAATATCTGGTTTCTCTTTTATTTGTGAGGATTCAAATCAAGGAATTCAACTTCAACACGGGCTGTTCCTTACCAACTAAGGTACGGTTTTTTAAATTTTTCACGAAAACCCTAAAGCGTATGCCTTCGCATCGCCGATTCCTATTTGTATCCATTATTGATTTATTTCTCTCGCATCTTAATTTGCAGGATCTCTTCTACCTTCCCCCAATGGAAAATTTAATGGTTGTTTTTCCCGTGTTTATCAACCTATTCATGAAGATATGATGATAGTTTCTCTAGGGCTAAAAAAAAAAAACTCCAAAAATTTTGAATGTTTCTTGTTTCCATCAGAATCTGATTGTTTGTTTACCTGTTTGTGCAGAAATATGTTGAATTCTACGACAAAGATACTGCCACTCGAGGCTCCTCCTGCCGACGGGAATCTCAGTCCACTTCCTCCTTCGCAGTTAAACGATCAAGAAGTCCAAGAGAAGGCAGAGCAAAACAATCCAAACAAAGCTGTCGCGACTCATACGAAGGCTATTGGAATCATTCACCCACCTCCAGATATCAAAGCTATTATCCAGACAACGGCCAAGTATGTTTCTGACACCGGTTCGGAGTTTGAAAAGAAGATTATAGCTAAAGAAGCCGAGAATGCTAGATTCAACTTCTTGAAAAGCTCGGACCTTTATCATGCCTTTTACAAGCAGAAACTCACTAAATACCGTGCTCAGAGTCAAGATGGAGCTCAGGCTTCTGTTCTTAAACCTGATTCTGCAGATGACAATGAAGCAGTTGATGCAAAACCGGACCTTCAGGCTCAATTTAGGGTCCCTCCTAAGGCTCTTGAAGCTCCAGAACCTGAGAAGTATACAGTTAGAGTTTCTGAAGGGATCACGAGCGAGGAGCTTGATATTATTAAGCTCACAGCGCAGTTTGCGGGACGTAATGGGCAATTGTTTTTGAATGGATTGCAGAGTAGAGAAAGTAACAATCCTCTGTTTCAGTTTATGAAGCCAACACATTGGATGTTCCCTTTTTTCAATGCTCTGATCAATGTGTATTTGGACGTGTTAATGCCTCCCAAAGATTTCAAAGAGAAGCTGAGGAAGAGTGTTGCTGATTTTACGACCGTTCGTGACCGCTGCTTGAATCGTCTTGAATGGGACCGTTCTCAGGAGCAGCAGAGAAAGAAAGAAGAGGACGAGAAAGAGCTTGAGAGAGTGCAGATGGCTATGATTGATTGGCATGACTTCTCGGCTGTTGCATCGATAGATTTTGCAGACGAGGAGGATGAAGGGTTGCCACCTCCTACAACATATGAGGACGTTACAAGGAAGAGAAGAGTATCAACGATGGCAGAAGATGGAATTGTCGAAATGGAAATGGATGAAGAAGAAGTTAAGCTTGTTGCAGAAGGAATGAGAGCAACGACCCTGGAAGAGGAAGGTGGCTCTATGAAGATAGGAAATGTAAACGGAGAAGAAGCAGCATCTATGAGAATTGTTAAGAACTGGAAGAGGCCAGAAGATAGGATCGCAACAGAGAGAGATCTGACTAAAGTTGTTATATCACCAATTACTGGCGAGTTGATTCCCATTAACGAGATGTCTGAGCACATGAGGATTTCGCTTATTGATCCCAAGTTCAAAGAGCTGAAGGATCGGATGTTTGCTAAGATTCGTGACACCACTCTTGCACACGATGATGAGATTGCTAAAAACATAGTCGGGCTCGCTCGTCTGCGTCCTGATATCTTTGGAACAACCGAAGAAGAAGTCTCAAACGCTGTTAAAGCAGAAATTGAGAAGAAGAAGAAAGATGAGCAGCCTAAGCAAGTTATATGGGATGGTCACACAGGAAGTATCGGTCGCACAGCAAACCAAGCCTTGACTCAGAACTCTAACGGACAAGAGCAAGGCAATGGCGTTTATGGAGATCCCAGTACCTTCCCTGGTCTAGCTTCTCTTCCTCCTTCTGGACCAGGTCTCCGGCCATTACCACCACCTCCTAATCTCGCCTTGAACCTCCCTCGTCCTCCTCCTTCTGTTCAGTACCCTGGTTCACCGAGGCCATTAGGTGTTCCAGTGATGCAATCCATGCATCAACAACACCAGTTCTTGATGCCCGGGCCACCTGGACACCTGTCGATGATGATGAACCTAACACTACAAATGCAGCCTAGTATGCCTGTGCCTCCTCCACCAGGATCACATTTTGCCCATCTTCAAGTTCCTAAACCTTATGGTCAGTTTCCACCTCCTTCAATGGGAATGATGCAACCACCACCTATGTCTGGGATGCATCCTCCTCCACCACCAGTGGAGGCGCAACCAACTCTTCCTGAGGAGCCAGAGCCAAAGAGACAGAAGTTAGACGAGTCAGCTCTTGTTCCTGAAGACCAGTTTCTTGCTCAGCATCCGGTAATGTTTTCTTATCTTATTTTTTCCTTTTTTCTTGAGTTGTAATCTCACCTGTTTTAGAAAATTTTCAAGGTTCTGCCACGATCAGGGTGTCTGTTCCAAACGTGGATGATGGGAAATTCATTGAGATCACAGTGCAGTGTTTATCTGAAAACGTGGCAACTTTGAAGGAGAAGATAGCCGGGGAGACACAATTTCCAGCAAACAAACAGAAGTTAAGTGGAAAAGCCGGGTTCTTAAAGGACAACATGTCACTTGCACATTACAATGTGGAAGAAGGAGAAGTCCTAACACTGTCTTTGAGAGAACGTGGTGGGAGAAAAAGATAGAGACGCTGGTGGATGCAGGGAATTGCTTTTTTATTCTCTTCTTTTTTTATTTGGTGCTTTTTTATTGGTGAACTAAACTCTCTTTACTGCTCTTTCTCTTATCTATGGAGTTTTAGATGAGGAATGATTATCACTGACTTAAATTTGTTTTGTATTTGCAGCTAGGCAACGATTGGGCTCTGTAATCTAAAAAAATCCACTTTTTGGTGTATGTCGATCCACTGCTCGTTTGTCCATATGCAAGTGCAAGTATAGTTGCTGGACATTAAAAAAAGATTAGTCAATGTATGATCAATCTAAGTAATAGCCAAGAAGAAACAGAATTTAGTAGAAACTACCGTTTATGCCCATTAAAGCAGAGAATGCAACATTGTTAAGACCATCTTCATAAACGTTTTCTGTTAAACTCTGGTTCAAAAAAATTATCTGAAATCAAAAGGGTGCATTAGGTATGAAACCCCAGGAACTATGTGGAAACACCATTAACTAACTTCAGTCACCGAATATAAATTAGGACTGATGATGCAAGCGTTCTTGAGCTTGTAGTTTAGACACAATGGTGTTCAACTACGCATTTCCAAGCCACTTGATCTTTTGCTAACTTTTCTTTCTTGTTCAGTGGCCTCAACCTTATATTAAAAACGATCTTTCTCCTCCCTTGATCTTAAGCTTCCACCTGGTATTACAGCTTGTGTTCTGTCCATCTCGGACACATGTTTTATTTTGAGATTGTTTTGAGTTTTACTTTGAATTCTGTTTTGCGTTTCAGTTGCAGGTTTTGAGTGTCTAAATTACATGTTTTAATGCTAGTTTAAAAACTGAAATTTCCAGGTTCTAAAACTGAAAGTTTCAGGCTCAAAAACTCCAAATTGCAGGTTCTAAAAGGAGAAAAAATTGTAGCTTCTAAAGAAGCATTAGCCAATGAATAAACAAACCATTTGAACATTACTAATTAAGAACATGATAACAAAACAAAATAAGACAAAATTCCATCAAACAGCCTTGAGCGTAAAGACTGAACCAGAGATAATGAACTAGAAACTTAAAAAGCACGACACAAACAGAGATAATGAACCAGAGACTATTACGTTAGAATGTTGCAGTCTGCAATTATTACGTTAAATCGAATAGTGGTTGCTATCCGAGTATATATATATGCTCTACTATACAACCATTTTGTGTTGATAATGATTAGTTACAATGAGGACCAGTGAACGATTTGAAAATACAAGAACGAGGATTGACCTTAAGTAATTATCTACATCATCACAAAGGAAGATCGGTAACTCGTTTATGAGAAGACCCTGTCTTGGAGAATTCAGGGTCTGCTTTCTGTGTAGAAGGTAACAGTTTATAAATCCAGGCCGCAGAGACAGCTCCAAGTGTTGGAGCCAGCAAGTAAATCCAGATCCCTTTGTAACATCCCCACACTAGCGCAGGCCCTAAGCTTCTTGCTGGATTCATCGATGCTCCTGATACCTCTCTGTGAAACGAAAGATTCAATTTTTTTTCGATTGGTTAGCCAAAACAGAGTCATTACCATTGAAGAATCAAGCTTAAGGAGACTGAGGAGGGAAAAGCGAAAATTACCCGGCAAAGATAACATTCAGTGTGACGGTTGCGCCGATGATTAACCCCTCTAGTTCCTCACTCTGCAAGATTCATTAATGTTCAAGAACTGAAATTTATATATATATATGAACAAGACATGTGTGTAGTGTTTTTGGATGTTGATCACTTACTGTTCTCTTGGAGGTTGTAATGGCACAGACGACTAACATTAAGAAGCAGGTGATGACGAACTCCATCACAAATGCTTGAAGATCAGACCCAGAAGGAGATGACCCGAGGAAGACATCGTGTTTCTTGCTGCATACATCGTTGTTCAGATCAAACAGAAGACGCAGAGTCGCAGAGGCCAAGGTTGATCCGATGACTTGAACGGTCAAGTAGGCCGGGACATGGTGCAGAGGGAATCTCTGGGTCGATGCTAAGGCAATAGTGACGGCAGGATTGAAATGTGCAGAGGTGTGGCCTAGAGTATAAACAAGAACCATTATCACTAGACCCCAAACCACTGCAATGCCAACAAGAGTCACTGCATTGTGGTATTGAGCATTCACGGCGATAGCAGCACAACCGGCAAATATCAAGTAATAAGTTCCCACGAGCTCCGCTATAAGCTGCAGATCATTTTGCTCATCGTGTTAGCTAATAGAAAACATGAAATGGGTTTGCAGAAAAAGAGAAGCTTTGAAGAGTGAATTAAGACTACCTTTTGCAAGAAATGGACAGAGAACAATGGCGGCGATGTGTGAGGAAACGGAGGAGGAGAAGTGTCTGAAACAGAAGAAGCTTGGATGTTGAGTACAACAACATTTCCATGGTTACTTTTGCTAAGAGATATGTCATCCATTTGATTTTTTTGTTTGTTTATGGTTTGCTCAATCTGAAAAATAGAAAGAAGGAAAAAGAGAGTATAAAGCCTTGTTTGATTGATGTTTGAAGTTTTTGTGTTTTAGAGATTGTAATGAGGTTCTGCCTTTATAGTTCCTTTACCAAAACCCAAAAACAAAATGAGAAAAAAAGTAATTACAAAAAGTCAAATTTTGCTTTCTAGCAACTTGTTTGAGCAAAATCATGGTTTATTGGATGGGTGGTTATTTAATTTAATAAGTAAAAGCTGGATACTACTGAATTTGCAAATGGTTTTGGAGAGTAAAAGACACAGGTCGAAGCCAAATGGTTATTATAATCATTTATGTTAAGACAGCCAAATGGATAGTATAATTTATACGAAGAAAGCCAAAACCAGTTTTAGTATTTGGTTTGGTTTCCTGGTTCATTGTGTTTTCTAAATTTGTTAGTTTAGGAAACTACAGTGCAAGTTACTCATTAAGAAGTTAGAACTATAAAGAAGGACCCGTATCCGAACCTGAACCCGAATCCGAATTCGAAACCGACCCACGAACATTTTTAAACTCAGTTTTTCAGATGTGGCTCTTCTGAGCTTGCAAATGCTCAAACCAGAGAAACTAGCGTTCTCCATTTGCCGCCAATTTCCATTACTCAAACCAAGACAACTCGAGGAAGCACGACGCGATCTTGTGAGGGACTTTCTTTGCCGGCTGAAAAAATGCGTCTCCGTGAACCAATTGCGAGAGATTCAAGCACAGATGTTATTGAACTCCGTCGAAAAACCAAATTTTCTGATTCCCAGGGCCGTCGAGCTTGGAGACTTCAGTTATGCCTCTTTTCTCTTCTCCGCGACGGAAGAACCAAACCACCACTCCTTCAATTTCATGATCCGAGGGTTAACCAACACGTGGCATGACCACGGAGCGGCTCTGTCGCTGTATCGCCGGATGAAGTTTTCTGGGTTAAAGCCCGACAATTTCACATATAATTTTGTTTTCGTCGCGTGCGGGAATCTCCCGGAGCTTGGGGTTGGTAGATCTGTTCATTCGTCGTTGTTCAAAGTCGGATTGGAAAGAGACGATCACGTGATTCATTCCTTGATGATCATGTATGCGAAATGTGGTCATGTCTCTTATGCCCGGAAGGTGTTCGATGAAATTACTGAGAAAAAAGGTATTGTGTCCTGGAACACGATGATCTCTGCGTATTCTCTGGCGGGTCACGCGAACGAGGCGGTGGATTTGTTTAGGAAAATGGAGGAGGAGGAGGAGGAAAGAGTTGAACCAAATGAGAGGACTTTGGTCAGTGTTTTGGGTGCTTGTGCCCATTTGGGGGATTTAAAAACTGGTAGGTTTCTGGAGGAGATAGCCATCACCAAGAAGATCGGGTTAAGCACGTTCCTAGGGCCTACGTTGATCAGTATGTATGGAAAATGCGGTGAATTGGATTCGGCCACAAGGGTTTTCAATCAAATGATTAAGAAGGATTGTGTTCCTTGGAATGCTATGATCACTGTGTAAGTCAAATGTTTCGAAACTTTATTCATATAAAGTCTGAATTTTTTACCCCGTTGATAAAGCTGGATTTGATCTATTTTGGTTGTTCTTTCTGATTTCTTCTCAGATACTCGCAAAATGGGAAGTCAAGTGAAGCTATTAAACTGTTTCTTGAGATGAAAAAAAGCAGAGTTTCCCCGGACGCGATTACAATATCTACGGTACTGTCTGCTTGTGGTTCGGTTGGAGCTCTTGAGTTAGGCAAAAAGATTGAGACATACGCTTCGGAAACAGGCTTGCAACATAACATCTACGTGGCCACAGCACTAGTCGACATGTACGGAAAATGCGGAAGCATAGAGGAAGCTCTGAGAGTATTTGAAGCCATGCCGTTAAAAAACGAAGCAACTTGGAACGCTATGATAACCGCTTATGCTCACCATGGACAAGCTCAAGAAGCTCTCCTGCTGTTTGATCAGATGCCAGTTCCTCCAAGTGATGTGACATTCGTCGGAGTACTCTCAGCTTGTGTGCACGCGGGTTTGGTCGATCAGGGCCGTCGATATTTTCATCAGATGACTTCTTCATTCGGTTTGGTCCCGAAAATCGAGCATTTCACAAGCATGATCGATCTCCTGTCTCGTGCGGGGCTGTTAAGCGAGGCTTGGGAGTTCATGGAGAGATTTCCTGGGAAGCCAGACGAGACCATGTTAGGAGCGATTCTTGGTGCGTGTCAGAAGAGAAAAAATGTGGCGATTGGAGAGAAAGCGATGAGGATGTTGATGGAGATGGAGGAAGCGAAGAACGCAGGAAACTATGTTATCTCTTCCAAGGTTTATGCTGATATGAAGATGTGGGATGAGTGTGCGAAGATGAGGGCGTTGATGAGAGACAGAGGCGTCGTTAAGACACCTGGATGTAGCTGGATTGAGATCAACGGTGAGACAATGGAGTTCATTGCCGGAAGCGATTATTTACAGTGTGGCAGGGGAGATTCCGGTTCGTTGTTCGGTTTGTTGGTAGAGGAGATGAAGAGGGAAAGGGATGATTTTTCAGTGGAAGTTTGATTTTTTTTGCTATTCCCTTACGCTGCGACTTTGTGAAGATGTAATTCTTGTGAAATTTGGTGTAAAAGATCTGAGTTAACTCGTCTTCTCTGACTTTCAAAGTGGTGCAAATAGTTCTAGGTCCGTGAAGGAGAGGCATGAACCGATATGCTTCATTTGATGCTTATAATGTGGGGACGAATGGGTGGTTGTCTGGTTAATGTCATAAATACTAACTTATGATTTTATGAGTTTTCGTTTCCATTTATATAACAATCTAATTGAAGTGTAATTCCAGAGAAACGAAAATGATTAATGGTACACAAATTGTCTACGTTTCAGATACGTGATTGAGCGAAAAAAAACTATCAAGCTACCAATTTATATTTATCGGTAATCAATTTGTTTGTCGTTCGTATAATCACTAATCTAAACTCAACTTTCCGGGAATTATTACCTAAGGGAAAAATAACGAACGGAGCCATCGCCAAACCAACAACCGTTCGGGTGAGCTAGACGAGAACGACGTCGCACCCGCCATTTTCTCCATCCTTGAAGCAATAGCTTCTTCACTTCAGATCTCTTCTTCATCCTCTTCTTCTCCTTCTTCTTCTTCTTCTCCGTCTTCTCTCTTCGTACCTTCCTCTCTCTCCATGTTCTACTGTATTCTCTAGGGTTTCGGATCCTTTGCCTGTTTTCGAGAGGTCGAATTCGATACCTTAGATCCGGCGGTGGAGTGGAAATCGCTTTCGCTATCTCTTCCCATCATTTTGGGTTTCTACTGTCTGATTTTTTTGAAAATCTGAAGATTCTCTTCGTGGATCCAGCAAAATGGCGGATTCCGAGCCAATTTCGCCTGGCCAGGTACTGTATCGCGTAACTTTGGTGTCTCAAGCTTCAGCGTGATCTTAGTTTCATCATTTTTGCTAACTTCTCCCGCGGATTCATAGATTTAGAATGATTTAGTTTTGTAGTTGAATATGAATATGTGATTCCTACTACATCATTAGGGTGTCGAGTGATTGAATTGACAATTTGGATCAGTTTCCTAGAGAGATTGATATTGCTGTCTTAAGAAATCTAGTGTCTTAATACTGTTTTTCAAATGCCCATCCCGTTTGTTTGTTTCCAAATCGAAGCAACCTTCTTCAATCTCGAAGATTTAGCTTAATCTTGATTCTTAAACGATGCACTCTAAAGATTTGGTTTTGGGTGAGAGAACATAATTCCTGTATTGTATCTTTCTTGATAGCTTCTTTTTCTTTAAATGCAGGTTTCGTTTCTGCTCGGAGTCATCCCTGTCTTCATAGCATGGATATACTCAGAGTTTCTAGAGTATAAGAGGTCTTCATTGCACTCTAAAGTGTATGTATTGGGAATATAATTTACAACTTTATACGGCTCACTTGTTCTGTTCTGTATCTAACTTGACAGTAGTCTATATCTGCTTTGTTTCACTTCATTTTTTTTTTCTGGTTTCCAATATCTTTCCCTCTTACTTGCAGTCATTCAGATAATAATTTGGTTGAACTGGGTGAGGTGAAAAACAAGGAAGAGGAAGTAGCAGTTTTACTGGAAGGAGGTCTTCCAAGATCAGTCTCTTCGAAGTTCTATAACTCGCCTATCAAAACGAACTTGATTAGGTAGTTATAGCGAATTCTTCTTTTTTGGTTTCTTCGAGTGGAGTGTTCTCTCCATAAAAATCGTTCTTAATACCATTTATGTTTGTCTGCTTGTAGGTTTCTGACGCTGGATGACTCTTTCTTGATTGAAAATCGAGCAACCTTGAGAGCAATGTAAGTTCCTAAATTATCAGAATGGATTCATGCTGATCATCATACTCTCCCATTGACTGTATTAGCTCCTCTCAGGGCTGAGTTTGGGGCGATTCTTTTTTACTTCTATATTTGCGATCGAACGAACTTGCTTGGAGAGTCGAAAAAGGTGCGTCCTCTAAATTTCTTTGACGAATTTTCCTTTCTCGGTTTCAATCAGTCATCAAAGATTTAAAACAATTTACTCGCGAAATATGTGTAAAATGTAGTGTCGGAGGTAGAAATCTTAGTCGGAAAATTGTTTTGCAACTGATTACACTTCTTTTTCTTATATGCTTTCCATTTTCAGAATTACAACCGAGACCTTTTCCTCTTTCTCTACTGTCTGCTCATCATAGTGTCAGCCATGACATCCTTGAAGAAACACAATGACAAATCACCAATTACAGGGAAATCCATCCTCTATCTTAATCGTCACCAGACTGAAGAGTGGAAGGGATGGATGCAGGTAATAGATTTACTCTTTTCTCAGTAGGTTTCCATTACCTTTTCATTAGTCTTTCGCTTTTACTTCCCAGCATAATTCTGAGCTTTTTGATATCACCGTTTGATATTTTGTTTTGCAATTTCTTTTTCATGCTGATTCACTGTTCTTGTGTCTTTGCAGGTTCTATTTCTGATGTATCATTACTTTGCTGCGGCTGAGATATATAATGCAATCCGAGTCTTCATCGCTGCCTACGTCTGGATGACTGGTTTTGGGAACTTTTCTTATTACTATATCAGAAAGGATTTCTCCCTAGCACGATTCACTCAGGTCAAATCGACAGTTTCAAATTTTTTTTTTATTGTTGTCAACAGTTTCAATTTCTTTAGTTAATAAGTTTACCATGATATATGCTTCTATAAAGCATATGTTTCTTTCAATGACTCAAGATGCTCATGAAGTCTTTTACTTCTTACAGATGATGTGGCGTCTTAACTTATTCGTGGCTTTTAGCTGCATTATTCTCAATAATGATTATATGCTATACTACATCTGTCCAATGCACACTCTGTTCACTCTAATGGTGTATGGAGCCCTTGGTATCTTCAGTCGGTATAACGAAATACCATCAGTAATGGCTGTGAAGATTGCTTCATGCTTTCTTGTGGTCATCTTAATGTGGGAGATTCCTGGAGTTTTTGAGATTTTCTGGAGTCCTCTTACATTCTTACTGGGTCAGTATCGGACTTTTCACAGATCTATTGATTTTGGCATGGTTAACTGCATATCTGTCTCGTCCGAAAACATTTTTGACGGCGAAGTTTGGATGCCATTTGCTTATTAGGATCTGTGTGAATGTATGTTGACTAACATTTGGTTTATGTCCTTAAACAACTGCAGGATACACTGATCCAGCTAAACCAGATCTACCGCTTCTACATGAATGGCACTTTAGATCAGGACTTGACCGCTACATATGGATTGTTGGAATGATATATGCCTATTTCCATCCCACTGTAACTCTTGAGCCTATGGTGCTTTCATTATATATATATCTTCTCATGAAACCCACCATTTACATCTTTTTTGACATTTTCATCTCAGGTAGAGAGATGGATGGAGAAATTGGAGGAGTGTGATGCCAAGAGAAAGATATCAATAAAAACAAGCATAATTGCAGTTTCCTCCTTCGTGAGTTTGGCTTCTCTCTGACTTATGCATCGTATGTAATTGATATAATTCTGATTGGCGAAGTTGTGTTCTTCATATTGTTCAGGTTGGTTACCTATGGTATGAATACATCTACAAGCTTGACAAAGTTACCTACAACAAATATCATCCCTACACATCATGGATTCCAATAACGTTAGTATCAAACCTCTTTTCTGTCACCCAAAAACGTCAAATCTTGAGATAGTCTTCCTTTGGATCCTGACTTTAGCTTTAATTCTGTTGTCTCAGTGTCTACATCTGTCTACGAAATTCCACACAACAGCTGCGAAATTTCTCCCTGACACTATTTGCGTATGTTTCTCAATTTTAGTCCATTTTCAACCAAGCTTGGTGTTTATTCTGTACACATCTCTAACAAAACGCAACTTTCATGATCTTCCTAGGTGGCTCGGCAAGATCACTCTGGAGACCTATATTTCTCAGTTTCACATCTGGTTAAGGTCAGCAAGAAACTGTTTCTTTTCTCCCAGATAAGTAGGCATGAAACAATTTGTCTTAAGGATTTACGAATGAAATTTTAACTAAAATTTGTATTTACTTCAGATCGAATGTGCCTAATGGACAGCCTAAGTGGCTATTATCCATCATTCCAGAATACCCAATGCTCAACTTCATGCTCACCACGGCCATCTATGTCTTGGTAAAGCAATAGTAGAATCTGTGGAGGAAAACACAACTTTCATACACTCTGCATTATATAAAATGTAATTTGTTCTCTTGATTTATTTTCTTCAGGTGTCTCATCGGCTTTTCGAGCTTACCAATACTTTAAAGTCTGTTTTCATACCCACAAAAGATGACAAGAGGCTGCTCCACAACGTCCTCGCTGGAGCTGCCATCTCTTTCTGTTTATATTTAACCGCTCTCATTCTTCTTCAGATCCCACACTAACCATGTAAGAACTCTTTTACTCCTCCTGGTTCATTGCAGCCACTTTTAATGATTAGAATGCTCGCTTAGGAAGAGGTACAACTCTCGGTTAACACGCTAGAACCACTTTTCGTTTACAGGAGGGACTATAAACATGTGGAAAACATGAATCTCATAGAGGTTTCTATGTCAAACTTGTTAAATAGTTACGACACACGTCTCATATCGACAATAAAGATTTGTTTTCGAAGATGAGTAATTTTTGAAGCTTGCCAGATGAAGCGTCTTTTGAGTAATTGAAACAAGAGAGGTTTCAGATAATGGCTGATCAAAGTGAAGCATCTTGTGGCATTTGGACGGCATCATCTTAGTTTTCTCTCTTTTCTGTTGTAATTTTGCCATAAGTTTCCAATATATAGTTTCATTTGCCTTTTTGTTCCTCTGTATTGCTATATTGTCAAAATACAGAACAAATATCATCTACCATTTTTTTTACCAGAATGGATTACTCAATTCAATTTGTGTCTTTCGATAAAACGCCAACACAGTTGAGAAAAAGAGGTTGGATTTCTGATAAATCATACAAAGATACGACAAAGGAAATTTCACAAATTTACATAAGGAACCATAACAAACAAACTCTCTTTCTCTGCTCTCACTCACATAATAAGCTTTTATCTCGCTCACTTTCCGGGGACGAAGTTGGTGGCGAAGGCCCATGCGTTGTTGTTGACTGGATCAGCCAAATGGTCGGCGAGGTTCTCCAACGGTCCCTTTCCGGTGACGATGGCCTGAATGAAGAATCCGAACATAGAGAACATAGCCAACCTTCCGTTCTTGATCTCCTTCACCTTCAACTCAGCGAAAGCTTCTGGGTCGGTAGCGAGGCCCAATGGGTCGAAACTTCCACCTGGGTAAAGCAAGTCCTCTGCTTCTCCCAACGGACCGTCTCCGGCAACTCTGTAACCCTCAACAGCTCCCATGAGGATCACTTGAGTGGCCCAGATAGCTAAGATACTCTGAGCGTGGACCAAGCTCGGGTTGCCCAAGTAATCGAGCCCTCCTTCGCTGAAGATCTGTGAACCGGCCTTGAACCAAACCGCTTCTCCGAACTTCACTCCGTTCCGAGCCAAGAGCTCAGGGAAAACACATCCTAGGGCTCCGAGCATGGCCCATCTGCAGTGGATAACTTCTAGCTCACGGTTCCTTGCGAAAGTCTCTGGGTCGGCGGATAGACCGGCGGTGTCCCATCCGTAGTCTCCGGGGAACTCACCGGTGAGGTAGCTTGGGGGCTCGCCGGAGAATGGACCCAAGTACTTGACTCTGTCGGATCCGTACCATGGGCTGCCAGATGGGCCTGTGGGCTTGGCGGTTTTGCGCATGGTGACACGACCGGTTCCAAATACTTCGGAGGCTGCCGGTGAGAGCTTCACGGCCTTTCCGGCGAAGGCAGGGGAGGACAGAGCCATGGTTGAGGCAGCCATTGGAATTCTTCTTCTTTTTTTTCTTTTTTTGGTTTTTTTTTTTGTGACTGGTGAGAGTGATTGAAAATGGTTGGGGTATAGATCCATTTTATAGAAATCTTAAGAATGAGATTTTGGATATGTCGTTTGGTTGTCCTATGTGTCACTCTCTACTCCACCAACTTTTGGTTTAGATTCTTTGATTGCAATGAAGACACTTGTGATTTTTACACTGGAAAATTTGAGTAAATTACCACAAATAAAGGCTACTTTGTTTTGAATTAACTCGACGCTGATGATTCGTTTCAAGCGGATAGAAATATGTCAAAAAATACAGGTGGCATGCAATCAGTGGATATTCGTATATGCTGAGACGGTACAAGATATCTAAATTATCTATCTAAACACAACTCAACTCCTAACTACAAATGGGAACACTTATGCCAGCTCAGTAAGACAAAAAAATCTAAGCTCCAAAGATGTCTGCAACCAATAGAAACGAAGACATTGATATCTTGAGATAAAGAGAAATAAATCCAAATAGATTAATCAACAGTTTGTTTTCACATTATAAAATACAGAGAAACATCACCGAATCTCAACCATCTAATTCCTCACAACTAAAACATTTTACTTGCAACACACTCTAACCGCAATGGCTACCTCGACAATGGCTCTTTCCTCTCCTGCTTTGGCCGGACAGGCCATGAAGTTATCTCCGGCGGCCTCTGAAGTATTTGGAACCAGTCGAGTCACCATGCGCAAAACCACTAAGCCCACCGGCCTAGGCCTGGGCACATTATCCGAACCCGAACAATCTATCCGAACCTGATCCGAAAAAGAGAAACTGAATCCGAACCGAAACTAATAAAATATCCGAACGGTTTTGAAATTTCTAAATCCGAAAAACCGAAACCGAACCACACCAAACCGAAAATCCGAATGGATATCCGAAATATCCGAAATACAATTATATATCCAAAATACTAACTACATTTAGACTTAATAACCTAAAATCACAATTATAAATCTAAAATATGAATTTTTTTATTCTGAAAATGATGAAAAAATCCAAAATAATTTAAATATACTAAAGTTTTTAGTTATATTTGTTAAAATTTGCCAAATTTTATTTGAATTTAACCAATTTTATTTAAATTTAATTATTTTTATTTAATTTTTATTATTTTTTGGATATCCGAACCCGAACCGAACCCGATCGAATATAACCGAACCCGAACCGAAATTCCAAAAATACCCGAATGGGTTTTAAATCTAAAAACCGAAAATCTGAAAACCCGAATTATCCGAACCGAATCTGAATGGATATCCGAACGCCCAGGCCTACACCGGCCCATCTGGCAGCCCATGGTACGGATCCGATAGGGTCAAGTACTTGGGTCCTTTCTCCGGTGAGCCCCCGAGCTACCTCACCGGGGAGTTACTACGGATGGGACACCGCCGGTCTATCCGCCGATCCAGAGACCTTCGCTAGGAACCGTGAGCTAGAAGTTATCCACTGCAGATGGGCCATGCTGGGAGCTCTTGGATGCGTCTTCCCTGAGCTCTTGGCTCGCAACGGAGTGAAGTTCGGAGAAGCGGTTTGGTTCAAGGCTGGTTCACAGATCTTCAGTGAAGGAGGGCTAGACTACTTGGGCAACCCGAGCTTGGTCCATGCTCAGAGAATCTTAGCCATTTGGGCCACTCAAGTGATCCTCATGGGAGCTGTTGAGGGTTACAGAGTCGCCGGAGATGGCCCTTTGGGAGAAGCAGAGGACTTGCTTTACCCTGGTGGAAGTTTCGACCCATTGGGCCTCGTTACCGACCCAGAAGCTTTCGCGGAGTTGAAGGTGAAAGAGATCAATAACGGAAGGTTGGCTATGTTCTCTATGTTTGGATTCTTCGTTCAAGCCATCCACCGGAAAGGGACCCTTGGAGAATCTCGCCGGCCATTTAGCTGATCCAGTCAACAACAACGCATGGGCCTTCGCCACCAACTTCGTCCCCGGAAAGTGAGTGTAATGTGTGATCGAGTTGTGTGTATCGGTTTGTTGAATCTTGGAAATGTGATGTAAACTTCAAACGTTTGAAATATTTATTAAACTTTATGATATTGGTGGATTCATTACTTACTAAATGTACAAGAACATTACGTGCAACTAATTCAGGGTTCACACAAAACAACTCGGTTCTAAGGATATAATAGAGATGCATGTCTCCAAATTATCAGATGGTCACATTACAGTTTAAAAATTTGTTCCATATTATACAATCTTATGTGGCAGAATATCAAACTTTTTGAGTTCTTGGATCTAGTTTTCACACATCCACGAATGGTTAGGTTAATTTTGTTTTTCCTTCCTATAGTCTAAATTTTCATTAACTCACGTTTGGCCATTCCAAGATTTTGGACGGCTTGGAGACCATCTACATGGAATTCGAATTTATATAGGTGTTTTTTGTGTTTTTAGCAAAATTGGAAATAACCACATGAAACGAACATATCAAGATATAAAATTATATTTTGGATCATATATTAGGACGTCTATGAAAGTAGCACAAACTACTGACAGCACAAACTACTGGCAGCACATGTTCTAATTCAAGATTTAATAGCATTCAAGATATTATTACCTTAGCCTTAACGAAGCGGTTCACAAAAGACCAATACAACAATATACGTCCCACCATCAGAACCGTTATCAACATTTTATAAACCCTGAACAATCATAATAACATTCTAATTAAAAGATATATTTAATAGTTTTAAATAATATTTTTGATACATTTTAGTGCAAACGTTTTTTTTCGTATTATCATATTAACACCTCTCTCCATTTCAGTTTATAAATTGTTTATAGTTGTTTCAAATAGGAAATTATACCATAGATTGTATGGTAGAGAGCTAGAATGTATATAAATGTTCGATCAATATAAAGCCAAGTTGTTGACAGGCCGGTCCGGTTTTTATAACATTGCATTTTATTCTTTACTAGGTAATAAATCTCGTATTTTGTCTATGTTATTAAGAGCAATGGTTGAAGTTTTGATTCATAGGAAAAAAGAAGAAATTTTAAATATTCTTGGATGTTTGAATAACACAATTAGAAACTATTCAACGCACCAATAAGGCAATTCAAGATTTTCAATTTAAAACTTGCTAAATCTGCACTAATATATCATGTATGATACTCTTGTTAGGTTCAATGGAAATTCTCCACCACCCTTACTAAATTTAGAGAAATACAATTTCTTCAATTAAAAAAAATCTTCATCTTCACCAATATATATTCTTTCACTGGAGAGAAAGGAGTATCTCTCATATTCTCACCGTTTAGCAAACAAATGGGTCGGAGAAAGATCAAGATGGAGATGGTTCAGGACATGAACACAAGACAGGTCACCTTTTCAAAACGGAGGACTGGTTTGTTCAAGAAGGCGAGCGAGTTAGCCACACTCTGCAATGCCGAGTTGGGTATTGTTGTCTTTTCACCAGGAGGTAAGCCTTACTCCTACGGGAAACCGAATCTTGATGCTGTTACAGAGCGATTCATGAGGGAGGAATGTGAGGATTCAGATGATGGTGATGAAGAAGGAAGATGCGGTAACAATCGACCTAAACTGAAGAAGATGAACGAACGTCTAGATTTTCTCAAACAAGAGATTGAAGCTGAGAAGAAACGAGGAGAGAAGGCTCAGGAGAAGCTTGAATCTGCTGGTGAAGCGAGATTTAAGAAGCCCATTGAGAAGCTTACCATCGGTGAACTCAACGAATACAGAGATAAGTTGCAAAGAGTCCATGGTAGGATCCAAGGTCAAGCCAAAAATTTGCACGCTTCGTCTTGTCTCTTGCTTCTCTCCAAGGACAAGACTCCTGCGAATGAAGATTTAGATAACTAGATCGACTTATTTGTATCACCTTAGAGAAGTTACTAAATACATTAAAGATATTGTTGGTGAAGAACTGTCTTCATCTATGGGGTGTGACTTTCAATTTGATATCAAAAGAATGTAACTTAGAAACCAGAAAGCACCTAGAAATTAAAGTGACTTACTAAAACTTGATCATCTTTTTCGTCAGTCTGCAGTCTGGAAATTTCTTTTCAATTATAACCGAGGCAGATTAAATGAAATGGTAAAACCTTGGCCAACATTCAAAAAACTGGTTAGCTTTTATTGATCTCCAAGTGCAGTACACAGAAGAATGAGTATCAGGAAAGAATGATCTCAAGGAAACAGAAACTTCTAAATATCACCGATTTACAAACCCATCCTAGAAGGCTTAAGAACATTGTTTTCTAATGTGGTAAATAAAAAATAGTCTATTCAGAAAAATTTGAGTCGGTCTCTGATTCATCATATTCACCTGATTCCTACAAAAATAAATAATAGAATGAAAAGCTCAGACCAATGTGTAATGTTAAACAAAAGCAAAAGAAAAATGAAAAGAAAAAAAATGGGTACCATTCTCTTGGTATATTCTGTCATTGCTCGTTGAAACTCTTCCCTCTTCTCAGTGGCTATGTCATAGTACTTTACCTTTTCCTATTAAACAGTAGAAGAACAAACAAACAAGGAGTAAGAGACTTCCATCTTTCTAGAGGATATGAAATACCAACCAAAAACCATGTGAGTAGCAAAGAGAAGAAGAATGAAAATGTTGTTGACCGTAAAGAACTAACAAAACAACCGAGTGCAAATCGCAATCTGGCAAACAGCTGACCCAGATCATCATGAGCATATCTATCTAACCATATATACGCTAACGATGAAACCATTGTATTGTCCAAGTAAACATAACCTATCACCACAATTTTCAGATTCCATGCATTCGGGTATGACTCAAACAACGTTATTGAGTAAAACTCTTGGAAGACGATAGAGAAAGCCTGTTAACAAACTCTAAGAGACAAGAAAGTAAAGAGCGTTATCCAAATGTTACCTCGTATGTCATTGTTTTCCATTTCTCTCCGCAAGTCTTCCCAATCTGGAGGTATTGCAGAACAAAAACAAATCAGCAACAGAATCAAAGCGAATGTAATAGTCAACTCTGTTTTACTTTAAAATACCACACAGTAATTGTCTACAACCTCGCGCATGGACTTGATCTCTGGATTCTGCTCTTGATATTGCTTCCGGAAATCCTCCCTTTGAACCAAAAGATAAGGCAATATGAGGCAAGAGGAAAATGCATACAACAGGTGTTTCTTTGTATGTCTTATAAAATAACCAGAGCACATAACAATTTGGGATTACAACATAAAACAAATCTCGTCCTAACGAGAAATGGAAAACCGCAGACGAATTTCCCCTTAAGAGAGGAGTGCAAAAAGAAGTCAGCTGATCCAAAATATATTAAAGATAACAGTTGCACAGTCATATCAGAGAGGATACCTACAAGAAATAGAAGAAAGCAGTGGGAGGTTTCTTGGGCATCTTCGAGTGAAGCTTAGCTGGTTTCTTCTTCTTCTTCTGGCTTGTCTTTGGCTTTCTCAAAGGCTGGAGTCTGAGTCTTGTAGACCTCCTTGCATCTTCGCTTGACTTCACAGCCGACTCTACGTTACTGCAAAGTTTCAGAATGCAATTAACAAAGTAACGACAAAGTCTTAGGAACCTCTTTCTTAGTTCTTCTCAGGATTAACAAGTAAAAGAGGAAGAATCACTCTTCTCCAATTTGTACAATTTCAAAAGGGAAAAAAAGACACCCATTTGCCTTTGAATAGCATAAATTTCACACATTTCATTTCAGTTTGATCCAAGTCCCTAACTTTTTCACTTAATCAGTAATCACTAGAGAGACACCAAGCAGAAACCTAAACAGAGAAATCAGAGCAAAACCCAAAACTTATAGCCATATAAACCCATCTATGCCATACACAAAAACATACCGACCAGAGCCTCCGCTGCACGACGGAGACGAAGGCCGCGATATCCCTGACTTGGGTGCTTTCTTCGTCATTTTCTCGCTCCGTCAAAAGATTTTCTCGCCACTTTCTCGGAATCGGCCGCTCGGGGTTTTTCGGTAATTACGTATGATGCTTGAAATGTAAAGAAATTGAAACAGTTTTGTATGACAAGTTTGCCACGTGGTGTAATATCATCAACAAGAAAAAAGAACGCCCAGAAATTAAAAATTGACAAATTTAATTTAGTTTTAACGTTGCGGAGAGATTACACATCGATGGCAACATCTCTGCTTCTCAGACACTCATCAGCTGTCTTCTTCTCAAAATCTTCCCTCTTCTTCACCAAGAACAACTCTTCTCGTTCCGTCACATCCATCAAGGTAAGCTTTTTCTCTTTGCAATTTCTCTGGAATGGAACATCTTTATGTGCATTTGCATCATCTATTTGCTAGAAGAATCTTTGTATCGGATTGTGTTTGGTTGTTGAGGAATTAGTAAATTAGATTTCCGAAATTATGAGACTTGCTTTTGTCTCAGATGGAAAGAGGTGAAGCAAGTGAAGTGATCACCGAGAAAACGGGAGAAGGAAACGCGGCTAAGAAGATGGTGTTCGTCGCCGGAGCCACTGGAAAAACCGGGAAGAGGATCGTGGAGCAGTTGTTGTCCCATGGCTTCGCCGTCAAAGCCGGTGTTCGTGATGTAGAGAAAGCAAAAACATCTTTCAAAGACGACCCGTCTCTTCAGATTGTATGTTCTATTTCCTTGTCTTAATCTAATGTTCTTTCGCTGTTAGTTTTGTTTTGAAAATCCCACAACTACCTCTGTGATTAGGTTAGAGCAGACGTGACAGAAGGTCCTGAGAAGCTAGCTGAAGCTATAGGTGATGATTCTAAAGCTGTGATTTGTGCTTCTGGGTTTCGTCCCGGGTTTGATCTTTTCGCTCCTTGGAAAGTCGATAATTTCGGGACAGTGAATCTGGTGGATGCGTGCCGGAAACAAGGAGTGGATAGGTTTGTTCTCATAAGCTCAATCTTGGTGAACGGAGCTGCAATGGGGCAGATACTGAACCCAGCTTACATCTTCCTCAACGTCTTTGGACTAACTCTGGTCGCAAAGCTTCAAGCCGAGAAGTATATCAAAAGATCCGGCATCAACTATACCATAGTAAGGCCCGGTGGTCTTAAAAACGATCCTCCAACAGGAAACGTAGTCATGGAGCCAGAGGTAAAACCTTCTTTGATCTTTGTTTCTGTCTGCTTTTGTGCTGGAACAACTGATAAAGATCTAACCTTTGATCTTTTGTAGGATACTTTGTCTACAGGGAGCATATCAAGAGACCAGGTCGCAGAAGTTGCAGTGGAAGCTCTACTTAATGAGGAATCGTCTTTCAAGGTTGTGGAGATCGTTGCTCGTCCCGATGCTCCAAAACTTTCCTACAAAGATCTCTTTGCTTCTGTTAAGGGAGGAAATTAACTAGGATACAAATCAATCACAATGTAACGAGTCTCATGCTCTATTTGAAAACTTATTTCTCTTATGTCTTGAGTACAACAAACAAACAGATGTGCATAAGCTTTTGTTCATAAACTGAGTTCAAGGTAAGCATTGAGAGAGTTTCATTCATTTTTATCTCTTCTCCATTTTTGGGTCTTAAGAACCCATTAATGGCGCTTGTTCCCGGTCGCTTGTTCCCATGAGTGCAAGACATGGTTCACGATTTCCTCGACCCCAAGTCCATGCTTCACCTGGAAGTGTTAAAGTAATCAAAGAAGACACCTTTGTGAGAACTAAGCTCATTTGGTTATATATTAAGTGATGAATCATATTCCGAAGATGGTGAACCTGAGCAAAGACGAATGGCCCTCCATCACGCATGCGTAGTGCATCCCGTTCCATGACAGATAAGTCGGCCCCAACAGCTGCTGCGAGGTCTGTTTTGTTTATCACCTACCCCAAGAGATTCTTTCACATTAGTTACTATAGACTTGAGATCAAAAGAGCTTTTAAGTTAAGAGTTTAAGCAACATAAGGGCACCAGAAGATCAGCTTGAGTGATTCCAGGGCCGCCTTTCCGGGGTATTTTATCACCAGCCGATACATCGATGATGTAGATGATGTAGTCAGCTAGTTCTCTGCTGAAATTAGCAGCTAAATTATCTGCAAACCCAACACTAATCCTATTCAACCTCACTGGATCCTTCAGAAACAGTAATCAAAAACTAGGGAGGGGAATAGAAATGAAACCTCCACCGGATTCACAAAGAAGCAAATCAGCCTTGAATAAGTTATGTAACTCCTCAAGAGGACCCAAATTGATACTGATATCTTCACGGATCGCAGCGTGTGGACATCCACCGGTTTCAACAGCCCTAATCCTTTCCTCAGGAAGAGCACCATTCTTCACCAGAAACTCGCCGTCTTCTTTGGTGAATATATCATTTGTCACCTACAAGATCAAAATCTTCTTTATTGACATGTGTAGTGCACAAAAAACAAGGAAACAATCTTGTGTGGGAGCTCAGAATTAACTCATAATCGGAAAGATTTGCCGGTGATAATAATAATACTCACAGCAGCAAGACTATATTTGTCCCTCAAGAATCTACAGAGAGCAAGCATCAATGCTGTTTTCCTGATTGAACAGAAACAAAATCAATTCAGAACACAAAGTTGACACATTTGAGCAAAAGAGATGAAACCCAATTAACATTTCCAAAGAAGCCATCACAGATTCGAGGTTTGAATATGTTACCAAATAAATAAAAAAATCAAGCAGCCAATTTGATTTTTTTCAACTACCCTGTGCCAACGGGACCGCCAATACCGACGGTAAAAGCTCTCTCGGAGAAGTTACGGTCGTGAAGCGGTGGAGCTCGGCGGCTGAAGTAGCCAGGGGAGTAGATGGGTTCGTGTGAGTGCGGTGCGAGTCCATCGTGGCTATGGTACACCTTCCCGTCCGGTCCCACCCACGACATCTCCCCATCGCCGCCGTCCGATTTCCTACTTTGCAGAATTAGATAAGATAGATTAGTGATGGTGAGAGAATAAATCGCAGAAAGACTAAAACTTTACGGAGGAAGGGAAAATCAATGAAACACGAACTAACTTGTGGCCATGCTCGTGATCGTGATGATGATGATGACCGTGGTCGTGTGACTCCATTGCAAGGAGATTTGAAGCTTGTTGTTGTGGTTGTATTGACTTTGACTTGTGCTACTAGAGAGTGATATTGATTTGAGCACACAAGAAGTAAGAACCTTTTTTATCTCCAAAGTGATTGGAGATTCTACTATTTTTCGCTCTAGGGTGCTTAAAATGACTGAAATGGCCCTGTTCTATGTCGATAAGATTCCATCGTTGATCTGTGGTGAGAAAATGGATTTTAGTTACAAAAATAGCACTTCTCGCTTTTTCAAATGTACAGTAGAAGCCTTGAGTTGATAATTTGCTTTTTAGTGGTTTACAGCGTATGGAATCGTATATATACGTATTCTATTACTGATTTTGTCTACAACAAAGAACCCAACATAGGAGGAATTAAGAAAGAAGGAAAAGGGTTTTCTTTCATAAGCAAAAAACATGAACCACAAAATCCAGAAAAGGTCTAGTATAGTTTCATGAATACGCCTAGAATGTTGATAAACAAAAATTTCAGGGAAAATCCAAAACAGCAGAGAACATAACTTCATCACGATTCTACGCCACAAAAAAAAAAAGAGTCAATCAGAGACCTTTTACATGAACAAGTTGGGTTTGGAGGCCTTGTAAGTCGTCTTCAGCTTCCTGCTTGGTGGTCTCACCTTGCGGAACACCAATGGGAACTTGATCTTACTGTTATGGAACTGCTTGGTGCTCTCTCTCTTGCACAAAGCTGCCGGGACAGTGGCTGTCTTAATAATCTGGATGCAAGGGAACCTGACACGGTGTCTGGAAGCCATCTCTGTGTACATCTGTTCCACAGCTCCGTTCAAGGTAGTGTCACGATACTCCTTGTACATATTGTGGTATCCAGTTCTGCTCTGATACCTCAACCAGATTCCAAAATTCTTGATGGTTGTCGGGTTTTTCTCAAAAATCTGTAAACAAATTTTGTAATCGATTACGTAAAGTAAGGAGGAGGCATAGAACAATAAAACTACACAAGCTCATGCGAACAACATAACATCTGTTTCAAAATTGATCTAAGTCGTAACGAAAAAGATATCACATTGAGAACGACCTAGTTGCTGAATACTAAGAAATTTGCATTGTCAATCGTTATAAAGATAGTTCATTTACAGAAGATTTTCACAAATTCTAAACAACTAAAGATCAAAACTTTACTGTTCTTGTTCGGCAAATTCAGTTACTTTCCTGATATATTAATCGACTAACAACTTCGCTAACACAGTGATGTATCATAACTTCAGATCCGGTAGCGAAATTTTCGTTTTATCGATGAGAAAGTAGAAACTTAAGTACCTCATTAATGGCCAGCATCTGTCCATTACTCTTCTTAACTTTCTTTAGCTTCCTCAAAAAATACCTACTCCAAATAACAACACCAGTCAAAACGGATCAATTCTATAATGCAGCAATTAAAAGAAAACATCCCGAGAAAAAAAACACAATTTTACTAACCAGAACTTGGACTTGGCACGAACCTCGTTCGTAGCCCAGAGCTTCATACGGTAAATCTTAGGGTGCTCATCTTTCTCTGTCGGGAGAGCTCTTCCCACAACCTGGTACTGGTGAAACTGACAAAACGAAACAAAAAAAAAATATGCCGAGATCATCAGATTCGCCGAGGTTCAAACTTAATACAGCAACAATGGAGACATTTAGATAGAGAATGGATCAAGAGCTTACCTTGAAAGTGACCATTTTCGTCTCGAGGGAGCAGTTCGGTAGAAACCTCAACCACAATTAGCGGCTAGGGTTTTTTTTCACGGTATAAATGAGCATATGCAAGAACCCTAACTCAAAATGTGGGAACACAAGGCCCAATGGGCCGATAATTATAGAAAATGTCTTAACCCGCTCGAAGTTTGGTTATTTCCATCTTCTCAAATCTCAATTTATTATCCAAATCGAATATGTTACACTTATAGTGATTCTGCTTTTTGGTAGGACGACAAAAAAAAATGTTCACCGGTCGTTTTATAGTTATTTAAACATAATTTTTTATATATATTAAGGTTAGGGTATTTTAGATGTTCCTCATAGATTAATTACCAGTGTGGATGGTTGAAAACTTGTTTTAATGATCGAAGCCAGGATCTAATTCTAATCTATCATATGTGAATCTCTATTTGCGAATTTTTTTTTCACGTTCAACGTAAACTTATTGTTTGTTTAACTATTGGTGCTCCTATAATTGTATTCCGAAAAACGAAAATTAATGTTGTAAGTTATAAACACATGATGTTTTCGCAGGTTCAAACAAATCACTTAACTCTTGTTGTAGAAAGACCAAATGTTCAAAACCCAACTCTTCTTGTTATGGACATGAAAAGGGAAACATATAATAAATAGATTTGAAGGATGTCCGGATTGTGTTGGTTGTCCTTGATAGCTCTTGGCTTCAACATCTTTGTTGGTGTGTTATTTGACAAGATTTGTATGAAGGATTTTAGTTCTCTTAATTACTTCTTAGGGATCCAAGCCTCTTTCACTCCTTCAGTTCTGCTTCTCAATCATGAACTAGAATACATAAGAGATGCTTCACAAGGACTATACGACAACCTACAATCGTATGCCAACACTTCTTTCTATAAAATTTGGGTTCTACAAAAATTTGATCCAAATAATTTGCTAGTCCTATTTTCTTTCCAAAGTCTCGTTAGTAAGCTTCAATATTTTGATGTTACAAGACCTGTAATTTTTTGTGTAAAATAGGGTTTTACTTTTATGTAAAAAAAAAAGCCTGGTCAACTGACAACTTTTTGCAGGTTTACTCTCCACCTTGAAAAAATGCAAGACAATATAGCCACCTCACAATGAACCCATGCATGTGTATAACAATGCATGTGTATAACAGAAGTTATATTGGTAACAAAAGACAATATACGATGCTTTTTTAGTCTGTCTCATATTATCAAATATCAATTATCAAACACCAAGTCGGTTTTTTTTTGGTAAAAACACCAAGTCGTTTTTCTATAAGAATTAAACACATTTCCCAACTCTAAACATTAGTGTACATCTAGATCGTTGAGATATACAAAAGGCCTAATATACAACCCGATCGGGAGAAGATAGAAAACACATGTAGTTTATAACATTTTCATTTTTAGCTACACAGGGACAAAGAAAAAAAGACAAAATAGACTGCGGAAGACAATGACAAAACAATGACATCTCTTGTCGAATTCATAAACACTCTTAAGTGCTACTCACTTCGAGAGAAACGCATCACGGGCAGTCATAAATTTCACACTCCACTCTCCACACTTCTGACAATAAATTAAAAATTTTACAAATCAATTACAAAGAGAGGTTCGGATACGCTGCGACGCGCCTAGACAAGAACACCGTACACCCGTCCTTAGGAGATATCGTGGGGCAATACACGATCTCATCGCATCCGTCCGATCGAAGCCTCTTGAAATCCATCAGCGACGAGAACATTGCAATGAATAGCACAAGGTGGTTCAGCGCGTAACGCTGGCCCACACACTGGTGCGGACCCCACCCAAAAGCCAAGAAGTTTCGCTTGAACACCTCATCCTCTTTCCTAGTCTCGCTAAACCGATCCGGATCAAACCGGTCCGGTTCAGTAAACCCTTGAAACGAGGAGTCGAAAACCGAGGGAAACACAATCGTACCTTTCGGAATCGTGTACCATTTCGTGAGAGGGTAATCTATAGCAGCGACGTGTGGGACCATCGTCGCCGGAGGACGGAATCTAACAACCTCACGCGCGACGGAGCGCGTGTACTCCATCTCCGCGAGCTGATCGACGGTGATCAACGCGTCGGACTCAGGCGACCATATCCTTCCAACTTCCTCCCTCACTCTGTTTAACACCTCCGGCTCCGAATCAAGCATCGCCACCGCCCATAAAAGCGATGACGTGGATGCGTCCTGAGCAGCGAACAGAAAATCGAAAAGGAAACCGCCGATCTCTTCGTCTCTGGAATGCGGCGGCGCCGGATTCCCGGATTCGATCTCGGCGACGATAGGCTGCATCCAGAAATCGATTAAACAAGTCGGATCTTCCCCTGCAGCCATCCTCGCTTTCGATTTTCCGGCGCAGACGGCGAGTATACTCGCAAGCCTCTTCACCGCGAGTCGAGCCTCGTGGAAAGCGAAACCTGGAAAGTCGATGGGAAGCGTCATGGTTCCGAGATTGAATGTATTGTAATCCGCACGGAACCTGTTTCTTGCTTCTTCGTCAAGATACGGTCCGACGAAAACCGTCTGTGAAGTCTCGAGGTTGAGATCACGGACGAGGTTTCGAAGAGACACCGGACGACCGGAGAAAGTTTCCTCCCAGAGACGAAGATGACGGAGGATGATTAGCTGCATGAGAGCAGAGTAGGTTGAGAGTGCCTTGGGTGTGAAGTTAGGAGCAATTTGGCGGCGAACGGATTTGTGATCGTCTCCGAACATGTAGATGAAGTTGTGATCACCGAAGAGTTTCTTGCCGAATGGATGTCCGACGAAGTGGAATGCGTCGGGACGTACGTTGGAGAAGATTTGGTGTGAGAGCTCTGTGTCTCTGATGTAGACGATGAATTTTCCGATGAGGTAGTTTGCGGAGAGGCCAGGGGAGGTTCCGGCCATGGAGGATTGCTTGTACCAGAAGGAAGTTGGGTCACTGACGACTGAAACGGCGTTTCCGATAATCGGAAGGACGAAGAGAGGGCCAGGGAGGTTACCTTTCTTGCGAAGGTAAGTGAGTTGCTCGAGGAGAAGGAAGAGAAGTATTGCTGAGACTATTATGTATGGTGCGAGAGAAGTAAATGTGGAATCAGAGAAAACCATGGCTTCTTTTTTTTCTTTTGATTCTTGTAGAAACTGAAATTAAAGTGACTGAATGTTTTCGATAATACGCCATGAGACTCAAAAGCTGAGTTATATAGACAACATGTATTTCAAAAAAAAAAAAAAGATAATAATACTCAGCATGTACAAAATATTTTGATTTTCAACCACGGATGCATGCAAAAATTATATCGAATATTGCAACATGATCGCGTTCCACAAACACGTGTGTGAGAACCACACCTACCAGTCAGAAACTAAAAATATATAAATAAGGATGCAAGGAGTGGTATAGAAACTTGCAAGCTTTATCTTTTAAAGTTAATGTGGTAGATGAACATGGGGCTGTTCATAATTAAGTAGATAGGAAAAAAACCCTATGATTCACGTCCTGTACACTTTTTAATATGGCAATATTACTCCTATACACCTCATCGATTATCTATGATCATGCACGTTTTTTAGAAAATATATTGTTAGAAATAATATTTCCTATTTTAATATAAGAAGAATAATTGATATTTTAATTTTATTAATTTATCTCTTTTCTATTTACGCTTATATAATGTTATTAAGAAAGGAATAAGTGTTAAACAGTATCAACAATTACTGTAAATTTAAAAGTAGAAAGCACACAGAAGAAACCAAATTTACCGATTTTGGCAGTTCTTTATGTCAGAACCAAATTCCGAGTCGCTTCTATAATCTCCAATCTTCCTAAGAAATCCACTGCAAATTTTGGTAGTAAGTCTCCTTTTTATATAATTTCGATTTCTTTCTTCAAATCCCAATTTTTTTTTCTCCTTTTTAAAAAAGACAGAGATCTCAATGAATTACATTAGAAAATGTTAATTTGAAAATTAACAATCAAAAATTTCATAACTCTGTTAAATAAAATATTAGAGATATATTTAAATGTTAATATTATCCAACAACTATTTTAACATATCCAAATAGACAAATAGTATATAGCTGATTATCTTTGAATCTGAAAACTGCACTCATTCCAAATTATCTTTGAATTTTGAATTAGATTTCTAAATTGAATACTAGATTGCTAATATATTTTATAGATGATTAAAATTTATTTACTATACCATATATATGTTTTGATATATCTCTAATATTTTACTTAACATGTTAACTATATTATTACATAAAATAGATTTAAATTAGTTTTCGATAAGCCAAATATAGCAACTGAAATTAAGCACTCTAACAAATTATTTAGTTTTATAATATGTTAAGTAATTATATAACTTATATGTTAACATGTATGAGATTAAAAACAGTGTGCTAAAGAATTCTTTAGACTGCTAACGTTTAATGTAACTGTATAATTTATATATGTTAATAGGTTATGATGTAATCAGTTATCGAATTAAATATAACAATTCAGATGTGTCAAATAATGTAGAAATTTTTTTAAAAAAAATGTAGAAACTTACCATGCTAACAAAATATGTAGTTTGATAAGAGGTTATATAATTATATAACTTATATGTTAAGTAAAGAAGAATGAAGAGAGAAAAATTTTATAAATAATAAAATACTCGTAACAAAAGAAGAAAGGGATAAAAGGTAATAACACTCTCAATAGTGTCAAACCAGTGTCATACCAATTTACTGTTTTTCCTATTCTGCTATTTTTGATTGTCTTAAGATTTTTTAGCAAATTGACTCTATCTTTTATTTATATCCCGGGATCTCCCTAATTTTTATTTCATGCTGAGACTATTATGAACGGTGCCAAGAGAAGCAAATACAGAAGAAACCATCTTTTTTTCTTTTTTGAGTTTTTTCTTCTGTTCTCTTGTTAGTTGTTACCAAACTGAAAGTGACTGAATATTTTGATGATATTCATGATCCTCAAAAGCTTAGTTATATATACAAACATGTACAAACTATTTTATTTGTTTTCGTTTTCTTTTTAGTTGTCAACCACGGATGTTGTGGCGGAGCTACATGGAGAGTGGAGTGGTCAATTGACCCAGGTCAAACTACAAAAATTAGAATTTAAGCTTATTATAATGCATGTTATTGCTGAAAGAATTTGTTGAAAACTCTTTGATTGATCCTCTTAATTTTATGTTAGATGCCTTTTTCGACTTTGGTTAAAAAAATTTCTGGCTCCGCCACTGCGGAGCATGCTCCAATACGTGTGGGGAAGATACGCATGCACTGTTCTGTCTCCACCACTTAGATCGTAAAAATAGATTTATATTTGCAGTTCTAGTTTTGTCTGGCTAGAGCCCATTCATTTCGAGAAAGCCAGTTGAAAATGGACTCTATTTCGATCTATTTTCAAAATTTTATTCGATCAAATGAGGCTTTTTCTTCTTCCTATATTTTCCCCCTGTTATTATTTTTACTTCTATTCCAACGTGTTTTTTTTTTTATATGAATTCCTAGTTTTTTTTTTTGTTTTCTTTAAAGTAGGTGCCTTAGTTTTATTTACTTTTTATGTCTAACTTTGAATAGATGTATGTTTAGTTTCATCTTATTCAAACTTCATGTGTTAATTTTGGGTTACCTTGACTTGAGAGTTGATAACAACCATGCTTTAAAATATTTATGACTATTTGTTTGTAAGTCTTTCGAAAGTAAAATGTATCCATGATTGTGTGAGAATGAATTTATTAAGAAACAGGTAAAGTTGTGAGGTTCTTTTTTCCCTGTTTTCTTATTCTTTTGATATTCAATTCTGAATAGTGTACCATACTACCATCCTTTTTTTTTTACAACAGAATAGTGTATCATCCTTAAAGTGAAGAATTTTTACTTTTTAAACCATGGGTATGTATAACCGATGTACTTTCTACTAGATCCGATCCGTGTTTAGGTAGCCGATAAATTTGTGAAGGTGTTTATATAATCAGTTCTACTTTTCGAGTAACTTTTGTCTTTAATGTTTGTCTCCTACACTTATCTTTGCTCGCAAATTTATTCTTTCAGGTTGTTGTAGAATGACCTAACAAAAGCTTGATAGAGAATCGTAACATATTTTCGTTTAAAATTATTTCAAACGTAGAAAAGGACGAAATTAAATCGATTTTTGAATTCACTAAATAATATATTTATGGAGGATTTTAATTCTGTGTTCGAGAAGCAATCTTTAGTTAAGAAGTTGGAACTTATAGAGTTTTATCTAGATTATTGGTAATTTTGTTTAATGTAGCAACCGTTTTTTGTCCCAATAATAGTCTTGCAAAGTGGATGAGTAGAAGGGAATCTACAAAATCTACATATGTTTTCTATATGCTATCGAGTTGTATGAAATGTCAAAACCTACAAATAAATAAATGGCAACGATCTACCTAGATGGTACAATAACATTGAGAAATGAGAATGTATGTGGTTTTTGGCTTTATGTCTTCCGGTGGAATGGATTGTACCACTAAGTTTTTTTTTAATACTCTTGTAAACGTACAAGAATATAAGTAAGTTATGAAAAACACATTAAACACGTTAAAACTTCAGTAGGGGCAAAAAAGGCATAACAGGTTAAGTTAATTTGAAGACATGATACAATGACATCGATCTCCTATCAAATTCATTAATAACACTCTAGGGCCTCTCACTCACAAACAATGACCAATCAGTCAATTTCTTCACAAACAATGATAAATCACAACCAATAAATTTTAAGAATTTGTGGTAGATGACCACATTACTATTTATAATTTGCTACATAAGAAAAACTACTGTTTAAATACTGTAGAATTTTCTTTAATACATTTTTATCCTTCTACACCCAGTATTCTCTCTCTTACTCTCTTGCCTTTCTCTTTCTTTTCTATACTACACTTTGAAGTCTAAACAACAACGACGGAAACAACAGTTCCTCTTATTCTCTCTCATCTATCTCTTTCTTTTCTTTACTCAAATATTCCAATACATCTGCTCAACTATTGTTCTATGTGCTCTAATGGTGTAAAAGACTGTTTTTTAGCTTTTGCAATATGAGTTTATTCTAGTTTAATTTCAATTTCTCCAAAAAAACTATAAAATTGTTCTTATCTAAATCAAAGTTATTTTAATTTTGTCTCTTCTCTTGAATTATATATCTGCTTACATAAATTAGAAATTATCTTTTTTCTCTCAAATTATAGATCTGAGACTAGGAGAGAGATTGTTGAAGACGGAGATCTTGATGAGTTATGTTGGAAAAATATTAATTTGAAAGTTAACAATCAACAATTTTAGTACTCCGTTAAATAACATATTAGAGATATATTTAAATGTTAATACCATCCAACAAATATTTTAACATATCCAAATATTATATAGCTGGATGATATATGATGGTTATCTTTGAATCCGAAAGCTGCACCTACTTCAAATTATCTTTGAATTTTGAATTAAGTTTTTAAAATGAGTGTTAGATTGCTAATATATTTTATAGAGGATTACAATTTATTTACTATACCATATAAATGTTTTGATATATCTCTAATAGTCTACTTAACATGTTAACTATATTATTACATAAAATAGATTTAAATTAATATTCGATAAACCAAATATAGCAACTGAAATTAAGCATTTTGACAAATTATATAGTTTTATAATATGTTATGTAATTGTATAACTTATATGTTAACATGTATGAGATTATAAGAGCGCGCTAAAGAATTATTTAGACTGTTAAAGTTTAATGTAGCTGTATAACATATATGTTAATGTGTTCTGATATAATCAGTTAACGAACTAAATATAGCAATTCCGATGTGTTAAATAATGCAGAATTTTTTTTTATTTTTTTTTTTAAGAATGCAGAAACTTATCATGCTAAAAAAAAATATAGTTTGATAAAAAGTTATGTAATTGTATAACTTATATGTTAAGTAAAGAAGAATGATGAGAGGGAAATTCCATTAAAAAAATACTCGTTACAAAAGAAGAAAGGGGTAAGGGGTAATAACACTCTCGACAGTGTAGGACCAATGTCACACCAATTCACTATTTTTCCTATTTTGTCAATTTTGAACAGTAGTATTAGGATTTTCTAGCAAATTAACTCATAAATTTTTTGAAAAAAAAATCCCAATCATTTCAAGGAAAGTGCAGGATACGCTGCGACGCGCCTAGATAAGAAAACCGTGCACCCGTCCTTAGGAGATATCGTGGGGCAGTAAACGATCTCATCACAGCCGTCCGATCGAAACCTCTTGAAATCCAACAGGGTAGAAAACATGGCGATGAAGAGCACGAGGTGGTTCATCGCGTAACGCTGGCCCACGCACTGGTGCGGACCCCACCCAAAAGCCAAGAAGTTGCGCTTGAACACCTGATCCTCTTTCCTGGTCTCGCTAAACCGATCCGGATCAAACCGGTCCGGTTTAGTAAACCCTTGGAACGAGGAGTCAAAAACCGAGGGAAACACAATTGTACCTTTCGGGATCGTATATGATTTCGATAGATGGAAATCTGTAGCAGCGACGTGTGGCACCATCGTCGCCGGCGGCCGGAATCTCACGACCTCAAGCGCCACGGAGCGCGTGTACTCCATCTCCGCGAGCTGATCGACGGTGATCAACTCGTCGGACTCAGGCGACCATATCCTTCCGACTTCCTCCCTAACTCTGTTTAACACCTCCGGCTCCGAATCAAGCATCGCCACCGCCCATAGAAGCGATGACGTGGACGCATCCTGCGCGGCGAACAGAAAATCGAAAAGGAAACCGCCGATCTCGTCGTCGTCGGAGTGCGGCGGCGGCGGATTCCCGGATTCGATCTCAGCGACAATCGCTTGCATCCAGAAATCGATTAGACACGTCGGCTCCTCCCCTGCCGCCATCCTCGATTTCGATTTTCCGGCGCAGACGGCGAGCGTCTCCGTCAGCCTCGTCACGGCACGACGAGCCTCGCCGAACGCGAAACCTGGAAGGTCGATCGGGAGCGACATAGATCCGAGATTGAAGAGATTGTAATCCGTACGGAACTTGTTTCTTGCTTCTTTGTCAAGGTAGGGTCCGACGAAAACCGTCTGAGATGTCTCGAGGTTGAGCTCACGGACGAGGTGTCTTAGTGACACGGGACGAGATCCGGCGGAGGAAGTTTCCTCCCACCGCCGTAGATGACGGAGGATAACTAATTGCTGGAGAGAAGTGTAAGTGGAGAGTGCTTTGGGTGTGAAATTGGGGGCAATCTGACGGCGAACGGATTTGTGATCGTCGCCGAACATGTAGATGAGATTGTGATCACCGAAGAGCTTCTTGCCGAAAGGATGTCCGACGAGATGGAACGCGTCGGGACGAACGTTGGAGAAGATTTGATGGGAAAGCTCTGTGTCTCTGATGTAGACGATGAATTTTCCGATGATGTAGTTGACGGAGAGGCCAACGGAGTTTCCAGCTGTGGCGGATTGCTTGTACCAGAAGGAAGTTGGGTCACGGACGAGTGCAACGGCGTTTCCGATGATCGGAGGGACAAAGAGAGGGCCAGGGAGGTGACGTTTCTTGACAAGGTAAGAGAGTTGCTCGAGAAGAAGGAAGAGAAGTAATGCTGAGAGTATCATGTATGGTGCGAGAGAAGTAAATATGGAAACAGAGGAAATCATCTTTCGTTGTGTTCTACTTGTTCCTCAAGCTCTTTCTCTTTGATGGGGTATGCTCTGCCTCTGTGTTTGGGTTTATGTATATATGGGAATGGTTGATTCGTTTGGGGAAAAAGGGTTTTGATTTGTCTTGCCTGTGTTTTGTCTTTCTTGGTGTTCTTGTTTGTTTGGTGGGTTCGCAGAATTTTCCAAGAGGTTTTGGGAAATTGGATTGAAGCTGTTTGCAATAGTATTGGGACAAGAAGAATTCAGAATGTCTTCTCTGTTCTGTTTTTTTGTTTTTTGTTTTTTAAGTTCTTAGAGAGACTCAGAAGTCACAAGGGGATGAAACATTTTGAATTGACTGCGATTTTGATTTGAACGTGATCTAGATGTTTCTAACGCCTCACTGTTTGATAAAATAATTTTGATTACCTAATGAAATGTTTATTTCAAAAGCTCGTTTGGCGCTAATGTCCTATTATTCCTTACTTGTAACCAAGTCTGAAGGCCTATCGACTTTTTTTTTTAACTTTGATTTCAGTCAAGAGAATAAGACAAGCTGTAATAATTTTAAAAATCAATAAAAGTCAATACAATATCACGAAATAAAAAGTTGGAATGGTGATAATACATATTGTTTATATAATTATATACTAATATACACTTTTCATTCCATTTTTCTTCGATATCCAAAAAGGGAGAAAAACAATATCAATTTTAAGAATTAAGATTAACAACTATTGATGCAGCCTATCTATAACTATAATACATCCTGAAATGTTTGATGATATATATGCTCTTGTGAACTGTTAAGCGTGGATCATATGACCATGTATGATGTATCCAAAGTCATAAATAGATACACCTGCATGACTGCATGTGTCCAGGACATTTTTTAAGGCTATATAAGGAGTATAATGAAGTCCAAGTTACGTGCAGTGCAATTCAAGTAATAAAGTTATTATTTTCCAATTTCAACTAAATCCCATAAATATATACATCTGCTTGATGATGATCTCTTGTTTTTTGAAACAGTTAAGCATCTTTTAAATCCAATAAAGATATATATTACATATACATAATATATATCGAAGAAACACATCACACTTTTATGGTTGTTTAAAGATATCACAGTTTTAAACAAAATCATAGCTTATACATAGAAAATATTTAATATGATAGGTTACGACTTTTGATTGGGCGACCACTTCTAATAAGTATTTAATATGATACATTAAATAGTGAGACAACTCAATTATCAAATTTAGTTGCGTATTCATAACAAAAAAAATATAGTTGCGTGTATTTACAGTATACATAAATGTTTCAAGCTTTATCTACTATTACACATTGACACATGGTTTCAATGTAACTAAACGTTTTATTTATAAAAAGTAATAAAATAAGTAATAGATATGTAGCGACTTAACATGTTTACCGCATGCGCTAGATCGGATCTTGTATAATTGGTCAAGTACATCAGACTTCTAATTACCCGTGCATACTCCACTTGTGATACTAGTTCACCTGTGTTCTTGGTTAGGTGAGCTTGCATATCCATTGGAGTTTTTGCGGTTCCATTCGAGTAGGTCTTAAACCTCTCTAAGATCTTTTCAGCATAGTGATCTTGAGACAGAGTAATTCCATCTGAAGTTCGAATGGTCTTAATCCCAAGAATGAGATCTGCAAGTCCCATGTCTTTCATGTCAAATTTTCCATTGAGCATATTCTTGGTTTGTTGAATGATATCTTTGTTACTGCCAATAATCAGCATGTCATCTACATACAGACATAGTAAGATGTATCCGTTTGGAGTACATTTGTAGTAGATGCATTTATCACATTCTTGAATGCTGAAACCATTTGACATCATCACATTGTCAAACTTTTCGTGCCATTGTTTTGGAGCTTGTTTCAGTCCATACAACGATTTCACGAGTCTACACAATTTGTGCTCTTGACCCTTAACCTCGAAACCTTCGGGTTGTTTCATGTATATTTCTTCTTCTAAATCACCATTTAGAAAGGCAGTTTTAACATCCATCTGATGGATTTCCAAGCCTCGCAAGGCTGCTACACAAATCAATATTCTGATCGAAGTTATTCTCGTAACTGGAGAATAGGTGTCAAAGAAATCTAGACCTTCTTTTTGTCTGAATCCTTGCACCACAAGGCGTGCCTTGTACTTATCTATAGAACCATCAGTTTTCAGCTTGGTCTTGAAGATCCATTTACACCCTAGTGCTTTGAACCCTTGAGGTAAGTCAGTTATCTCATAGGTATGATTCTGCATTATAGAACTCAACTCACTATTGACAGCATCCTTCCAATAAGGAGCTTCTGGTGTAGACATGGCTTCTGTGTAAGATCTCGGTTCATTCTCGACAAGAAAGACCATCATGAAATCTTCACCAAAAGATTATTCCTTACGAGCTCTTTTGCTTCGTCTAGGTTCATCTTCAACCTGTTCTACTTCCATCTCATTTACAGAAGTAGTCACATCTCTTTCTTCACGAGTGCGTTTAGTAGTTTGCTTATCTTTATATGGAAACATGTGTTCAAAGAAAGAAGCATTCCTTGATTCCATGATAGTATTCACTTGGACATCTGATACATCTGACTTTTGTACCAGAAATCGATAAGCACTACTATTGTGAGCATATCCGATAAAGATACAGTCCACAATCTTAGGTCCAATTGTGACCTTCTTTGGAGGTGGCACTGCGACTTTTGCTAAGCACCCCCACACTTTCAGGTATTTGTACGAAGGTACATTACCTTTCCAAAGTTCATACGGTGTTCTGCCAGTTACCGTATGAGGTATTTTGTTGAGGATATAATTTGTGGTGAGCAGTGCTTCCCTCCACAGATTCTGGGGTGTTCCAGATTCCTGCAACATTGCATTCATCATCTCCTTCAGAGTTCGATTCTTTCTTTCCGCAACTCCATTGGATTCAGGTGAATAGGGGGCTGTAGTTTGATGGATGATTCCGTTTATCTGGCAAAACTCTTTGAAAGGTCCATCATATTCTCCACCCCTATTACTTCTGACCATTTTGATGGTCTTTGCCAGTTGCTTTTCAACTTCGAGTTTGTACTCTTTGAATTTGTCCAAGACTTCATCTTTACTACGCAGCAAATACACGTAACAGTACCTTGTACAATCATCAATGAAAGTCACAAAATACTTTTTACCACCTCTTGATGGTAGATATTTTAAATCGCACAGATCAGTGTGGATTAACCCAAGAGGTTCAGTAATTCGTTCAACATGAGGTGATGGTGTTTTCGTGAGCTTTGCTTGGACACAAATTTCACATTTGTCTTTGCTAATTTTGCACTTTGGAATCATGTTCAAATTCATCAGTCTTTGAATAGACTTGTAATTAACATGTCCCAAACGTTCATGCCAAATATTAGAAGACTCAACCACATAAGCAACTGGATTCTTATTAATTAAATCTTTGGAATCAGGTACAACTTTGTTTTTCTTCAGGATTGTCATTACAGACATTTTGATCAATCCTGACTTAACATAACCTTTTCCTATGAAAACACCATTCTTCCTAAGTATCAGCTGGTCAGACTCAAAGTTGATTGCAAAACCATGCTTGCTCATTAGAGTACCAGAGATCAGGTTCTTCCTCAGGTCTGGAACATGCTTCACGTTGTTGAGAGTAACCTCCATGCCTGAAGTCATCTTCAATACAAATTTTCCAGTACCTTCAATCTTGGACTAGGAGACGTTTCCCATCTTCAATTGATCATCAGTCTTGCACTTCTGATAGGTACTGAACATTTCTCTGTCAATACAGATGTGTGTGGTTGCACCTGTGTCATACCACCACGCCTTGGGGTTCTCTTCCACCAAGTTAGCTTCTGTAACCATTGCACACAGGTCTGCTTCAATCAAGTGAGCTTGGTTGTTCTCAGACTTAGCCTTTCGGCGACACTCTGAAGACTTATGTCTAAGCTTGTTGCAGTAGTTGCACTTCCCATTGAACTTGTTTTTCATGGGTGCTTGACCTTGCTTCTTGAAGCTAGTGTTGTTTCGTGGAGGAAACTTGTTAGGCACAGCCTTGTTGGATGGTTTGCCTTTGCCTTTTTTTTCTGTACTCAGCCACGTTTGCATCATGGGTCATGATCTGACCATCTTCTTTTCCAACTTTGTCACGTTTTAGTGACTCATTCTGCAATCTGGAGATCAGATTTGCCAGAGACAGGGCCTTTTGCTTGTAAGCAAGATAGTTCTGGAAGTCTGCCCAACTTGGAGGTAACTTCTCAATGAAGCAGTTCACCGTGAATGTCTCACATAGCTTCATTCCTTCAGTCCTAATCTCTTGAAAGATTAGTTCCGGCTCGTGCACTTGTGGCATGATGGGACGAGAATCCACCATCTCAAACTTGAGGAGTTTCGCTGTAGCGAATTTCGCAGAGCCGACATTGTACGACTTGTACTTCTTTTCCAAAGCATCCCAAAGTTCTTTGGAAGTTTTGACCTCACTGTACACATCGAACAACTGGTCCACCAGGCGATTTTTGATGTGCCCTTTGCATAGAAAGTCTGAGTGCTTCCATGCTTCAACGGTAGCCAGAATCATAACATCTTTGTTTCCGTCTGGCACTGTTGGGGGATCCTCTGTGAGGTACTTGCTCAGCCGCATTGACGACAGAAAGAAATACATCCTTTCTTGCCACTGCTTGAAGTTCGAACCATCGAACTTGTCGGGCTGAAGTCCTGCGGTTACCGACGCTGGCATCCTGACTTCACCGAGCTTCTATTGGTAGTCATGTCAACATCACCGTTAGTCATAGTTGAATCTGTTCACAGAAAATAACCGAAGTTAGTTTGAGAACCAAGATTCAAATCAGCGATTAAAACGTTTAAGTCGCTATGAATAGTGTTTTCCAGATAGGATTCGCTTTGAGTTTCCACAGATATTACCAATAGGTATTCTTAGAACTCGAAAATAGGTGTTCCCAGAATCGTCTTTTGAAGACGTTCATAAACCCTAACACGTTTTGCGGACCTGTCTATGACTGCCGCATAAACCGTTTCAGTAGATTCGTCTTTAATAGATCAAAAGTTCTACGAAATAGCTAAGAAACTTTCGCAGACACTTCGTAGATCGATTTTAAAAACTCGTTTTGTCAAAACCGTTTATAAAAACTGTTTCGCAATATTCAATCCGATTCAAGCGATAAGCAGGAAGCGGATTTATTGAGTTAAGATTGTTAGACCGCGAAAATCCGATTGAAATCACGAATAGAAAATAGCAATATTATAAACGATATGTTAAGGTAAGAGATTAAAACGAGAGTTTGAAAACCGATTGAAAACAGACGAAAACACGGAGTCGAGATATGATCTCTTTCCTTAACTCAATAAATCGCCCGTAATGTGTGACGGTTTGTTGCGATTTTCGAATCCCATGATACAACCGTGATGAGACTATTACGCAACACCCGTAATAGAATCTGCGAACTAAAATACTACGCTATAACTCTCGAGACACTTACGATATTAAGACGAGAGGGATTTGCTGTGTGTTTGGAGTATTCGAAAATTCGATTTTTAATTCGATGATCTAGAATGAGAGAAGAGGGCGTCTATTTATACTGGAAGGTTCAGCTTGATCCGCAAGGAATAAGCTTTTGCGAAAAGGAATATTACAAGATATTCTCCTATTTCTGCAAAGTAAAAAGATTCGGAAATCTTCCGTTATTATCTGGACGGAATCTTTTATTTTCTTAGATTTATCTTTTCGATATGCAAAAATTATTTCACAAGAACTAAGAAGCCCACGATCCACACCCAGCTATATAGAGCCCAAGAGCCCAAGAGCTAACTAAAAAATGCAACGAGCAACGAGCCCGGCACGGGCACCGGCGACGGCGACAGCGGCGGCGCGCGTAGGTGTTTTTGCATAATGCCCTTTTACTTCCACAATGTTGTTGATCCTTATTGTGAGAAAGTCATATTTATATAAGAGATTTTTCTCTTTTGTGAGCAATGTGGGACAAATACACTTCCACTAAACTTCCACTTTTAGTTATAGCCAATAGGAACATTTCATTTCCATAGGCTCAAACCCAAATCTCAAATGAATTTATAAGGCTCATTTACTTATTAAACTTCATTTCTTATTCACACACAAACTCAATATTACAAGTCCAAATGCTTATTAATATTGGGTTCCAACAATGTAGTGATAACCTTTATCTGAAATTACAACCAACTATAGGTTCAATTGGTGACTTGTAAATTTTTGAAGTTGAGAGTTACCGTCAGACGTAGTTGTAAATTTTTTACATTTTTTGAAGTTGAGAGGTACAATGATTCCGATTTCGATTCCAAAATGGGAATCAAAGTTTTCCAAGCGATTCTGTGCAACATAGTTTATCATTAACGGTTAAAAATCTTCTCGCTATATTATAATGTGCTCTAAGACTAGAAACTTAAAATCTCTTTATCTAATCACAGCAACCTTTCTTTATGTACCCTTTTTAAAAAAAAAAAACATGCAGACATGATATACATAAAACGTCTTAAAATACGGTTTTACAGTAAACGACGTCAAAAGTAAAATGTTTTGAAGATTCTTTTGTTTGGGATTAAGTTAATTTTTTTTTCTTGACATCCTTTTCTTTGTCCGTTTATTTTATTATAAAGAAGAATCAAGTTCTTTTTTTTTTTTGCTAAAGAATAATCAACGTCGTTGACCGTTTGTTTAATTCATTTTCACCGTACTTACGTAATTAATTACGTGGATACTTAATAGTTTTGGATAAAGCTTTCATTACAAAATCATATCTTCTTATTAAAATAACGGAAATAGTTGCAGAACGTTCAATTATTCTTTTGACTAGTTGGCCTTAGGGTTGAAGTATATAAAGCACAATATAAATTTGTCACAAAAAAAAAGAATCACGGTTTTCTTTTGACTCAAAACATTTTTGCATATTGATTTTCTATTTTCTTCAATTTCTATAGAATACTTTTTTTTTAGAAAGGGCTATTTAGAATGCATAATCACCTTTCAATTTGAAAAAAACATTTGAAAAGTTGAAGAAAATTTGGAAAAAATAATAATATGTATATCGGGATAATTTCCTTCATCTAATTTTTTGGTATTATAATATTTATTTATATAAATAGTTATTAGCTCTACTTTTTATTTCAGTTTCAACTACTTTCAAAGTTCCTAGACTCTTTTTTTCTATGAGTCTTGAGAACTTTTTAGAGAATAATGGTCAACAAACGGATACAAAAAAAAACAAACAAAGGAAACACACAATTAATAAGTACAAAATTTGAATTTTTGTTTGCTATCCTTTGATAAAAACTTTATATACTCGTATTTGTTTTGTTGTAAAATGCACAATCGGTGCAACTGATAGCAATATCAGCAGAGAAAGTGTTGAGTAGTAAGCGAAAATTCTGATGATCAACGTCTAGCTTGACACATTTTTACAACAAGTGATTCCAATCAGTGGTAGAGTCAGAAATTTTCTTAACTGGGGGCATAAATAAATGAATGGAAATATATAATTTTATGAGTAGGAACATTAATATCTATTATATTAAAACAGAATCATTTTTAGTGTTTGCTTCCAAACACTCCCAAAATTTTTTTAAATATTTTATTTTAAATATAAATTTAATTTCGAAATTTTGATATTAATTTAGATAACTTCGATTCCTTAAATATATTTTATATTTAATTTAAAATTCAAACTATATATTTTTTGTAATTAATTAAATTCTTTAAAATATATATTAATTTAAATTATTTTAATTTTTCCTTAAATATAGGTTAGATTTAATATAACATTTCAAATTTAAATAATATTTTTAAAATAACACATATGATTAACAAATATCTTATTATATATTTTTTTTAATTATATTCAATAAGATTAAAATTTCCCATATTAAAACTGATAAACATTAATATTACATGGTAATTTGATGGACGGTATAATTTTTTCTAATTATAATATTATGCGGATTAGGTTATCAAAATATGTAATATATTTAAAAAAATTATTTCAAAATTAGTAAATATTTATATTATATGGTAATATAAACATGTGAGTTAGAATTATTATTTCATAACCACGATCATCTTCGGATTAATAGAATGACCGAGTTAGAAATATGTTTTTATAATAACGGTTATTTTTTTATTAATAGAATTACTGTGTTATAATTATGTTTTTATGATCATAGTCATAATAATACTAGAAAAAAAATTAAAATAAATTATATCTAAACAAAAAAAAATCTTCATCATTTATTAAAAAAAATTATGTTCTATAAAAAAATATAAATTACATTAAAATTTTAAATATATTAAAAAAAAACTCGTGCGAATGCACAGGATAAAATCTAGTTGAGGTTTAATAAGTTACACCAATTTTTAAAAATTCATTGAGCGCAAATGACCCCAATCAATTACTGGATATCTTCCATCTGACCAAAACCAATTGTCTTGTTTTTTTTTTTTTGAATTAGGAAAGCTACTAAAACAAAATTTTACATAACATTCAATTCACCTAAAATAAAAAATCAATTAGAAGACCAAAAACCAAAACCCAGAGCAAAAGAATTCAGAAGATTACATAATTGTTTGATAAACTTCTTATCATAGAGTAGCTTTAGTAAAAATGTGGATACGTGAGTAGTAGAATCAATCAACAATTTCATCAGCACCAACGAACGGAAATCTTATTACAAAGGAAAACAAAAAAATGAATAGAATATGCGCTGCATCAGCTCTTTCCGGGTTGGAGAGACATCGACTAAAGCTCTTTCCTGTGTTCACAAGCAAACTGATTTTTTCTGGGAACTACGGTGTAAGAAAGACAAGCTCAGCCTTAAAGAATTGATGTATAATCCAAGACAATGAAGCATAATAGCATGCAATGCATAACAACACGCCTATGGGTTTAGTGTGATATAATTTTAGATTACCTCTTGAAATCTAATTCTGAACTCTTCGTTTTCAAATAGACTAAGAAACCATTCTAATGTTAACATCAAAAGAAAACTAATAGAAGCATGTATCGATACTTTGTTGAAAAGTTACAGACTTTGAATCTATCTCATATTAATTCTTAAATGAAAGTTGCACGATTTGATTAATTAGGTTCCAAGAATCAACAATAAATAAAAATACCGTATGCTCCTATTATCTATTATGAACTGGTATTTCAGTTCTTATTTCTTTCTATCCAAATATGAACACCAAAGTACATTTTGACCACATGCAGGGCAGAGATTTAGTCGTGAAATGAAATATTTTAACTGATGCTAAATCAAGCCTCATAAGCTAAATTGCATACTCATAAGTCAAATTGCAAGAACATTTTAGTGCTAAAAATGGATACAGAATCAGAATCTGGAGAGATCAGGAATTGAATCTGAAAGCAGTATTTTTTTGCAAAGTTATTCAGACCGAAAAAAACCGGAAAATTTGGGGAAAGAAGAGATATGCTCCACGATGAAACATTCCAAGGATTGATATTAGAATTTAACAAGCTGAATTTTCTCATTAAACTTAATCAAATAGCTTACAAATGTTTAGTAACAACTTCTCCTTAGCTTTATCTAAACGCCGCACGTTCCACTATGGATTGTATTAATTAAAGATAAATACTTTCTCATTTCTAGTAGCTTGAACCGTCATAAAACCATACAACATTAGAATCACGTATAAAATCCCGGTCTACCAATACATTTTATGAACATTCAAGGAAATCTAAACCGGAACAATCTAGATTAAAACCAATATAAGAAGAAGAACAAAAACCGGAAACCCAAATCCAATTCTACTAGAGCCAGAGAACCAAACCCTGACGTCATCAATCACAGGTCCACACAAGGAGCTCATATCGTCCGTCCTCGTATTGTAATAAACGCTGTAGAAAGCAATCCTGGTACGGTCGGCTTTGGCCGTGAAATTGAGATCGGATACTTGGAAAGTCGAGTTCGCTTCCGCCATATAATGAAAGTTCTGAGCTTGATCGCCGGCAAACGCCATGACAGCTAAAGGCTCCTTGCACTTGTCGCCTGCGTGACCCAACGAGAAAGACAGCTTGTACGGAACGTTGGCCTTTGTCTCCACCATTTGCGAGATTATGCCTTCTTTGCCCGATAGAAGCTCCACAGCTCGCTTTCCCTCAGGGACCGAGAAGTGGTCTGAGTCTATGAACCGGACTGCCCGGTTTGATTCGACGGTCCATCCAGGAAGTGATGATATTTCTTCGTCAAGGTTTGTCGGAAGCAGAACACCAAGTGTCGTGTTCCTGAACATCCATGGACCTTCTTCGAAATCTCCATTAATCACTGCATTGCCTGTTAAAGTAACAAAAGTTTGGTTTTTTTAAAGCGAGTTTGTAGGAATTTGGCTCTTCCATTGGGGTCAAATGTAGAAGATTTATAACGTTTGGGATCTAAAACTGGAAAGAAGAGAAATTGAGGGGCTAGCTTTGGAAACATGCTAATTTTTACTTGAAAGTTGAAAACACTTGAATGGGATAACAATTGAAGATTTTTATAAACTTTGGGTGCCTAAAACGTAAAAGAAGAAAAAAAGTACAGGTTAATTTGACAAAGAATCTCTTTTAGTGGGGGACGATTTAATATTTTATAAAACTCGGGTGTCGAAAACAGAAACATAGAGAAATTACTGGGGTCATTTTGGAAAACAGAAAAAAGAGAAGAAAAAAGTGTTACCTTTGGGTTTATCAGGAGTGAAGAGCTTCTTGACGGCGATGTCGTCGATGATGGGACCACAAGTAGGATCGTCCTCCATGCCAGGGTTCCTAAACACCAAGCGGACGCGATCCACAACCGCTTCGAACGCCCACGCGTATGGGTCCCACCCTTGAACGCTGTACAGCGTTTGCAGGTCAATGTTCTGCGACGCGATCGGCTCATCGGAAGCCACCGAGACATTCAGCGACTCGAGCTGTGCGCACGTGCGAGCGGCACTGAACGTGACGGAGTAGACTGAGCCTTTCTCCACCGTTAGATCCTGGCTGATCTCTGCGTCGTTTCCTAATCTGACGGCGTGACGGCCCTCAGGCACGATCAGGATCATCCCGCCTTGTTTTTGACCGGACTTTATTAGCTCCACCGTGCCGTCTGATCGCCAGCTCGGGATCTCGGATGAGTCCTCGACTATTGCGTCATCGGGGAAGCCGTTCGACGGCGGAGTCTCGAAATCGCCGTTAACCACCAAGCCTGAAAAAACAAAATGTTTTCCGGTACGAAATTTAGATATTGGTGCAAGAAAAATAAAATGTGATTGAGACTTGTAACAATACGTTGGTCCCCCTTCATAACATCGTATTTTTTAATCTTTTTTTTATGTACATTTTTGGGGTTTACATCCTCTCAAGAATTTGTAATCTACACAAATAATATTATCCCAAATTTTTTTTGTCATCATCCCAAATAAATTCTCTCCATCGCATTTTTCGTGTGTTCACACACTTATCTGTATAGTAAAAGGGGAAACTTTACGAGGAAATTAATAAAGAAACAAAATAGATTAAAGAAAAAGAAAAAAGAGAGAGAGTAAAATAGAGACACGAGAATTGAACCCATTCCCATCTCTTTAAATCTATTGGGCCCACGCATTAACATTCTTGGGTCTACATATTTCAACATTCCCATGACTAATGCGGTCTTGTGTCTACCGTTACAAGTACCCTGTTCCTTAGGGCATGTAAATACTTTCAAGTGTTACAGACTTGAGAGACACCCGAGAAATGCCTTTCTATTCTTTGACTCACGATGGCCTACCATTATTTAAAAATTAACAAATAGACCCAAAAACTTTTATTTATTGTTTTTCTGATTGTGGTAGGTTATATTTGAATTAGCCCAAAGATTAATCAACCTAAGTTTTACCCATTGCTTAGCTGAAACCAGTCGTCAGTGCAAATCTCATATTACAAGCCCAAAAAAAAAAAAAAGACTTTAGTGCTAAGCAACAAATGACGGATAAGACAGAAAGATAGATTGGGTAAACCGAATTCTCAAATCTACCTAAAGTTTAGAACTTTTAACTCCTTATCCAATTTCTGTGTTATCCAGATCTGTAAAAGTGATTTTTTTAAGAGAGAAGAGCCAAGTACTATATAGCATGGTGAATCCTCTGATCTTGGAACAGAGAGACTGGTTAGGTATAACCACATACGAAAAACTAAACATAACCAAGAAACCGAAAAAAAAAACAAGAAAAGCGTACCGTCTTCGACCGGTGAAATTTTGCCGCTGGAGTCTGCGGCGGCGATGAGAAATAGACCAAGCAGAAGCATTATGATGGAAACCGATTTACAGCCATTTTTGTTGTAAAGCACCATGTTATCTTTCTCCCTTTTTCTCTCTTTCTCTCTTTCTCTCTCTGTTGAACAGTGAAAATTGTTCTGTGTTCGAACAAAAGCAGGGAAGTGTAGTGTGTCCTTTTATCTTAAATCCCTCCAGCTGTTCTTTTTGTTCCATTCTTCTTTTTTTTTTTTTTTTAGTTTACAATTCGGAATAATCAATTAATCGAATTAAAAAACCATCAAGATTAGAAAGATATGTTTTAAATTGGTAGATTGAGAAATGTATATTCATTTTGGGACCCTCGTGACCACAAACCGCGTGGTGGTCGTAGTCATTGGTCTACTACTCTACATGACAGACTGACAGTGGCTTACTTAGGTTCCCTCTGATTGAATATGGACCATTAACAAAAAAAATCGTAAGATTCGATGAAACTGTGTAGACAAAAAAAAAGCAAGTGGGCAGGCATTGTTGCAACATCTTTTGAATATATCAGGAAAAGTGTTGTTTAGATTAAGAGAGATAGTCAAGACTTTCAACAAAGGTGGAGTACCCAAATGCTAAGGAGTTACAGAAACATTATCACTAGATGTTGCTTAGAGACGCATTGTTTCTTCGCAGAAATGTGGTCAGACAAAACCGTGAACCATGATATGGATGCATATGTAAAGGTGAGGAGAGCCGAGGATTCTCTCAGAACCTTGAACCAGATAGTTGATTCATTTGCAGAATTGAAGGTGATTCAAATACGCTTGCAAAGCGATTTTGCATTTGGTTGTGTAATCTCCGAAAATGGTGACCCTTGGAGTGTCTTACGTTGTAGATGCTATACACGCTCACCTTACTATACAGTAACTTGTCAATCTAAAGTGTCGTTTACTTACTTCTAGCAAGATTTTGGCTGAACATCTCAAATGGCACATATGCATATAAATATGGGGTTAATTCTATATGAATCTTACTCTGTTTTGGTGTATTAGTATACAGTAGTATCTTCTCTCTTCTCTCCAGGAATTTTGACTAAAGAAACGCCAAACCTCCCCTGACTTTAACCATAAGGAAACTAGCTCAGAGTTACCCACCTACTTCCTCAACCTAAAATTCCCATGTAGAATTGCTCCCAAGTTTTTGCCCTTTTGACAATGCATCAGACTCCAGTCCATGACCTTATGACTTGATTCTCACATACTTGATTCAACGAGAATTTCTAAAACAGCTATATAATCCTTAGCTAGATCATAGAAAAAGAACACCACTTTATGACAAATTGAAAATATAATTTGAAAATTTATGATGGTCTTCATCTTATTCAAAGAGAATTGCTAAAACAACTTCATAATCCTGAATGAGAGATCATTAAAAAAACAATAGAAGCAGCACTTGTGTTTAAGCAAACTAAGTTTCGTGATGGATAACACCAATCATACAACAGCTACTTGGGTAAATCGTATTTACCACAAAAGTTCGTAGCCGCAAAAGCTGTTTGATTCCTTGCTGCCATTTCTTCCCTGGAACCAAAATATCATTCACCATCAACATCCACAAGTAACACAATACACAGAACAATAAAGCAGAACTCAAAGCTATACATTTACACTTACTTGAATCGGTCACAAATTGACTTCCTTGCAGCCTCTACCAAGACGATTTCTTGATGCCCATCAATTCACCTTTATTAGCTAATCCACGGAAACAGATTCGAGACATCCGAAATAGCTCAGTCACGGAACGAGACCGACCAGTGAACACACATCGGTTTCTTATCCTCGTAAAGGCACTGTTTCTCGGCAATTTCGACAGCTTATAGCGATTCTTCTCTCGCATGTCGCTAGGAAGATCTGGATCTTTACAAAACGCTTTATAGAGCTTCCTTCTCAGTTCGAATCTAGCCGCGAGCAATCTACGTCTGTGATCGGCACTGTTTCGCTTCACACCTTGCTCCGTGCCACTGTTTTTCGATGCCGCCTTCATAACTGTCGTCGTCGATATATGTTTAGCTTGCATTTGACCGAGATTTTTCGGAGCTTCAACCGCAGATCGCCATAACAGCCCTGAAGCGGAAGAGAGATCGAACGTATGCGATTGAGAGAGGGAACGTTGGCAATAGGAAGATACGTTGATCAGGACTCGTCGGAGATTGGCCATTGATTCGAGAGATTTAGGGTTTCTCTCTGTGTAATTTCAGTCCTCGAATCGGCTCAAAGCTACTTCTTCTCGCGAGTCGCGACAATGGTGTTGGGCCTGTTCAGTTTCGGCTAATTGGGCCTATTCTTCTGAATTGTGCAAGCCTTGTTTCATCTTCTTCCTTTTTTTTTGTTAGTTTGAAGCAAAATGTATGTTACCCTATTAGTTCTATAAGATTTATTTGTGACATTCAGGTGAATGTCATTAATATTCATAATCAGTTTAAAACATATTGATTTGGTATCAGGGTATCTCGTTCTAAAATAGTTTGCAAACTCATGTATTTTATTCAAGAGTATCATTGTTAATGTACCAAATTAATCTCTTGACGTTTCTACAAAAACAACACTATTTCTTGAAATTATTGAAAATATTATCTTCCAGGATTTCATCTCGTGGTCTACTTCAATTTTGTTTGACTAACATGGGAGTTGAGTTTAGGATTTGTCTTTTCTTGCTGTCCTCGATTTCTTGCTTGAGAGACTCCATTACTTTCTTGAACTCATCTAATGTGAATTCTTGAATCCCACATTCTTCTGAGCTTCCAGGCCATTGTAAACCAACCTGAATCTCTCTGAACCTGTTGAATGTCTCTTCTACTTCTTTCTCAGTATCTCCTCGGAGGTAATGGATTATAGTCTAAAGCATAAAAGAGATTGATGACAATAAGCAAAAATAGAATGACAATTGGAATTCTAAAGTGTAATTAAAGATGAATATGATTTGCCTTGTATAGAGGACGTCTTGCATCCGTTATGACTTCATCCTCTAAACACTTACATTTTGAAGCCTCTTCAGTGTTTCCCTATTTTTTTTTTTTAAGTTATATTATAAAGATATTAATTGTTAAAATAATATGAAGTTTTATATTATGAAGTTTTATGAGAATTAAAGAGCAAACCAAGTAGATCAACATCTCTACAAGCAACATCTCAATCTCATAAGCCTCATGACTTCTTCCTTCTTCTCTTGCTTTCTCCAATGCTTTCTTTAATATCTCCACTCCTTTTGCTTCTTTTCCACTCATTTCCATCTTCACGATGTCTCTCTGCAAGAGGGAAAAGAAATAGGGTTCTAATAAGTTTGATTCTAAAGAGAAAAAAAGGTTTTCCATGTGAAACAACCTGAAGCAACCCGAAATCCGGCTTTTCTTTGGAAAGCAATGATTCAAATTCGATCTCAGCATTCACAAGGGAAGAAGTATCAAGGCGATATGAGTGCAAATCAAGCAGTCTCTGCAATGCCAATTTTCCTCCTCGAATTGCCCCCATCGAAACAGATCTTGATAGGTTACTCTGATCTCTTCCTCTTCCTTTTAATGAAGCCTCCTTACCGATTTTTTTCACATTATCTTCTTTTCTTTGTTCTACAACGCTTTTGCCGATACTATTTCTGATCCCTCGACCATTGTTATCATCTTTCTTCCTCCATAAGCGACGATTTATGTAGCTCCAAGCAACATAGGCACTAGCAAGGAGAAAGACGGGTGCGACTGCTGCTCCATACTTTGTCTTCATGGTGAACTTGTTCTTGGACCTACCCACCATATACTTACCTATATTATAATTTGTTGTCTGATGTATTCTTGGTATGTCAAATTTTAAAAGAAGTTTCTTTTAATACAACTCCTTCTTGAAAGTTTCATTTTATACACCAAGAAAATTGGGTTGTAAATGGAAGATGAAAGCATTCAAGTTATTCTAATGTTATAGTCTTGCATCATAGGTAAAGAAGTTATTATACTTTAACCGAGGAGGAACACAAACAAAGAATATATCGGCATGGATATTTCCAAGTTCCCAAAACTTTGGAAAAGAATAAATTTTTCCTAGTCTTAATCAAACTAAAATCTAACTAATCTTAGAAGTTTTCTACCGGTATATCGAAAGTCTTTAGAATATAAGGGAGAAAAGCATTTATCTTGTAATTTTCAAAAAAGAAAACGAAAGAAGTTGGAAAACAAGGCAATGGCTTAAGCCACAATTAAGATGAAAAATTAGAATATCATTCCAAAATTAAGTTTATGTATTATATGAATGTTTAGCTTTTTTTTTGTTTGTTTGAGAGATCCATGATGTTGTTTATAAGAGGGAAAGTAAAGCAAAAAATGTATTAAACTAATTTTTATATTATCGATAATATTTACTACGACTATTATGTAAATATCGAAACAATAATAAATGACACATTTTAAAAAATTGTCGTTGGAGGACTTTCGTCAATGATTCGTTGCCCGCGCCCAAACTTAAGCTTCTCATCTGATTCTAGGCACGGTACTCTATACGTACTTGCTTGTTTAGCAAAAATCTTTGATGCTGGCCTTTCTGTCAAACTGAAGTTACTTCTGTCTGAAGCAACAAATTGATGCTTTCCTTCACAAACCCTAAAAAGCTCAAATGTTCTATGTATGTGAAAAAACTAACACTAACAAAAATTTAAGAACCAATCCCTAACACACCAATTACTGCAATAGAAATCCATTATTAGTTTTTATCTATTCAAAAGAGAGAATGGCAGCTTCTACATTTCTTCTAGGCCATACGCAGAAACTCACACTTCCTTTCTCAAAATTCACTTCCACACATAAACCAACTCTTAGATCTCAAAACCTTTTTCTTGGTTTCCTCTCCAATAGCGGTCAAAGCGGCCGTTTGTTCATCAGATCACCAACCACGATGGCCAAAAAAAACAACAAAAGTGATTGTCAAGAAAATAAAAAGCCGTTAACGCCGTTAAAAATGGCGGCGGGTGCATCCCTTGCACTTGCTTGTGCCTTAAGTATCTTCGGCTTTAAGATAAAGAATATGAGCTATGCTGCCGCCGCAGCTGTGCATCCAAGCGCCGCCGACATGATCATATCCGGGAAGCCAACCGCAGCCGTATCAGCGTCTTCCGGGATGTATCCTTTGCCGGCTAAGTACGCATTGCGGTCTCTCTTTGAAGTGAGCTCAATGCTTGCTTCTGCTAAACCCATTCCTTCTCAAAAACCATTCAATCTTCACAAACTCCCTTCTTTGCCTTCCAAGGAAGATATTGAATCCATCAAGGTACAATTATTTGCAGACTTAACCAGACAGATGGATTATTCGGTTTTGTTTTCCTTATTACCCAAAAATATTTTAAATGAAATCTAACCCCCCAAAAAAAGAAAATACACTTATTTAAATCTATGATTACTCTGATTTCAGTTTGGTCTCTATCTCCATGTTATAAACATATTTCTATATCATAAAGAATTATGAAAACATATTGTAATTTTTTTACAATATAATATGATCGACGTAGTCAGATTTTTGTATCAACACCTTTCTTCTTTAATTTCAAAGCGAGTCTACATAAACATTATGCAAAATACAAGCAAACCAATATTTTTATACTTTGTCTTATCAATGAAACCTAAGTCTAATATTGATCAATTGAATAGTAAGAAGCTTATATAACTTATAATATCCATAATTAATTTAAAAAAGAAGTAAAAATGATTTAAAAATTGAGGGAATTGTAGATGGAGGCGGTGCGGAGAATGAAGGATGGAAAATGCGAGGAGGCCGTGCAGCTCCTTCGCGACGCAAACATGAGATACAAAAACGAGCCAGAGGCCGACTTCAACGTGCAGATGGCTCTTGTTGAGATTTTAATATTGCTGGTACTATTTTCTATTTTCTAATTTCATATAAAATTCCTTCAGATTAACGTGTTCTATGGATTGACATTTCATGTTTTAAGCACTCTTGGCTATAATTAATGGTTAGTTTATTCCAGGAAAGGTATCAAGAAGCTGCTGAGTATAGTTGTCTAAATGATGAGAATATCCAGATTTCTGATGTTCGGATCCCTCTTTATAAGGTTCGTAAACGAAATATTTATCAACCATTTTTTTGTAATTACAGATTAACCGAATTTCACCGCAGTGTTTAGTTGTTAAAAGAGTAATGGTGTTTCTTAAGTACAGGCAATTATATACACGATGCTAGACAAAGATACGGAAGCCAAGCAATGTTGGAAAGAGTTCAGAAAATCTATTGGTGAAGGATTTGACCCTTTCAGTTTCGAAGAGTGATTGATTATTCCATTTAATTTGGACAAAGAGTGATTAACTAGATATCAATCATTCAAAGCCTATTGTCGCCCCAAAAACACTTATTTCTTTTAGTAGCATCTATTATATAAAGAGTGAGTGAAGTCTCACAAGTGTGACACTTAAGTATCCCTTTTTCTGTCACATCAGCTCTCAAAAATCTATTATATAAAGAGTGAGTGAAGTCTCACAAGTGTGACACCTAAGCATTTCTTTTTCTGTCACATCAGCTCTCAAAAATTTATTTTTAAAAAAGATAAAAAAATATATAGTCAAAAATAAATTTAATAATATAATTTCAAAAATTTTTTGGATGTAAATTTTCTCTTCTTCATTTATTGTTCGTTCTTCACAAAAATAAAATCCAAACCATTTGTTCGCTCTTCATATTTCATAATATATCATCGATATTCTTTCATTCCTTCTTCATTCATGTTGTCATCTTGATGTGCTCACTGGTGGAATTGATTTTCTAACTTTGGTTGTTAATGGATCACTATTTGATTACACTTGGTTTCACAATAAAAACTTTAAAAACCTCTTTTAAAACTTACAAAATTTTGATTTGAATCCAAAATTTTACTATAAAATGTCTAATATCAAGTTGAAAATATCAATAAAATGAGTTAATTATTGAAACTAGATTAAGAAGTAAAAATATATTAAAAAAAACCCACGCGTATGCGTGGATATTCTCCTAGTTACAATAACGAGTAATTCAAATTTGGGTATAATTCTTACATTTTTTTTGTAAAAACGTCTCTATAAAACCGCTGTGGTTCTATCCAAATTCCAACAAATAAAAATGTTTATTTTATGGAAAAAAAGGTGTCCAAGTTGCACCGAAAAAAGAAAACAGGTGTCACAAAATAGACACTAGCATAAATATTCCCCAAAAAAAATTGAGGGGATGATATCTCTGATATGCTTCCCTTAATAGTCTGAGAGAAACAGACAAAAAGACAAAGATCATGCTAAAAATAGAAACACGCATTCCCTACGTACTACGTACGTAGACAGTATCACAAACACGAGTATTGTAAACATTCAGTATTCGACGACTCAGCGTGGTTTTGATACACTCTATTACTTGATCATGACAGTCACACGTGTCAATAGGGTAGATCATTGGCAAAATAGTCAGATAAAAAAAAAGAAGACAGTTCGTCGACCGAATCTCAACAAAAAACAGGAAATATATTTTTTTTTTACACATGGGATATATTACAAGGTGCGGACGCAAGGTGTAAGGAGTGTGGCACGTACCACATACTCTCTTTTTACTATATTTTTAAGCAAAGTAATATACATAAAATTCATTAAACTCAGTTATACCAAAGTACTTTTAAAAGTGTATAACAGCCAAATAAAAACAAAATGTGCCCCACTTAAAATTTTTGTTAATCTAAATCATTTAAAACAAAAATCTAACTTCAAATCTATCTAGTTTTCATTTTATTGGTAACCACCACTACAATTGAAAAATATTGTTGTTTTTGGCGATGAACTTTATAAAGACTATGCTACGTAACCGAATGAGAACAATTTCTAAATGACCGTCGGATTTGTCAAATAGAAAAAATAACACTTTGATAATGTGCTAAATGAGGGAGCGATGAAAAAATTTCAAAATATGGAATATAGCATAATAGTTTTATAAATTTTTAATAAGTTTATTACATAATATTTATTTGATGTTCTTTCGTTGGTTTTATAATATTTATGTTACTATTAGTATTTTTTATCAATCATTTTACTATTTACAAAAAAAAAATTGTGCTCTAGACTCACTAATTTTCTAGATCCACTTCCAGAAACAAAATGTGTAGTACATGATGATGATGTTCTTACGTTATCGGCAGATTATATCCAACTTCCAAGAAGCCAACAAGGAGATGAGATATGCGGCGAGCCTCATGTATTAGACGCCCCCTACACATCCCTACACATCCCTACACATCCACATGTCAAATTAGTATTTCGTTTCTCAGGAAACTGTGTGTAAAATTTTCCTCTGCTTTGACAAACTAATCTTTTAAAACTAATCCAGGCGTATATTTCCTCGTTTCAAAACATAAAAAATGTTTAGGGTCTATAAGGAGTTGTTCTTTGTGAAAATGATATAGGTAGAACTGTTCATTGTGAATTTATATATTGTATATACGATTGCGTCGTGGAATTGTAAGTAGAATTGTTCATCATAATCAAATGTGATTGATATAGTTGAATTTAATCGTTTGATCATCAATTGTAGTATGATTAGATCAAATATCTCTTTGGTAAGTGATATATCTATATATTAAATTCATAAATAATTTTGTTAGATGAAGAAAGAAATAAATTTTAATTAATGTTTATGATTCTGTTGTATATTTGTTTTTAAATATAAATTAAAATATGTTACCATTCAATCTAATAAGATTTCTTCCTCTTCAAGAAACCGTTGATTTGATAAAAAAAAAATATATAGAAGGAGATCAAAGAATATACCCAAATAAATGAACATAAAAAGGGTGCTAAAATTGCATTAAAATTTTGAAAATAATAATTAAATAATCCTCCGCCCTAGACACAAGCAACTATAAATTAAAGCCAAGCAAAAACACTCTTTTCACCAAATTCTCTCTTTTCAAAGTTCCTTACTTCCGATCTTCAACAATCCATTTTCTTCAAAAGAGTAAAAAAATCATGGTAGTTTTGTTACAGCCAGTCACTTTGGATAGCCACCTCTGTGTTAACCCAAAATGCAAACCGAGTCCGGTATTAATCCCGGTTGTAGACTTAACCGACCCAGATGCCAAAACTCAAATTGTCAAGGCATGCGAGGAGTTCGGGTTCTTCAAAATCGTAAACCATGGGGTCCGACCCGATCTTTTGACCCAATTGGAGCAAGAAGCCATCAAGTTCTTTGCTTTGCATCAGTCTCTCAAAGATAAGGCGGGTCCACCCGACCCGTTTGGGTACGGTGGCAAACGCATCGGACCCAATGGTGACGTGGGTTGGGTTGAGTATATTCTCCTCAATGCTAATACTCATCTTTCGTCTACCAAAACCAACGCCGTTTTCCAGCAAACCCCTGCAATTTTCAGGTAAAACCCTAAACCGGTTTAGAAAACAGAGCAAAGATCTTGTGTCTTGACCCTTCAATCTTTCTTTTCCTTTTTTCCGATATTCCTCAATCTTTACTGATTTAGAAGGAAAATATATTATACAATTTTTTGATACTCGAAATCTTTCATTTTGAAAATCATTTCCGAAAAAAAAATCCCGTGAGATCATTTCCAAATTTAACACAGAGTTGCCTTGTTTAACGGAGAGAAACAGGGGATGCTCTGTTTTTTTCCCGGGGAAAAAGTGCAGATTTTGAATACTGTTAATCTGTTATTTCCCCAGTTTCTTGTCTCACATGTTCTTTGACATTAAAAGGTAATATGAATTGAAACAGAGAGGCGGTGGAAGCATACATAGAGGAGATGAAAAGAATGTCAAGCAAAGTCCTGGAGATGGTAGCAGAAGAGCTAAGGATAGAGCAAAAGGAGAAGCTGAGCAGATTGGTGAAGGTGAAGGAGAGCGATTCGTGCCTGAGGATGAACCATTATCCAGAGAAGGTTGATGATACTACGGCGAAGGAAGAGATTGGTTTCGGTGAGCACACGGATCCACAGTTGATTTCAGTGCTCAGATCAAACGACCACGAGGGTTTACAAATCTGTTTGAAAGATGGGACTTGGGTCGCTGTTCCACCTGATCACTCCACTTTCTTCGTTCTTGTCGGAGATACTCTTCAGGTACCATTTCTGTTGCGAAATTTTTTCTCTTTTTGATTTATCTTATTTTTAAATGGGTAAAATGGGAATTTCACATTTGGAGAGCTAAAGAACAAAATCTAAAAGATACGAAATAATTTATTCTAGATAAAATTGTGTTCAAGATTCGTATTAAGAAAAAAATCATATGGCTAATACTTTCAGGTATACAGTTTAGATACGTTATTAAGAGAACAATATTTTCTATTAAATGTAGAAGTATCATGTGTAAATTTATAATTGCATTCATTTTAAGATTTCTCACGTGACAAATACTATGACATGAATCATGATCGCCATATTAATCTAAGATTCATTTGTTTTCTCCTCAGCTTTTGAAACTAGCACGATATTAATTGTTGGTTCAGAGAGAAAGCATCACACATTTCAAATAACTTTTTTGGCGGTTATGTATTGATCATTGTAGGTGATGACTAACGGAAGATTCAAGAGTGTGAAACACAGAGTGCTAACAAATACAAAGAGGTCAAGATTATCGATGATATACTTCGCAGGTCCTCCGTTGACCGAGAAGATTGCTCCATTGTCATGCCTTGTCCCAGAGCAAGAGGATTGGCTTTATAAAGAGTTTACTTGGTCTCAGTACAAGTTATCTGCTTACAAGACTAAGCTTGGTGACTATAGGCTTAGTCTCTTTGAGAAACAGCTTCCATTTTCTATATCCAGTGTCTGATCTACCTTTTTATCTTTTTGCCGTTTTTTAAAAAAATTTCAATGATTATATAATTTTTTCTTGTTTATTATTCTGAACAAGAAAATCGAAACAAGAAAAATGATAAGTTTCTCAATTATTCTAATATTTTGTGTTTTGTATTCTGGTCATCTCTTAGTCTTAGTAAGAATTAGAACAACAATTATAGAACACACGTGGCTTTTGTTATGAACGATTCTTGATGACAAAGAAAAAAAAACTACCTAAACAAACGTTACGCTAAAAGTTTTCATTTTTTTTTTGTTTTTTAAAGAAAAAGGTACGGAACACACGTTATTATGAAATCAGAATTTCGTAAATGTAGTAGAGTTATGCTTAGTTTGGATGTTTCAGTTTATTCTATAAAAGTCAGGCAATGTATGTATACCTAAAAGAGTGAAGCACGATATATCTAGTTCGGAATTCAATTCCTCAAAATAACCTTTAATCAAGATGACAAGTCCATTATCGAAGACGAAGACGTCGTAATCAGGAAATTGAGTCAATACAATATCGGTGGTAAATATCCGGATTTACGTTGTTGTTTTCACATCCGTGGTACTGTCATTTTTTTTTCCTCGTAATTGCACCAAAAAAAATATATATACAAAAGAGAAGGAAGCAACTACCAAGCACGTCTTGTGTGTGCCTGCCGACAAAAATGAAGAAGCAAGAATGTAATAAAAGCTTTTTTTTGGTTGGTATAATTGTTTTACAAAACTGAAGTTGAAACTTAAACCTTTAGACAAATATATTTTACACCTACCATTCAGTGTTTTCTGTAAATTTTCTTTTTGTAGACCGTACCTAGTTAGTAGTTACCTACCGTTCAGGGAAGTGAAATGTTTTTTTTTTTGGTTAAAAGAAATGGAAGTGAAATGGTAAAAACTATGGAAAGAGACAAAGAGAGTATATAAAAAAAAAACTAATGATATATATATATTCCCTCTGTTCAGAATTATTTGATGTTTTAGAAGGTTTTTTTTGTTCAGAATTATTTGATATTCTCACTTTTCAATGCAAAATTTAATGAATTTTTATAGTTTTTGACTTTTTATATTCTGCAGATAGTCTTCTTATTGGTTGAATGATATTTAAATGAATTATAAATAATATTTTTAGTATAGGAAAAATAAAAATTAAATGAATTCTTAAACTGTGTGCAAAAACCTTAAACATCAAATAATTCTGAACAGAGGGAGTATAAAAAAAAGTTAACTACAAAGGGGAGTGAAAGTTAAAAATTTTAGCAACAGAAAACACAATAATGGAAATGTACTTCGTGTTTCTTTCAATAAACCATAATTACAGATTTTATTCTATTTTAAAAACAAAATTTCCAACTGTGGATCACGTGCTTGTTTCGTTTATGTATCTCTGCGAGAGCTGTTGTTCAACTCTCGCCATCCATCGAGAGAGAGAGAGAGAGAGAATTTTCTTGTTTTCTTCTCCTTCTCTCTTTGCTTCTTCACCTCTTGAGCTTTGAGATTCATCAACGATGGCGACCGATGAGCCCTCTCTTACTCGCTGGAGCTTTCTGGTAAATCTGACTCTGTTTCTCACTCTCTCTCACCTTCCTTTTAGAAATCACATTCCAGGAAAATGCAGTCATCAAGATAACTTGGTTTTCTTTTTTTTGAAATATTGGTTCTAAATCGAAGTCAAACTCTTTAATGTCGCTTCGACTTTCCAAAATGAAAAAAAATTAAAAGAAAAAGAAATTCTTTAATCACCGGAGAAACCGAGGAATTCGCTTAGACATGCTTTCGTTTCAGCCTTTAATTCTCGAATTTAGACATTGAACTAGTGAACAAAGATCCCGTTTCTTCGGTTTCTCTAAACTCAAAGCCATGAGCTTGGGGAATTGATCGATTTGTTCAAGAAAAAAATCTATTATGTATTTATTTAGGAGTTTAAAACGTTTTATGATGCCAAGTTTGGGAGGAAGAAGCTGCCTGAAGAACCTCAGAACGGCCAACAAGTAGATGGATCTTCCAGCAACAACAAGGAAGAAGAACCTTCCCAAGTCCCCAATCCAGTTCAGGTCCCTTTTTTTTTTGCCTTCTTTTAAGCTTTAGGAGAGTTCGTGTATGTCTCTTCTTTCTTTGTCCTGTGATAATTCAAAGTGTTGGTCTTTCCGATGAATTGCAGGAGAGTAACACTGGTGTGGTCAATGGGATCCGCGAGAAGCCGTAATTTGCTTTTCTCTTCATTTCCTTGTGGTTTCTTTTGTTCAATAGTGTTGGATCTGAGTCTGAGGAATGGTTAGCAGAAGAAATAACTGTCTCTATTTTTGTTTCTTCTGCAGGAAAAAGTCCATGTTTCCACCTTTTGAGTCTGCAGAAACTCGTGCTCTCGCAGAGAGTTTGAGTAGGTAAGTCACTGTGGGTACTAGATAACATTTTTGCTCTTAACATCATCTTCTTGTGTTTCATGGCTTGTGTGGGATTCTTTGTGTCAGGGATATTATCCGTGGGAATCCAAATATCAAGTGGGAAAGCATCAAGGGTTTAGAAAACGCCAAAAGGTTGCTCAAAGAAGCTGTGGTGATGCCTATAAAATACCCCACGTATGTTCTTCTTTGCTCTCTAGAATATGCCAATGTCGATGACTTCTAGTTTATGTTGGTTCTTGAATCTCAACTTCTGATTTCAGCTACTTTAATGGTCTACTATCTCCATGGAAAGGAATTCTTCTTTTTGGTCCACCTGGTACCGGAAAGGTTTTGCGATGATTCTATCTCGAATGTGTTATTCCTCTGAGGTTCTGTTTCTTGACGAGCAGATTAGAAACGAGAGCTATGCTTAACAGTGATAAATCCTCTTCTGCAGACTATGCTTGCAAAGGCTGTTGCTACAGAGTGCAATACAACTTTCTTCAATATCTCAGCCTCATCTGTTGTTAGCAAATGGAGAGGTGTAATCTTCTTCATCTGAATTTACTCGAAACAATGGAAATTGTTGCACTCTTTTTGAGTAATAACATTTTGGATATCTGTGTTTTGATGTTTTGCAGGTGATTCTGAGAAGTTGATAAGAGTGCTGTTCGATCTAGCTAGGCATCACGCACCTTCGACGATATTTCTTGATGAAATAGACGCGATCATAAGCCAGCGTGGTGGTGAAGGCCGTAGTGAACATGAAGCAAGTAGGCGTCTCAAAACCGAGCTTCTCATTCAGGTTTTTAAAAAAAAATGCTCGAGAACCTTATCGTCTCACAAAGATCATCATCTTGCTAGGCCATTAGTAACCTTACAGATGCTATTCGGGCTCAAAACTTGCAGATGGATGGGTTACAGAAAACGAATGAGCTTGTGTTTGTTTTAGCAGCTACAAATCTTCCCTGGGAACTAGATGCAGCTATGCTCCGACGTCTAGAGAAAAGAGTATCCTTTTTGTTTTTTTTGTTTGTTTTCATATTCTTTTATGACTCTCCCTTGTTTTGGACTTAACTAGTGAAATCTTTAGATTCTTGTACCTTTGCCGGATCCGGAAGCAAGAAGAGGAATGTTCGAGATGCTCTTGCCGTCACAACCGGGAGATGAGCCATTGCCGCATGATGTGCTGGTTGAGAGATCCGAGGGTTACTCTGGTTCGGACATTCGGATACTTTGCAAGGAAGCTGCGATGCAACCATTGAGACGCACTCTTGCTTTGTTGGAAGACACAGAAGAAATTGTGCCTGAAGATGGTAATATATCTTTTCAAAAGATATCCATCATTGGCATACGTTTTGAAAAACTGCAGAATCTTTGACGTTTTTGTTCCTTATTTTTTGGTTGCAGAGTTGCCAAAAGTGGGACCAATCCTACCAGAAGACATTGATCGAGCTCTGAGCAATACTCGACCATCAGCTCATCTGCATGCCCATCTCTACGACAAGTTTAACGATGATTATGGTAGCCACATCCTTAAGTAAATTCTATGAAACATATACAAATCATATATGTCATCTACAACTTCATCATTATTTGTATGGCAGCATCCAAATCCTGCTCTCAGTGACTTCTTTTTTTTGTTTTAAAATTAAGAATAAAAACTCTTTCAGGGAAAGAAGGATCTTATTACTCCATATTGTTGGAATTTTTTTTCTACGTTTTGGCTTCTTGGTTGATGAATGTAGTCTTTTCTTGTTGCTAATCGTCTTGAATATCGATAAGAGTGTGCAGTAGAAATCATGAAGATTAAAGAAAAGGCCGTATAATTAAACTAAATTGAGTCGGATGAAAAATTACAAAAAGAAAAAGAAACAGCACCAAATTCTTGGTGAGTGTTTGGTATATGATCATATTCCTGAGACGTATTAGAAACAACAGTTTTCACTCGGTACTCTCCGGACCAGATTTTCCTTTCTTGGACCGTTTTCTTGTCCTCTTTTTTGTAACGCTTTCACCTTCTATCTTTTCCTGAAAACACCACAACAAAAATCGAAATTGTAAACATTGGAACATTTTTAGTTACACCATCATTTACATTAAAGCTGCTAAACCTCTATCTAACCTTTTGGGCACCAGATTTCGATTCAGCTTTAGATTTCGATTGAGGTTTCACGGCACTGTTCGCTTTCTTTTTCTTCATGCATGAAAGTGGGTTTGGACCCTGCAGAGTTTTGAGACAACATTGTTAGTTTCACTATTGCTACTTCATCTGCGAGACTTAGAACACACAACACAATGAGTGTACAATACCTTTGCTCTATTTCGCTTGAATTGAGGTCTATCCTTCACACCGAGTCCATTTCCTGTATTGACCACTCGAGGCGCTTCCCATTGCTCATCTTCAATTGTTTCTTCTCCTCTTTTAGCAGCTAAGATTCTTGCAGTCTGTTTCTCAAGCATTCTCTTTTCTGCATCGGTCATCATTAGCCGCTTTCTCTCAGAGCTTTTGGCTGTCTCACGTTGGAAATCAGAAGGTTGATCGATCAGCAGAGTCTTCCTTAGCCCAAACAGAAGAGGAACGATAGACTCCTGAAAGAAAATTTCCAAAAACGGATCATATTATTAATAAAAAAAAACCCTCACAGAAAATCCATCCTCTGAAACAAAAAGAACTCTGCTCATGAACTAACCTGTTGAAGCTTCTTCCTAAACTCGAAGTCCTGAGTGCCAAGAAAGAAATGCTCGGAATTGTTGGTCCTAATTACATCCGACAAACACGCGTCTGCTGATTTTGCCTCCTCGTGCTCACACCTAAAAGACTCAAATGAATATACATTGTCCAAATTCCATGCCTGGAACTTACAAAAGATCCTCACTTTCTATACATTAAGCTCTCATCATAGAGGATATATATAAAACTCAGTTCCGTGCTTAATGAATCCAACATTTCACAATCTCCCAATTAATCCAACACCAAATCCTACGAGACCAGCAAATTCATACACAATCCAGTTCGAGAAGTCTCCGGATAAATACATTCTTAGACACTGTAAATGACAAATAAATCAATGCAAGATAACAAATGAAAAGGAAGCTTACGTCGCTGTACTAAGCATCTGGGCAGCCTCCAGAGATTCCGCAAAATCATAACCCAGTTTCTGCAACTCCGCAACGACACATCTACGAGCACCATTAAGAAATCGGGTAAAAATTGATCTGAAGCAGTGAGTGAGAGAAGAAGCATAAGAGAAAGAGATGATAAAGAACCTGGTGGTGAAGAGCTTGACGGGACCTCCGAGGAGTTCGGAGATAGCAGTATCGGCGGGAGTGATCTCGTTAGTGACAAGATGGTGGATGAAGGTACCGTCGCAAAGGACTTTATAGGGCTGTCGGAATCCGAAACAGACCGTGAAGAATCTCACGGTTCTCCTGTTCTTCTTCTGTCTCTTCACTCTCATCTTCTCTCTCTCGACGGAAACCTACGCACGGCGATTATCAGAGGCGACGGCGGTTGAATTAGGGTTTAAGGTTTTATTTTTGATGAAGCTGATGCGATAAACGCCGATTTTGGAAGATGATGACTTATGTGTTTGGTTCAGTTTAGAAAATTCGGTTTCATTGGTTTGCTTGGTTATACGGATGATCTTGTACACATTAACTAAAAAATAGATTGCACTTGAAAAAAAAAAATTACGAATCTATTTAGTTTGGGTTTCTTAAAAAAAAAAACAGAACAACCTAAGCATCAAAGAAACAACAATATTTTCAAGAGAGAAGGCAACTATTTCAAAAAGGCTACAAGAGTTTCTTCTTTACTTTGTTCTTTCAAAAAGGCTCACGTCTTTGAAGCTCACTTCATTGATCGTTTCTTCTTCTTCTTCTTCTTCTTCTTCGCATCTGCTTTTTTCTCTCCATTGTGAATTTGTGATTAAAACTATCTCCGCAAACCCCATACGTGTTCGTATATGTTTTTGCAATGCACATCTTTATGATGAATAAGAATCACACCTTAATTTATGTTCTTCAGATAATTGTTCTTCCCATTATTTTCCACGAACGCTGAGCTAAGCTGAGTGACCCCAAAAATTGATAATTCAACCACACAAATCATTAATTTAATCCAGAACTGGACAAACATTGGCTTGTGATTATCATTCAAAGGTGTTCATATACTAACCTCCTTGATTTGATTTCTCAGGTTCTCGACTTGTAACCGGTTCTCTGATCTGAACCTCTCGACACTTTGCATGAACTCGTTCATCTCCGAGCATTTCAGTTTGTAATACTTGTCCCTCTCTTCGTCTAGCTCTTTTAACTCTTCCACCTCGCTCTTCAGTGTCCTATCCTCCAATAGAATTCAGCACAAAATTAATCAGCGCATTAATTTGATATCGTAACCATCAAACCAACAAAGAATCAGAAAGCAAACAAACCTCAGCTGCTGTATAGAGCAGTGGTATTTGGAATCGAGATCTTCGATGCTAGATCTGAGAATTTTGATCTTGAGGTTTTGTGAAGCAATCTTTTGGTCGAGCATCAGACATTTGCGTTCTATGGACTGTATACTTGCGTGCTTCGATTCTAATATCTGTGATTTGTTCACTTGTAGCTCTTTTTCCGCCTATCAACCATTGAATCAACAGCATAGAACCAGAAACGAAAGTGGTGACGGAAATCAGAGAGTATGATCTGTTTCATTATTCGCTGGGAAACTTGATTTCAGATTAAGTTTAAGCTACTGTTCATCAACCAGAGATCTCGATTAAAACGGAGATGAAGCGATTCTCTTCTTTTCATACTCGAAGATCGTCTAAATCACTAGCGACACTGAAACTCAATGATTCAACGGAACGAATAGAATTTAGGATCCTAATTGATTGGATTGTTGGTACCTGGAGAAGATGAAGTCGTTGGTTTCTGGTGAATTCCATTTGATCTAGTCTCTCCTTGAAAGCTGCAGAAAGCGCCATTGCTGCTAGAGAGAGCTAAGAGAGAAAGCGAGAGAGAATAGAGGAATTTGAAAATTTTGGAGATTGGAATAAGCGGAGTAAGTAATACAAATATATGGACAAGGATGGGCACACTTTGAAGTCCCACAATAGTTAATAAGCCCACTAAGCATTTTCAACTTAAGATCCTACTAACTAACTGATATTGATTTTCAGTTTTTTGAATTTTTTTCATGATGAGAAGCCATACAACTCATTTGCAGTGTCCAAATTCGTCTGCACTTTGGACAATCAACCAATTTGTAGTATCGAAATTCACCATTTCAACAATCAATTCTTTATCATTCAACTAATTTGTCGATTAAACTAAAACTACAGGGCCATCTATAACCATAAAGCTTCATTATGTATGTATGGGTGAGTCATGGATAAGCAAACTTGAGGGCATAATTGATGATGCAAGAAAGGAGGAAGCTTGTTCGTGTTGATCAATGAAGAAAGATCCATTCTGGTTAGATCTCGACTACATCTCCAAATGCAAAAGAGTTTTTTTTTTTTCCAGCGGATCTTTTGGTGAATGCGAGAGTGAGTACTTTTTTTTTTTTTTTTTGAAGTTCATTTCTACAAGAAGAACACAAGCATAGAATGGAAAGAGCACAACTCAACTGAAATTGACAAGCTTTTGGAAGAAAGCACAAACGAGATAGGTTCACACAAGGATGGCAAATTCAGGTAAATAAATACAGACAAAAAAGTCAAGAGAAAGACCGATCACGATGATCAGACTGACTTGACGGCGGTGGAGGAATCCGAATCGGAAATATCCGGAGGACGATTTTGAAGGAGAGGAGCGCGAACATCGGAGGATGTGTCGACGTCTTGGTCGTCGGGATCGTAATCGGGATTGAGAGATCTGTCGATGGCTTCACGGCCTGACTCCAAACAAGGCTTACAAGCCATCTCTATCGCTATCCATCCCAAGATCACTCCGGCTATTGCTATCAACGCGCTCGTTAATGCCGCCATTTGAGATCTCTCTCTCTCTCTCGTGGCTCAGACTCGCAATTTCTCTGGGACTGTATCACCATATGATTGACTCTCCCCTCAATTCAGGGAGGAAGTAGATGTTGAAATCCCAATTATGCCCCTCTCTTGGAGTATATTCTTTTTTGTCGGCAACAATTATGAGAAACTAATTACAATTTTGTTCCCTTAATGCATTTACAAGTGATTAAGACATTAACGTTCGGTCCCCATGGTTTTTGGTTTGGTACAATGTTGTTTCTGATAAAAGAAAGAAGATCATGTATGTGTCAATAAAAAAAAAAGTATAAACTAAAAAGCTTCAGAGTTTGATTTCACCAGCAGAGACCATCAAAGGAAAAGAGTGAAAAAACGTATAAAGGGTAAAAGTAAAAAACACAGTCACCACACAAAAATAAAATTACTGGCAGAGATGTTCGACGGCAGTGACGATCTGAGCTGGTTGAACAACCGTCCATTCCTCCAATGTACCGGCGTAAGGAGTCGGAACATCCTGAGAAGACAAACACATCACCGGAGCATCCAAGTAATCATTAAAGTTCTCGTTTATCGCTGCCGTCAAGCTTGCTCCGATCCCTCCCGTTCTCATACATTCCTCCACAATCAAAACCCGGTGCGTCTTCTTCACCGAGTTCCCGATAGTGTAGAGGTCGAACGGCTTCAAAGACCTAATGTCGATTACCTCTGGATCATACCCTTTGTTCACCAGCGTCTTTGCAGCCTGCATTACATGGTACCTGATACACACGTATTCCATACGATTTTGAGTTGTTTCAGTTTCAATGAAGAGGATCTTTTGGTTATTGTTCAATACCTCATCCGAGAATACGTGAGTATCGTGATGTGTTCACCAGGTCTGACCATTTCCGCTTCTTCTAGGTTACAGATGTATTCTTCGTCTGGGATACTCTCCTTGAGGTTATAGAGGAGAACGTGTTCAAACAGAATCACTGGATTCTCGCTTCTTATCGCAGCTTTCATCAATCCTTTAGCATTGTAAGGTGTTGAGCATGCAACCATCTGGATCCCAGGAATTGACTGGAAGTAAGACTCGAGCCGTTGGGAATGCTCAGCTCCGAGCTGCCGGCCCACACCACCGGGACCACGGATTACAACAGGGATAGTGAACTGACCACCGGATGTGTAGTGAAGCATGCCACAGTTGTTGGAGATTTGGTTGAATGCTAAGAGGAGAAACCCCATGTTCATACCTTCGATAACAGGTCTTAGTCCTGTCATGGCGGCTCCAATGCCCATACCGGTGAAGGCGTTTTCACAGATTGGAGTGTCGAGAACCCTGAGATCGCCGAATTTATCAGCTAGGCCTTTGGTCACTTTGTATGAGCCTCCGTAATGGCCTACGTCTTCACCCATGACACATACATGTGGATCTCTGTCCATCTCTTCTTCTAGACCTTCTTGAAGTGCCTCGAAAAGCAACAGCTCATGTCTGCAGAAATTTTTTATGGCTAAAAATTAGTTATGCTTATGTTGTGGCAAAAAGGCATAAACTTGACATGGAAGTGGAGTAAGAGATGTGCTTATACTTGGAACAATGGATGCATAAGTGAAAATGCATATGTTTTAAAAATAGTCGCATAGATTAGATGTAACGTCACATGAATCTCGTATGAAACACAAGCTTTAATCAATTGCAGGACTTTTGAGGTCGTTCATAGAGAGATGTTTTCCAGTGGAAATTGTTCATTTGGTCTGCCAATACAGCAGAATTTGAAATGCTCGTAAGAGATTACCAAGTTCAGATTTGCAATCACTTTTATCAATTCGAACACTACTACTTCTAGAGACCCCCAAAGTATGGTTCTTTTGAACAAAGATTCGAATATAATCTACAATTGGCCCGGATCTAACACCAGGAAATCCAAAAAAGGCATTTGCATGATCAAACATAATGAATCTAAACCGGAAGATTGTTCAAGCAGTATCATAGATCTAGTGAATTGTAGAACAAAATTTACTTTAAGATCCCAGAAATGAGCCCATGAGCCTAAGAACAGTTAACTGCCAAACAATAGATAACTTTTGTCCCCCCCATTAAAATGGTCAAGAGTCCAAAATTTCTCAATCAATGCATGAAATCAAACCTTAAGTATTATTAAGTGACAAACAAATGGATTCAGAACATACCCAGACTTTGATGAGGTGGAGCTCGCAGCCTTGTCCGCCTTCGTCTACAGAAATCCGAGACCCCGTCAAATATCCATTTGCAGATTCTTAAGAAGAGAAAGAGAAAACCCAAAGGTAGAGAAAGCATACCGCAACAGCATTTACTATCAACTGCTCAGAGCGACGAGCTTTGAGGCCAGAACCAAAGCTCTTAATCCCATCAGATCCAGCCGCAATGTATCTCTTGCTCCTCACTGCATCAAAACCCAATACAACAACATTTGGTAAGATCTTATCAAATTCATCACAAAACTAAATAATCTCCAACATGAAAAATCAAGGAATTTAATCGCCAAAATGATAAAATTACAGGAAAACCAATGGCGGAGAATAGAGATCGTCCTCCAAATTCGAAATCAAAACTAGAAAGTGAGCGAACCTGAGAGAGATGAGCGAGAAGGAGCTACGGGTTTGTTGGAATCAATAGAATTAAACGGCGACAGAGCCGTTGCAGCTCCAGCTCCAGCTCCAGCTCCTTGGAGTATCGCAGACATTTTCCGAGAAAATCAAAGAGAGGGAAAATACCACAGAGCTCCTGAGTCCTGACAATGAAAAAGAATTTTATGCACAGACAAAAAAAAATAAAGAAGTGTTGATGAACAGAAGAGTGAAGAAGAGCGGAGAAATCGAAGAAAATTAAAAGGCGTGAAAGTGAGAAATCGTATTCCACATATACCACATATGATATACCGGCTTCTGGTTTAGTCCAAGTTTTTTGGTTTAACTTAATTTCTACTTTCATTTGGTCTGTTTGTAAATGAAACAAAAAGGTTTATTTCTTTTTGCAAATGTTAAAGGAAAAATCGTATTCCACATGAACTATTTTTCAAATTCTTTATCTTTTGTTTTCCTTAAATTCACCTGGTGAAGTGCTTTATCCTTCAGTTAAAAGTCACTTAAAACTCCACAATTTAGGTTAAACAAAAAAAAAAAAAAAACTTCCAAATTCATCTCTATTTCCTTAGTGGCGAAAATGGAAAAAAAAAAACTTCAAGCTCTGACCAGTGTTTCTACTTACAACACTCGTAAGAAGACATTAACAAACAACTAATACACATATATATACTTTTGTCTGTAATAGTAAAATGAAATAGGATCATGCATATATACAACTCTGAATGGGGTATATAAGCTTAGATAAAAGGGGGTCCGTCTGTTTATTGTCTGGAAAGAGGATCCCTGAGTCATTCACTCTATCCACTTGCACGTTCACCTCTTTTCTACTATCCCACTCTTCAACATCTTTCAAAACTTTTCTCATGAGTCATGATTCATGAACATAGCTAAAAACAGCCATTTTATGGAGAATTCAGTAGATTGACCCCATGGACTTTGTGTTTTGTTATGGACTTATAAAAAAAAAATTTGTCAAGAAATTTTTAGGAAAATATCATAATAATCCATTTTAACAGAAAAACGAAAAAAAAAATTAATGAATTCTGGCTCTTTTGAGATAAAAAGAAAAACGAAAAAAAAATATATAATTTGGACCATCGAAAATTGGCATTTCCCACGTGGTTCAGGCTTTCTTTGTCGGTGTGTGGGACGTCCGAATACGATTGGCCGAATTACGTGCTTATAGTATAATTTAATCAAATTAATCACGTGAAGACAATTATTTAGTTAAATGATGCTATAGGGCATACTGGATAGTGACCAAACAAAGCGAAGCTGTATTTCATGATTTACATGTATATAAATTTAAGATTCCTTAGTTAATATATATTAGATTATAGGTTGCTATAGATCTCTAACATATTCGCATAAAAATCAAGGACATTGACGGTCAAACCAATACAAGGAAAATCATTCCAAATATAAATAGTACTTGAAGGTTTGCCAAAAAAAAAAAAAAAAAAGAGTATTTGAATTGGTTTTTTTTTTTTGTCAACAGCCTAGATGTCTAGAACGGTTGGATTATCCAAACCGGATGTGTCGAATTTACATAAATGACATCTTGTGGGTGGGCTCGAACACTCTTTGCTAGAATATCCGCTTTCAAATTCTTCGCACGTGGGATGTGTATTATAGTCTCCTCCAAATGTAAAGCAAATGCTGGCCATTCTTCGGGTGCAGACACTATCTTCACCAACTCCAAACAGTCCGTTGCAAATTTTACAGCCACCTTCTGCATTCCTATCATACAGTGCATAACCCATATAAGGGCTTCTACCTCCGTATGCAGAGGTGAAAGGCTTTGTCTTACATTCTGTGCTCCCATTATCTTGTCCCTAACTCCGTCTTTGAAATAGTACCATCCTAATCCCGATTTAGAATCCGTATCTTTCCATGAACCATCAATATAACACCACCAGCCATCATAACTCAGCAATGATGAGTAGATCATTGAGTTTCCATTATTTATGGATTTCTTCTGCTGTTTAGATATTTGGGCCTCTTCCCATAATGTTGCTTCTGTTTTTGCTATTCTCAAGGTAACTTGAGGGTCTGTATCAATATTTGAGTATATCTTTTCATTCCTTGCCTTCCAGATATACCATAAAATATATGGGAATTGTGTATTTGTTGTCTCTTTTGGTAGCCTCCAGAATAGGTGATCAAAATTAGCATAAACCGATGTCATTGGAAATACGCCTAGAGGTGTTGGGATCTTTGATAAGGCCCATATTTGTAAGACAGGGGGACATTCAAATAAAACATGGTTGATTGTTTCGTCCTCTGTTCCACAACGTGCACATTGTGTGTCGCAGTTTATTCCCCGGGTTATAAGTCGAGTTGGCACCGAAAGGCATCCCGATAAAGCTTGCCAAATAAAGTGCTTTATCTTTGGTGAAGTTTCCAATTTCCAAATATATGATAGCAGTACCTTGATGTTTGGCCCATGTTGGTCTTCAATTCTATCGTCTGATAGCCAGACCACCGTTTGGTATCCCGATTTTACCGTATATCTTCCAGATTTTGTGAAATGCCACCCCACTGTGTCTTGTCGATATGAATTACTTATGGGTATCCCACGAATGAGTTCCACATCTTTTGGATCTATAATTGCCTTTATAAGACCCAGATTTGGGTAATAATTAAAGCTTTTACAAGTTGCTGATCTCGGGCGAGGAGCTGGTATCCATGGGTCATTCCATACTGAAATAGAACATCCAGAACCAACTCTTTTGATTAGCCCTTTATTAACCAGAGATCTAGTTGAGATTATACTTCGCCATCCATAGGATGGTGAGTAAGAACGAACAGGGTCTAGCGGACTTGATTTCCTAAAATACCGTCCTTTAAAAACTCGTGCAAGCAGTGAATTCGGTCTATCTATCAATCTGCATAATTGTTTTGCCAATAATGCCGTATTAAAGCTCTCAACCTCTCGGAACCCTATTCCCCTTTCTGTCTTGTCTTGACACATCTTATTCCACGCTATCCAATGTAAGCCTTTGTGATGTCCATTTGAGCTCCACCAATACCGTGCTGTTGCACTAGATAGTTTCGCCGTTATTGATTTAGGTAAACTAGCTATATACAGATGATGTCCATCTGAGCTCCACCAATACCGTGCTGCTGTACTTGAATTGGTTTATCATGACTATATACAGATGACTTACCAAACTAGCTAAACAGATTATTTGACGAACTATTCAAAAACAGGGTTCGATAAAAACCATGGCTTGGAGGAATGAGTCATAGCCTTACAATTCTAGAGAAATGACAAACATCCAATATTCACATGTATACACGTTGTCAAGAGTATCAACTGATCATTAAGGCTTAAGGGAACACACATATATAATTATACACAATGCATATTCGTTTCATACGACTAAAACCAAAGAGCCGATGCAAATTTGAAAACCTGTTGCATCATTTGAAAACTGTTACATCATTAATTAACTAAATAATTGTCTTAACTAAATAATCATATCCTTCTTATGATTCAAGTAGCTCTGAAACTCCACAACCAAAGCAAGAATCTCAGCTACTAACCATTTTCTACAACGGGCACATATGTGTTTCTTCAGATCTTACCCTTATTCAGGTACTGTATACATATATACACATTTATATCCATAACTCGAATTAATTATCAATTTAATTAACATTTGGTTTAAATTTATACTTTGATGCAGGCAAAAGCTATACTATCGCTAGCGAGTAGAGATATGGAAGAGAGAGCTTTATCCTTGAAAAATTCAGACGGTTCGGATCCTCCGAAAATCCCAAACAATTTGACCCGAATTCATCATCAAAAGGCCTCCATGAAGAGATCTCTTCGTAGTTTTCTTCAGAAACGAAATGTTCGGATTCAAGCAACTTGTCCTTACCACCATTCCCGATAACACTAATTATTTGATTTCAGTTTTTCACCTTTTTAGCATACTAATTTGGCTGGAACAAAATCTAATTACTATATGTTGACTAATTTTTCCGTCTCTGATGGACAGACCCTTAGTTAGTTTTCAGGGGCTTTTTTTTTCAGTTTTGTCAGGGGGGGCGATAATCATGTCAAATTTAAACCACCAAAAACTGGAATACACAAATGTGCGATGTTGATAAGAACACTGGGGGCACTACCAATGTTAATTGGTTTAAGATGAAGATGGGGGATTGGGGAAGTATTGTTGTTCCATTTAAAACCAAATTGTATTCAATCTCAAACGAAGCAAAAGTTTTGGAAAAGGTATACAAGGAGTAAGAACTTGTTAAGAAACTGTTAAGATGTCTTCCAATTAAGTTTGGTACACACAAAAAAAAAAGTTGCAATGAATGTAGTTAGAGGCTCTCTCTTCCATATCTCTACTCGCTAGCGATAGTATAGCTTTTATTTTATTTCTTCTAATTCCTTTTCTTTTTCAACAGCTATTATTTAATAGTCACCATTTAGAGATTAAGATCAGGCGCAAACACGTGGGCTCAAACTTCGCTATTGAATTTTTTTTTTAAATGGTGTAATTTTGTAAACGTTTTTATTTTATAACAACCGCTATTGAAAATTCTATTTCATAAAGATATTAATTCTGCTCCGGACCAAAAATATATTTGGAACCCCCATTAGTTAGACTGATCGATACATGAATTTATTTGTTGACAAGAAACATTAAGTCAATTATTAATAGTATTTCATGAAAAGTTGTTGAAGTTTCTTTCACTCCAGATACAAAAACTGATAAACTCAGGTATTGTAAATCGTTTTGCTTGAATCTTCATATGTTATTTTATAGTACTTGTAAATTCTGAATCATTAGGTGAAGGCAACCAAAATAACTTGTTTTGGATACGTGGAAGCAGAGCTATCATGCATATGTTAGTTTATTTTACTTTGTTGTGCTGTCAAAGTGGGACATTTTTTCTTCTATTGTGCATCCAAGGCACCTAATATAATGTATAAATATAAGACTTTTTTTTTTTATTACGGATTTGTGTTGTTATCACATAAAGACGTGTCCACGATTCTGCATTACCAAACCTCTGTGCCTTGGCTTAAAATGTTATTCCGATTTGCTTATATCAGCATCACCCAATACGACAAATTTATAAATTCGTGTCTATCTTACTACATATATTAAATGTAATGTAAGTTTGTACATTCTGAAGTAAAATCAAGAACTGATTATTGAATAATACTTGCAGAAGATGATTGGGCATTATTTTCCACGTAAGTCAAAAGTTAAATCACCATGACACGGCAAATCGCGAATCGTGGCAGGATCGATAAGCAAGATTTAGTAGTTGTCAAGGGTAGAATAAGTAATTCTTACGAGCTCAATAATTCAGATTCATGACCACAGTATAAAGAACTTCGATCATGACCTTCCAGAAACCAAACACACTAATAAAACCTTCAAACTCAATGCCCCAAATCATCACGAGCTATCTCTCAAAATAACAGAAACGCCCTCGTACATCGTTGAAACCCCTAATTTCGAGCCTAACAAGCCCAAGAAACAACAATACAACATATACACTTCGTTGCTCCCGATTCTCTTATCGATCTCCACCTACATTTTGATCTTCTACGTCCTTGACGTGTCTCCTTCGTCGATCTTCAACGACACCAAGATCTTGTTCTTAATCTCCAACGCACTTATCCTCATCATCGCTGCAGATTACGGTGCATTCACCGAGAAAGAGAACCACGACTTTTACGGAGAATACAGAGCTGCTATGAGAAGCGATGTGAGAGAAAACCCTAGACCGAAAAACTCGGGCTATGAGGTAAGTTTGACAGAAGAAATCAAGAAACGTGAGAGACAAGAAAAACCAGTCATAGCGAAAGAAATGCGGCGAGGTTTGCTTCACAAGGAAGCGGAAGTTCCTGAGAAAACCGTACACGTCGTGAGCGAGAAGCAACCGAGAAAAATAGCTATCCAAAAATACGAGCCAACGACTGATCAAATAACTGCTAGTAATGGAGAAACTTGCAATGCAAGAAAACTGGTGAGTCCTAAACCATACGGGAGAAGCAAATCGGATAAAGCGCGCACAGAACGTCGTCGTTATCGGGAGATCAAACATAGACCTAAAAGTTACGATCGAAGCCAATCGGATAGCTCGAAATGGATGGTTGTTCACAAGGGGAAGAACAAGGCAGAGGAGGCAGAGGAGAAGTGGGAGAATGTAAGAGAGGAATCCGAAGAATTCGCGAAGATGTCGAACGAAGAGTTGAATAGACGAGTCGAAGATTTCATCCAACGATTCAATAGAGATATCAAACGACAAAGTGTTGTCTAGTTTCGTACAATCTTGTTTATTAGTAGTTTTTTTTTTCTCTTTATGCGTTTTTCATTAGAGTTGGTAATTAATGAGATCATGGAGATAATCGTTAATTAGTTTAATTTGGTTGAAAGTAATGGAATTACATGTTAACAAAAAAGAAGTTGTTGCCGACTGGTTTAATAAAGTTCATGTGATGTTAAATAAATAAAAAAAAAGTTCATGTAAAGGGATAAAATATCATTTCATTCTCCTTTTTTGTGTGTTCCAAATTAATATATATATATATATATATATATATATATATATATATAACGTGTTTTCGTTGTTTTAAAAGAAAAGGTATTTTTGAATAGTTTAAAAGTATATTTTAATATATAAATATAAAAGTATTTTTCATATACTGACTTTTGTTGTCTAATGAAAATATGCAAGTATTTTTCTTATTTTTTCCAATACTGATATATTTTGTTTTGAGTCTTTTGACAATTTTCTTATTGAGAAATATCTGAAATTCAAGTATTTTTTAGGTCAGCCCATCGGAATAGAAAATAAAATACTCTCGCCGCCAGCGGAATCAGCTCCTTGTGTTTCATCTTCTTCTCACAAAATCCGAATTCGAAAAAAAAAAGGCACAAAAAACCGGAACAACGTAACCATAGTGACTGAGTCGGAGACAGTGACAACTGAGAACGGAAGAGATAGAGATAGCGATTACCGACCAACGCTACAAAGTTTTTAGTTGTTAGATGGTGGGATTTAAGAACAGGTACATCCTTATAGAGGTGTTTCTGGATCCAGACAAGGATCTGCTTGGAGAAGGAACCCCTATCATTCTTACCAAATTCAACCTCTCCGAAGCCATCAAAGACAGCATTCTCGTAAACTTCGGCGAGTGCGGTCTCGGCTCTTCTCTTGGTTCCTTGGAGGGTATGTCTGCTTTTTTTTTTTCTTTTCATCAATCGCGTCTTTAGATATTGTTGATGCTAGCTCCAGAATTGCAACCCATGTGTGGATTTTTGAAACTTCTCTCATAGAGTTTTGTTAGTTTTCTCTGGTGCATCAGAGTAAACAAAAAAAGATAAAAAAGCAATCTTTATACACTTCTGAAAGAGATTTTTATTGCAGAAAGTATTATCATGGATGGGTTTTCGTTAATAATTGATTGATTAATTGGGCAATGCATCAAACTATCAAGTAAAATCCTTCAAAGACTAATTCTAAATCCTTCAAAGACTTTACCTTGTAACTCTGTAAAACCGATTCTCTTGTTGTTTTGAAGCATACGTTTTTATAATTGGTGTTCTTCAGAGCATTATTTGAAATGGAAATGATTTCGATGTTTGAGATGTTTGGTTTCGATGAATCTGATATGTAATGCCAGTTTTGGTCTCCCTTTCAAACTTCTTATGTTCATCATCTAATTGTTGGGATTACTCCTCTGTTCTAATCCGCTCTTAATTGTATCATATAATTTGTGTCATTGCAGTGAAGTATGTGAACCCAATCACAAAGCTATGCATCGTAAGATCATCTAGAGATGATCACAGACAAGTTTGGTCGGCGATGACTTTGGTCAGAAGCATCGGAAACTGTCCAGTGATCTTAAACTTGCTCTATATCAGTGGCTGCATCAGGGCTTGTAAAGCGACAACCTTGTTATGCGACAAGAAGAAGTTCGAGCAGCAGAGGAAGAGATGAACAACTATAAAAAAATCAAACTATTGAAACATTGAAGACGTAGAGCAATGTAATCTCAAATGAGCCAATCATTGTACAAGAGGAGTGCCACGTGTTCGGATGAGCCAATTACTGGATTATCCAAACTACAAGAAAACTAAACACTTTTTGCAATCTAAACTCTCCAATCACGACACAAAGTAGTGCCACGTGGCAATAACCCACCTCACCTTCTTCTTCTTCTTCTTCCTCAGACCACCCAAGGACACATCATCTCTCTTTACTCACTTCCAGTCTTCCACCATGTCTGCGGCACTGAGCTCGTCTCTTTACATTTCCCCAAAGAAACCTTCATGTCCACAACAATCTCAACCCACAACCTTATCCACGAAACCCAACACCATCAAAACCACTCTCCATAGCCACCCTCTCTTCTCTGTAGCCGATCAGGCAGTAGCCTTCCAGATGAAAGAGAAGATCCTCTGTCTCGAGCTCATGGGAATCGACTCAGGCAAGGCCCTCTCTCTAAACCCTTTTCTCCGCTCAGCATCCCTTAACTCCATCGAATCCGTCCTCCATTTCCTCCAATCGAAAGGAATCTACCCAAATGACCTCCCAAGAATCTTGGGGATGTGTCCCACGATCCTCACTTCTGACATCAGAACAGAACTCAGCCCTGTTTTCATGTTCCTGTCGAATGATCTCTACGTCCCTGAGAATGGATTCAGAAGAGTCATCAAGAAATGCCCGAGGCTCCTGATTAGCAGCGTGGAAGATCAGCTCAAGCCTGCTCTTTTCTACTTGCAGAGACTTGGTTTCAAGGATCTTGATGCTCTTGCTTACCAAGATCCTGTCTTGTTGGTGTCTAGTGTTGAACACACTCTCATCCCAAAGCTTAGGTAAAAAAATTTCAGCCAGTTTCTTTAATGAGTAAAGGACTGGTGATTACATTAGAGAATCATCTGTAATTGAATGATTTAAGACTTCTTGCATTGTGATATTTTGTCAGATTCTTGGAGAGTATAGGGTTCTCGAGATCAGAGGCGATTGGAATGATCCTTAGATGTCCGGCTCTGTTCACATTCAGCATAGAGAACAACTTCAAACCAAAACTAGATTACTTCATGAGTGGAATCAAAGGAAAGCTGGAGAATCTAAAGGAGTTTCCACAGTATTTTGCGTTTAGTCTGGAGAAAAGGATAAAACCGAGGCACCTGGAATCGATGGAGAGAGGTTTAGAGTTGCCATTGTCGTTGATGCTTAAGAGCACTGATGAAGAGTTCGAGCAATTGCTACAGAAGCCCTCTTCAGTAGCAAATGTGTAATATTAATTCATTGTATATGGTTTGGGGATTTGGGGAATATTACTGTGTGTTTATTGATTGTGTTCATAGCTTATATATTAACATTGTTCCCTTCCATGTGTCTCTAAACAAAACTGTCAAAGTCTATGGTTGACTAGTGGTTGCTAATTATAAAAATCAGTGATAAATTTCGTTATCCGTAATCTTCACTTACTGATTTTACTAATTTTTTATAAAATCAGTAAATTTCTCAGTAAATTTCTCTTAACATTTCATATCACCACCAAGATTTTCTTCTATACGAAATTACGAATGTTGAAAACAGCTCAAGATTTTTCCAAGTAAAAAAAGTTAAAGATTTTGTAGTGATATTATTGGGCCTCAGTGGGCCTCATGCTAGGAATCTATTTGGGTTGCTAAATATTTGTTTTTTTAGTTATTTAAGGTAATACTAAAAAAAATAGCATTAAACCCCTGGAGGAGGAGAGAAGCCCTAAAAACTCTCGGTGTTACTTCGTCGTCGTATGACTTTTGGTGGAAGTAAAAAATAAAATTGAAATCATCTTCCCATTTCATGGCTGAGGTTCGTCTTCGTCATATATATTATTAAATTTTCTAATTTTACTTCCTTGAAGAATAAACGAAAAAAAGAAGTCGGCTGGTTTGAGAAATTTCTCTATTCAGATTCACAAAATCTGCAACCGAAACAAAAATTAACAAAAATTGTTTCGCGGTTTCTTTTTTCATCAGCTTTTGGATCCGTAGACACGAAAAAATATGTTATTCTCGAGGGGTGTTTCTCGGATTTCTTCCAAGTTTCTGAGAAATCGCAGCTTCTATGGCTGCTCTCAATCTCTCGCCTCTCATCGCCTCGCAATCATCCCTCCCGATCAGGGTCACTCTTGTTCTGACTCTACACACAAGGTAATTTCAACATTCTCTCTTTGGGATTCCTCTATGAACCGAGGAACACTCGATTCGGGATTTCTGATTTTGAGATTAAAAAAACAGAAATTGATTGCATGGGTTTTATTCTGAATGTTTTCGAATTGTGAATTAGGAAACTGTAGGTTCTTTTTACTATGATCTGTTTAATTATCCCGTCATTACCATGGAGATGATGTGTACTGAATAAAGGTTTTTGTTTTTATTTTGTCTTTATATTTTATTTATGGTGTTTGTTGGAATTTCATAGACCAATTGAAATTGTCCCTTTTTTTGGTTAATGATACTTATAATGTGGAGTAATCAGCTAAAGCTAGAGTTCTCTTTCTAGTTTTTAATTATCAGGCTGGATAAACAAATGATTGAAACGGATTAGTTTTTTTTTCTGAAGCTTCATGTGTTATACAGAATTGGTGACCTAACCAAGGTGTCTTTCTTTGTGATGTTTTAGTAGGGTTATGTTTGCAGAGGAACTTATTCATTGAAATCTCCGGTTTTTGGTGGTTTTAGACATCATCTCTATCACCAGAGCAGCTCGGTAGTTGAGGTTTGTAGTTAGCTCCCTTATTTACCATTTCCAACATTGAATCATCATGATGAGCTTAATCTAGGATCCTCTATTGTTAAATTTTCACATATACTTGAATTTTGGTCATTGCTTCTCTTGTATTATAAGAAGTTTGTAAAAACCAACTTTTGTTTTCTTAATTTAGCTATACTTTTTTGTCACTGATCTTATTCAATTTGGTCATTTTTTTAACCTTAAGTTATTGCTGAAATTTTTGAATTCCTCCTCTTCTTTCCTGACTGCTGAAAGAGTAAGATTATCCTTTCCTAGGAGGAGCTTGACCCGTTTTCGCTTGTTGCCGATGAGTTGTCACTTCTTAGTAACAAGTTGAGAGCGATGGTAGTTACCGAGGTAAGTGGCCTTTTCTTTGTCATTCATCGCATTGTGTTCATTCTATAAACAAATTTGCTGCTGCTATGAAGAAAATTTGTATAATTTTTGTGTCTGACTTCTGCTATTCAGGTTCCAAAACTTGCCTCTGCAGCTGAATACTTCTTCAAAAAGGGTGCGGAAGGAAAACACTTTCGTCCAACTGTAATGATCATAATCTCTTTTATTTTTCCATATCTTGTCGTCATGTTCTGAATCATTTTCTCTCTCGGTATCATAACCAGTTTCGTTTTATGTTCATAGATTTTGCTGTTGATGGCGACAGCTCTGAATGTACGCATACCAGAAGCATTGGCTGCTGAATCAGCAGAAATAGTCCCATCAGAGTTACGCGTAAGGCAACGGGGTATTGCTGAAATCACCGAAATGATACATGTCAGTAGCTATAGGTTTACTCATAACATTCATTAAAATCAAGATCAGTATCCTTTTTTTTTCAAGTAGTAATGCGTTGGTCATTTGTAGGTTGCAAGCCTCCTACATGATGATGTCTTGGATGATGCTGATACAAGACGTGGTGTTGGTTCCTTAAACCTTGTAATGGGTAACAAGGTACGAACTTGACAGTATCTTCTACTGTTCTACTGTCTAAGGCATGATTATTTTTTTTGGGCGATTGTACTGCTATAAGATATTAAGATCACCATTGACTTCACGTTGTAGGTATCAGTATTAGGAGGAGACTTTTTACTCGCTCGGGCCACACAAGCTCTTGCTGCACTAAAGAACACAGAGGTAAAAAAATACTAAGAAACTAATCCAAGAACCATTTTCGCAAACTTGTTCAAGAACTTAGCTACTTTTTTCCAGATACCGTGGTTGATAGGATATTTGAACCTGCCTTAAGATAGATATTTAGAATCAATGATATCAGCCCAAGAATTAACTATCACCTCTTCGAAGCCATACATCTTCATTGATTCTCTCTTTTGTAGGTTGTATCGTTACTTGCAACTGTTGTAGAACATCTTGTTACCGGTGAAGTCATGCAAATGACTAGTACAACCGAGCAGCGTCATAGGTAAACAAAAATACAGCCATAAAAAAAAATATCGTCTTTGTTGCTAATTTATGTTTGAGAATTGATTTTCCTTTTCAGAACCCAATTATAGCGGCTTGTAGTAGTACATGGATATCATATAACAGTATGATTGTTCATGCAAATATAATATATTTTTTTTTCTTTTTCTTTCATGGCTGCAGTATGGACTACTACATGCAGAAGACATATTATAAGACGGCTTCACTGATCTCAAATAGCTGCAAGGCGATTGCTTTACTCGCTGGACAAACAGCAGAGGTTGCCATGTTAGCTTTTGAGTACGGGAAGAATCTGGTTCGTTATCTTCGAATGCTGGCCCCATTGCAACCAATGTTCTTCCAAATCTTGATTAGTTTCTTTTTGGCAGGGTTTGGCATTCCAATTAATAGACGACGTTCTTGATTTCACGGGCACATCTGCATCTCTCGGAAAAGGATCCTTATCAGATATCCGCCATGGAATCATAACAGCTCCAATCCTCTTTGCCATGGAGGAGTTTCCTCAACTACGCAAAGTTATTGATCAACTTGAAGACGATCCAACGAATGTTGAGATTGTAAGTTAGAAATAAACAAATCTCCTCATTAAAATGTCTATTACGTTTTCAGTCTCTCTTATGTTATATCCCATAAAAAAAACAAATCAGGCTTTAGAGTATCTTGGCAAGAGCAATGGAATACAAAGGACAAGAGAGTTAGCAATGGAGCATGCGAATCTCGCAGCAGCGGCAATTGGGTCTCTACCTGAAACAGACGATGAAGATGTCAAAAGATCAAGGCGGGCACTTATTGACTTGACCCATAGAGTCATCACCAGAAACAAGTGAGGATAAGAAAAAGTCTCTCTTTATACGCTAAACATCTTCATAACATGATGAGAATGTTTCAATTTCATTCCATTCCATTCATAGGATTTTTTGTTTTTGTCCAACTCGTTTTACGAAATAATTTGTTGGACAAGTTGTGGTTCATTTTAACAACATAGATGAAAAAAAGGTCATGTGACCACTTGTGATATCATTCTCAATCGTTCCTAGCGAATTCGGTTTAGGCTTGGCTTTCTAACAGATTTTACCCGTTAAACCATCTTCCAAAGCTGAACCAAACCGGAGGCACTACTAAACATCTAACTTTTTTTTTCTCCTCAGTGAACAGCACTTAATACAGTGAATTGATCATATACCTGGGATGATCTTAGTTGAGATAACAATTTGTGTTATTCATCCACAAAATTTCTAAATCAGTAAACAAAAAAGATGATCTAAGTATATATAGGTCTTTACACTGAACCGGAAAAGAAACACAAAAACCGGTTAAGGATCAGTCTCCTCTTCAAAGTCCATGAGAAAATCGGTTAAGTTCTCGGAATCATCCACGGCTTCGTCTAGAGACATACGACCAGCTTCCTTCTTCGGTTTAGGCTGTTTTCACAAACCAAAAACACATAAACATCCATGTACACATATTTATATGTACAGGCGGCTAAAATTTGAATGTGGGATTTTACCTTGGCGTTGCGAAGCTCAGGGGTACTCTTCAAGACACTCCAGTTCCTCGGCACTTTCTCATCTTTTTCTACTTCTGCATCATCTTCCTCGTCCTGTCATAAAAGGGGTCCAGAGATGTCTCAGATCATGATAAGAAACAATGAAAAAGAAGAAGAGGATCTGATGTGTAAGCAACAATACTCACATCGTTTTCACCAATATCAACAGCTTGTGCCATTGCATCATCAATGTAAGGCACCTGCATTCATAGGATATATCAAATAAATCAAACAAAGCCCCTGAAATCTCTCATTGAGAGTTGTGTCAAAAGGAGTGAGAAAGATTGGTCATTTTACCTCGACCTGCTCAGTTTTCTCTTTTGCCAGTAGTGTTTTGTGCACCTCTCTCGAGATAACTTTGCCATTCTGAACAAATTTGAAACAAAGGAGACAAATCAGACCAAGACAAAAGAAAGGAACAGAGTTTTGAGCAAAGCAGAACTAACCTCCTTCAGGTAATCGAGCATATTTGGTGTCGGCTCATGGAAATCAGGTCCTCTGAAATCCATAACCGCATCGGGAGCTTGAATGTAGTTAATTGTCGGGTAAACTGGATCCCCACCCCATACTGCAAGAAACCCGAGAAAGTTAAAGGAAAGATGAAATAACCATGATAAGTTAGTTAGTTTTATCGTTAAAAGTCTCATACTTTGCTTAATCTGCTCCTCCTTCATCCGCATTGCCAAAGGATCTCTCTTGATCCTAACATCGGTTCCCATCATTATCCGGTATTCTCGATCTGTTTGATGAGAGAACATCTCAATCAGTTGTGTGTTTTCATCCTCACCCGTCTCTTCAAAATGCTTCTGTACAGCTTCCCGTGACGTGTCTCTCTTCCACGCTTTTACCCACTCAGAGTAAAAAGCCATTGGACCTTCTTTCGCTAACCTCTCTCGCTCAGCTTGCAGCCTGAGAAGAATGAAAACTCAACCCAAAAAAAAAAAAGTAACAAAACATGTTTTTTAGCTAGAAGATTAAGATACCTCTCTTCCTTGAAAAGATGCCTTCTTGCTCTATAAAGAGAAGTTTCCGTGAGTGTTGGTTCTTTCCCATAGAGCTTCACTTGTCCTGTTTCTGCCATCGCCTTGAGAAAAACCTGCAGCAGCCAAAAGAGCATAAAGGATCAAACTTTAGGGAAAACGCAACATGGTTAAAACCCGAAATCACTCTAATGACTCACTGTTTCAACATCAGGACGTCTTCTTTGCCATCTTGACCATTGTTCTTTCTCCGGTTTTCTCCAGTTCCACCAACTTTCATCGCTCGTGAGTGTCTTTTCTATTTGCTTCTTTTTGGTGGGATCGATAAAAGGATGTGGCCGTCCAAGCTTCTTGTCTAGTTCAAAACCACTTTCCACTTCTTCTTTTTCAAACTCATCGTCATAGACAACAAAACCATTCGAGGAATCGTTCTCCTCTTCTTCAGAGCTATCCTCAGAATCCGATACTTCATCACTGACCACAACGGCCACGTTTCCCTCGGTTGCTTTCCGATTCTTCTTCCTCCGGCTTCCAGGATTCTTACCATATGAAGGGAAACTCGAGGACTCACCAGCTGGTTGAGGAGCCCTAGCAGCTCTAACCCGGCTCGAAGTCCCTTCAGGCCAATAGTCCTCACCTGGAATGCTAGCCCGAGCCCCTGATGCTGGCTCGAGTTTTCCAGAAGTCGAATCCATATAACTATAGTAAGGAGCCCTCTCAACAGACACATACTCATATCCTGCTTCATTCTTCTTAGAGCCTTCACTTGCATCACCATTATCATCATTCTCCTTCTTGCATTTGATACAATGTCGCAGTGACCGATCACCAGTAGTAATCCCGACATGTAATGTCCTGATCGGAAATCTGCATTTGAGCCGCCTCTATATGTATAAACAACATCTATAAGTTTGAATTTCTTGAAACAGTTAATTTTCCCAACAAGGCTCAACTAGATTACTACAGAGATAAGTTTAGAAATGCATAATTGTGTAAGAACCAACCTGCAAAATACAATTATTGGGCTTTCCACTCTCTGTGCACACTTTATCTACAGGAGAAAAAGAAGAACGGGAATCAGAATCGAAAATTGGAAAATTGAAAGTGGATTCAGAGAAACAAGAGCTGATGAAACCTCGGTAGAGCCAGGTGGTGGTTGATATTGACGCCATTACACTCTCTAATTCCCACTGTATAATCAACATAAAAGATTGTCAGATGATGCAAACCATTAGGTTCAATTGTGCTCGGAATCAGTATGAGCAAGCACCCCAGATAAGAAAAACCTAAGCTAACAAATTTTCCATAACAATAATATCCGATCTTTGGGGCATTTCTGCGACGCTTCACAGTCAAATTTGAGAAGAAGAAAAAGAAAAGACGAACCTTTCTGTTTTACCAAGATGCTGTAGGAAGGGTTTTTCGATTATATGGGAGTAAAGTTGAGCTCTTTCATGGAGGTTAGTTTCGAAGGGGTTTTTCACTTTTCAGGTTTCTGGGTTTATCCATTCATCTCCTGCGTGTATATTATTCTTGTGACGCCGAAATCTGTAGTTTTCTCGACACACGCGCTCCACGCGCCGGTGTTAGAACCCGAATTTTTTAGAAAAGAGAAAGTAGAATGGGCTCTACTTGGGCTTTTTGTTTCTTACTAAAGCCCATTATTAAATTGAAATTGAGAGCTGAAAGGTTTTTGATTTTCTAACAAACACTTGCAAGAACAAAGTGCCTTTTTTCTCTCCTAATCGCCTAACTTTTTTTTTTGGCTTTAACATCTCCTAATCGCCAACTCTATTCGTATTTTTAAATTATGTATATCCCATATACGTAAGAACTTTACCATATTCTTACAAAATTCTAAAGATCGAGTTTAAATTTTAAGGTTACTTCTCAATCTTTGGAAATCCTTATTAAATCTATACATATGTATATTTAAGAAAGTATAATCCAATAAACTATTATAAACTGAAACCATGCATGATACAAAGTAAATAAATGCAAGAACAATTGATGGAAATTCGTATGCGAACAATTGTTAGTTTTTGACTTTTGCTGTATAGTTTTGTCTTCCTCACAATGGAATAATAGAGTGGGGCTCTACACTGGACCAGTAAAAGAAAACAATCAAAATATTGTGGGTTCTACAACTGACCACTAAAAGAAAACGTTTATACGAAAACATCCGTCTTAGCTAAACCCTTGAAGTCAAAAAGACAAAGCAAAAAAAAAATGTTTAAAGCCTTGATTTCTTTCCCAAAATCCTTGTTAATTACAATGATAGATACATAAATATGAATGTGCGTGTGTTAAGAAAAAAGAAAAGAAAAGCTTTGGACCCTCTTGACCAAAAAAAAAAACTTTGGACCCAAACGTGAATGGCAATTGGCTAATGTGCCAATATGGTCTGTTCCAATATTAAATGGGTCCTGACCAGACACATCATAGACATTACGGTATCTATCACAGGCCTATTTTAACCTAATATCATATATTTATAGCTTAACAGTGGTTCTCTTGATTTAAATTGTTTTCAAACTCGCTAAACGACGATAATATTTATTTCTATGGACCAAAATCTATATTAAAAAAAAATAAAAATTGTTTCTGAAATGTTTGCAGACGTAGACCACGTAAGACTATACCACAAAAGGTCTGACTAGGCACAAGTTTCGGTGTACCGCACGCGCCTAACGTCACGTTTGAAACTATTCGTGCAACGAGATTATCTATGCGGCGTCGTTTTCCTCAACACTCCTCTTCCTCTGTATTTGCCTACTAGCCTACACTATTATATTCTATTTATTTTGACTTTACGAAATGAATCAGCAGCACATTAGAAACCTCATTAGCTGATCATACTGAGCTTGAAACAATAATTAAAATGTCCCACGGGCGAAAAAAATAGCAATTTATAATTCCAGAATTCATAAGATTATATAGTATGGATAACCCTGCAACAACAACAAAAAGTTTATTCATACACACACAAAAAAAGAAAAAAACTATATATATTTTCCGAGTTTTTTAATCTTAGAAAACTGAAGGGAAAGTTGTCTCAAAGCACTAAAAAAAATTGATGCTTTTGTGACCGTTAATAAATGAGTGGTTAATTGGAAATCTCGTCAACCTTTTTTCTGCGACATAATTCACTTCCAAAAGTAATTGGAACAGAATCTCACAAGTGGCAATGTGTCCCGATCACCACGTGGCGCTTACTCCTCAAATAGTATACAGTATGTAGATAGATGAGTAATGTGTGTGTATGTTAGTAATGTATAACTGCGACGAGAATAAACACCTTGATGAGTATATTGGGTAGATGTGGAATGTCATAAGCATTTAGCAGAGAGACATGCACGCATACGAACAACTAACGAATAAATTTCGATATACCATTATGTATCCGGTCATCGTCGTATTAATAAATAATTAAATACAAGATGTGTATAAAAATTTTGAATACTATCAACGGAAGTTAAAACAGATTGACAAGCCGGTAAAAATATTTGAATAGTGAATTGTCTCTACGAATAATATCTTCCTCTGTTTGTTGATTCAGACATGTTCGTGCATTATGATATTTCTAAAACTAAACGCTAATTCTGAGAGTCTGAAATTATATAGTAGTAATTAAAAAAACTAACTCAAA